GGCATCAACGCCTAGGACATCCATCTTCTGCCAAGTTACAACATCTTTCTGGTACAATACCTATGTCTAAATCATCTATAGATCATTGTGAAATATGTCCATTAGCTAAACAAAAGAAATTACCATTTGTTTCTCATAACAATCTCTCTGCTTTACCTTTTGATCTCATTCATTTAGACATTTGGGGTCCTTTTTCAGTAGAATCTATAGAAGGTTATAAGTACTTCCTTACTATTGTTGATGATTGTACAAGAGTAACATGGATCTATATGCTTAGAAATAAAAGTGATGTCAGTTCTGTTTTTCCTGCTTTTGTTCAACATATTAAAACTCAATTCAATACTGTTATTAAAGCAATTCGTAGTGACAATGCACCAGAACTTGCTTTCACTAAGTTTCTTAACGAACATGGCATTTTCCATTATTTCTCATGTGCATATACACCACAACAGAATTCTGTTGTGGAACGCAAGCATCAACACTTGCTTAATGTTGCTCGTGCTTTACTCTTTCAATCTAATCTACCTTTGGTTTATTGGAGTGATTTTATACATACTGATGTCTTCTTAATCAATCGCACACCTTCTTTAGTTCTAGATAAGATTAGTCCATATGAAAAGTTATTCAAAAAGAAACCGGATTATAGTTTCTTGAAATCTTTTGGTTGTTTGTGCTATGTTTCAACACTTGTTAAGGATAGAACAAAATTTACACCTAGGGCTGAACCATGTGTGTTTCTTGGATATCCCCCTGGTTACAAAGGTTATAAAATTCTAAATCTAGATACAAATGCTATTTCAATTTCTCGGAATATTGTCTTTCATGAACAGATTTTTCCATTTAAAAATGCATTGCCAACTGTTTCTGATAATGATTTGTTTCATAAAACAATATTACCTGTTTCTGTGCCTATTGATCTTGATATTGTTGATTCATGTTTACCAATTCCTTTCATACCTGCATCTGTACAACCTTCTCATGCATCATCTGCATCACACTCTAGTGCTACATCAATACCACCAGAGACTGTTCCAGTTGTTACAGGACAGGTAGCACTACCCAAAGATAGGCCAAAACGACATGCCAAGGTACCTAGTTACTTATCTGATTATCATTGTAACCTCATTCAACATTCTTTTCATCCTTCTATTCCTTCTTCTTCTTCTTTTTCTACTTCTTTGCCCTATCCTATTGAATCTGTTCTTACCTACAATAAACTTCACCCTCCCTATCAGTCCTTTGTCCTCTCTTGTTCAATTGAAACAGAACCTCAGAACTTCAACCAAGCTATGGCTCATCCACATTTTCCAAAGGCGATGGATTTGGAGATATCTGCTCTTGAATCAACAGGGACATGGACAGTTGAATCTTTACCTCCTGGTAAGACTGCTATAGGCTGTAAATGGGTTTACACAATCAAGTATAATCCGGATGGTTCGATAGAACGTTATAAAGCTAGGTTGGTAGCTAAAGGATATACTCAGATGGAAGGAATAGATTACATAGAGACCTTTTCTCCTGTAGTGAAGTTAGCTAGTGTGAAGACTGTTTTAGCATTAGCATCTATACAAGGCTGGTCTCTTACACAGATGGATGTTACAAATGCATTTCTACATGGCACACTAGATGAGGAGATTTACATGAGTTTACCACAGGGTTATACTCCTACAAATGGTGTTTTACCTCCCAATCCTGTTTGTAAACTTCATAAGAGTCTCTATGGACTGAAGCAAGCTTCTCGTCAATGGTATCATTGTTTTTCAACAGTGATCTTGACTGCTGGTTTCATTCAATCCCCAGTCGATAATACTTTCTTTGTCAAAGTATCAGGTTCTGCATTTATTGCTTTACTTGTATACGTTGATGACATTATGATTGCTTCTAACAATGATTTTGAGCTCCAAGCCCTGAAGAAGGTTTTACATGGTGCTTTCAAGATCAAAGATATGGGTCCTCCAAAATACTTTCTTGGACTTGAGATTGCAAGGAATTCAAATGGGATATCTATTTGCCAGAGAAAATATGCATTGGATATACTTGAAGCAACTGGGATGCTAGCCTGTAAACCAAGCTCAGTACCAATGGATCCAATTGTCCATCTTAGCAAGGATACATGTGAACTTTTAGACAACCCCTCTTCATATCGAGAACTCATTGGTCGGCTTCTCTATCTCACCATTACCAGGCCAGATATTACCTTTGCGGTGAACAATCTGAGCCAGTTCTTATCTTGTCCTACTGATAAGCATATGGAAGCTGCTCACCGTGTTTTGAGTTACTTGAAGAGTAATCCTGGTCAGGGTTTATTCTATGCTGCTGATTCAGAATTATGCCTCAACGGATTTGCTGATGCTAGTTATGGAACTTGTCCTGATACAAGAAGATTTGTAACTGGTTTTTGTGTCTACTTGGGCAAATCTTTGATTAACTGGAAGTCAAAGAAGCAGCAAACAGTAAGTCGCAGCAGTACTGAAGCGGAGTATCGTGGAATGGCTCTTGCTACTTGTGAACTTTTATGGATGGCTCAGTTACTTAAGGACCTGAAGATCACAGTTCAGAAAACAGCCAAGCTATTCTGTGATAACAAATCTGCCATTCACATTGCGACGAATCCAGTATTTCACGAGAGGACCAAGCATATAGAGATTGATTGTCACACCGTAAGAGATCAAGTCAAGAATGGTTTCATGAAGCTGTTCCATGTTACAAGCTCCAATCAACATGCTGACATATTGACGAAAGCTCTTCATCCGGGTCCTCATCATTCTATACTTAGTCATATGTCCATTTCAAGTCTCTACTCACCTACTCCTATTTTGGTTCCAGAGACTTGAGGGGGGTGTATTAGACTACTTAATATATATACATTATATAGAAAATAATGTTAGACTAAGTTTCCTTTCGCTTATGTCTAACTATACTTGTATATAAACAATCTTGTACACATTAGTTCAAGGTTAATGAGAAATATACACTTTACTTCAATACTCTTAATATATGTATATATATTAAGTAGTCTAATAACTTTTAAGACGAGCAATGTAATTCTTGAACATCTTTGGTTGTTCCGAGACGGGGATCGCTTTAGTAGAGAGACTGGTACGGTCATCGTAACCCGCACCAGCTGATATGCGAAACAGACTCCGGTTACAATATCTTGGTCGGAGAGATTCGGTTGTAAGAAAGAAGATGTTTAGCTTTGAAGATTGTTTGTGAGTGGTAGTTGTTGTTGCCTGTATCAACTGTTTGAATCGCCGAAGATTAGTATTAGCGGGAAATAGCGGTTTCTCTGTCGCGTTTGTGGCTGCGTTGCAGGACATTGATGGTTTTGCTTTTGTAAGTCGACATTGTTGTTGTTGTTGTTGTTTTTTTTGGTTGATTTTTGTTGTTTCTTGTGTTTTGATGAATTTATAAGGTTTGATGGTCAACACTTTTCTTGTTGGATCGACCTTGCTGGATTTCAAGTTTGTTTGTTTGTTTGTTTTTTCATTTTGCTTAAAAATAAAAACAAAAGTCAGGAGATTTGAGTTTAATAGTCTAAATAAAGATATCAAATGACTGACAAACAAAACAATATGGTCAAAAGAAAATATATAGCGGTTTTAAAAATTTATTAGGTGAAAAAATTAAACTTGACTTGACTCCTAAATTTCAAACTCTAAACTCTAATTATGAAATTACGACTCTAATTGACTTGACTCTAAACAAACTTGCCTAAGTTAATCACTAAACTTAACTCTAATTACGTTCTTGTATTTGCTAACCAGTTTTAGTGTATAATAAGTTTAGTTGTTTGTAACATAGTTATAGGGGTAGTAGACTTTCTAGTATATATCACTTTTGATATTCAATATCACCAAAGTGTATAATATCACTTCGGTTCAATATTGAATATTGAATCAATATTCAATACATATTCAATATTGAACTAAAGTGTACAATATCACCAAACCGTTTAGTTTGGTTCCATATCACTTTGATATTCAATATCACCAAAGTGACTGGCCAGCAAACTTAATTCATACTCCTAATCGGTAATATTTGCGAAAATATATTATTAGAAAAGAGAAGAAGAACAAAATTCATTCATTCTTGTCCGCTTAATTCTTTCCTTTCAATCTTAAAACAAAATTGACATTTGAACCAAAATTTAAAAATGGAAATTACGTATTGCATGCGCTTTTATAAAATGATTCCACCAGTTAGAAATTATAAATGAACTCAATTAAATAAAATTAATTTTTAATTAATTATGTTTTCTCTTTGTGGTATAAATTTTCTTCTACAAATTCGACTACCAAACGTCATTAATTTATGTTATTTCTCTATGCATGCACTTTATTATACTTAAATTAATTAATATGTAACACGTATGGAAATATCTGTCGTTAACCATTTTAAACTTCAAAACTATTATATTGATTGCTTTTTTATTCATGCACGTATATAAGTCTTCCCATATATATTACATTATTTTGATAAACCGTTGGTTCTTCTCACGAACTAATCTATCATATGATAGTCATCATGCTATATACAGTATTTACTTACACATATATTCGGAGAGTTAGATAGTAGCCAAATTAAAGTGGAATCAAAACTCCCAATTAATTTTACTTGTAATCTAAAAGAGTTAAAAAAATGAGAACTAAAATTATATTACAAAGTTCATTGAACATGTTGTTTCAAAAAAAAAAAAAGAAGATATCCTCTTTACGACATTTACAGTGTTGTTGTTTAGGGCAGTGTAGGCTGTGCAGTGCAGCTAACTCTCTTAATTATTCTTGGACCTATTTACCTAACTATACTAGAATCAAGAAACTATGGAACTAAATGGCCAGTTGCAATGTTGAAAACGTTTGTTTCCTTAAAACACCATGGTTTTGACAGAGACATATTTCTCTTCCTACAATGAAATCTAAGTGAACTCGAGCTATAAATTCAGATGAATTGAAGCAAATTACATATCTCATATCATAATTATTACTTGACTTCTCCAGTTTTCTCACTCAAAATTACTCAAGCATTTTTCTATTCTCTTTAATTATTACTAATGGCGCTGCATAACACAAGTTTATCAGCTTTTTACCTACTTATTTTATCTTTCTTCACTCTAGTAACAATTTCTTTCACGATGAATGGAAACGACGAACTCCAAACGGCTAGGGATGGCTTTCCCTTGTGGATGAATAATGTTGACAAGAAAATCATAGGAGCTACTCCCAAGGTAACTGTTTCAAAGACCCTAATATATTTGTGTTATATGATTTTGATATATAATGAAATCCACAAAAAAAAAAATTTGTTTAGTTACCCATAAACCAGAACGATTTATATATCCAAACATACATCAAATTATTTTGGTTTTATTTTAAACATTTATTCTTAGTTAAAAGATTGGTATAATTTCACTTAAACACTACTTAATTGTGATTGCAAAATTTGACAGTTCAACATCACCAGTTTTTTAATTCCAGGAATTTTCCACTCAAAGGTTTATTAAATAATACATTTAAATAATTACGATTGCTGAACTTTTTTTTTTTGGAATTGAAGTGCTTAAATACATTTTGGAGTTACTTAGACAACTTATTTGCCAAGTAAGGCTATATCTTCTCAAATAGGACAAAACATAAAAACAAAAAAGAAACTCAAAGAACTTCTAAATTAGTGTAAGTGTATGAATCAAGTCACATAGTTGATGTACATAAGCATTGGGGTTGATGTATGCACATTACGCTTTTTATGCATTTTTTATTTTCGTTAAAGGCTACTATATCTAAAAAATAGTAGATTTTCTAACTCTAAAATAAAATAATTGTGACAAGCTAAACAAAACTTCTAATACTGCCCAAATATTATTCAGTTTCTTATGTTTTTTTCTTTATAATAACATATCTACAGGTTCTAAAGATGAACGCCGACATAGTAGTTGCTAAAGACGGGACCGGAAATTATACGACGTTAAAAGAAGCGGTCGATGCCGTACCTGACAACAACAAGAAAAGATTTATCATTTATTTGAAAAGAGGAGTTTACAAGGAAACAATTGAAATTGGGGAAATGAAGACAAATTTAATGCTCATAGGCGATGGTAGAGACATATCCCTTCTTACTGGCAGTTTAAACTTCAAGGATGGATACACCATCTTGAAATCTGCCACGCTTGGTAAAAACATATTTTTTATTTTATTAGTAGAATATTATGTTTTTTTCTATATATATCATGGTCAAATAAAAATTATTAATATAAATTTCAGCGACTTGCGCTAACGGATTTATAGCGCTAGACCTTTGGTTCCAAAACACGGCTGGACCGACTAAGAATCAGGCGGTTGCTCTCCGCGTGAATGCCGATCTTTCAGTCATATATCGGTGTCGAATAGATGGCTACCAAGACACACTTTTTGCTGAGCAACACCGACAATTCTATCGTGATTGTTACATCACAGGTACTATAGATTTTATCTTTGGAGATGCTGCAGCAGTGTTCCAAAATTGTGAGATTGTGGCGCGAAAGCCTTTGAGCGGACAGAGTAACGTTCTGACGGCTCAGGGACGCATTAAGCCGACAAGAAACTCTGGCTTCTCGCTTCAAAGGTGTAATATAACAGCGAGTTTGGATCTATCCCCGGTCAAAGGAACAGTAAAATCATTCTTAGGACGTCCATGGAAGAATTTCTCCAGAGTGGTAATAATGCAGTCTTTCATAGGCGATTTTATTGATCCGGCTGGGTGGACTCCTATGGACCACGATGTTGGACGTTTATCGACGTTATTCTATGGTGAATACGAGAATAAGGGTCTTGGAGCAGACACTAGAAGAAGGGTTAAATGGCAAGGATACAAATTGATTACTGATCCGAAGGAGGCATTGGAATTCACAGTGACTAGTCTTATTAACGGTGAGTTGTGGCTCAATTCTACCGGTGTGCCTTACGAGGAAGGACTATAAATACTTATGTTATGTTATGTTAGTAAATAAATGTAAATAATTTGTGTGATAAAAACTGGTAAAAATATAAATACTGTATTGTATATTATGTTATTCGCCAACCTAAAAATGAGAGTTTATACATGAAAGAAATATATACAGTGTACTTTTAGATACTAGCATATCAAAACTACCAAAAGAAAGGAAAATATTTAATGCCTTTTCTATAACAGCATCAAGTTGATTGTGGAGAGATGTCGTCATCATACAAATTATGTAGAAAAATGAACAAATATCCATTACAATTATTACATAGCATTTAGTCCTTAATCCCACTTTTGCTAGAACATCAACAGAGTTAATACTATTGTATAATCTAGTTAATTAAATTTTTAAGAGTTTCACATGTATTAAAAAATTTCTGATATAACAACAACTTTATTTTGTAAATGTTAGATATCTAAGTGTTTTTTTCAAGAAATAAAATAGTTTAAGGATAAGTTGAGAAAAATTAACAATAAAAAATATGTTTGTTATTTTTCTCTTCTGTCAAAATTATATAATGTTTGTAAGCTAATAATGTTTTTTTTTTTAAAATACTATCATCTTTTCTCTTGGGTCAAAAGTTAACATATCTAAACTACCAAAAGAAAACATTGAAAAAATCATTAAGATTATGGTACATAATCCATTAGCATTTATCTTCTTTATTTTTTTGGGTCAAAGACTATAACATTGAAAACTCATCTTACTATGGTACATAAATTATTAGCATTTAATTATAAAGATATGTTTCAGCCTATATAAATCTCGTTTAAGTTCTCAAACATATGAAACAGAAAAATGGTTACATTTGTTAAAAATTTGGTTCTCATTGTGGTATTACTTCTTGTTGTTTCATCATATGCAAGATTTAGTATTATGGTTACAAAAGGAGTGATCAACTCTATCTGCACCAAAGATAAAGATCTTTCTTCACACTGTTTTGAGGTTCTAAAACCATCCTCTGAAATTGAAAAATTAGATCTATTTGGTCTCACCAAATATTTGATCAATTATCAAACTCGGAATATATCAAATACGCTAAAGCAATTGAAATTGTTCGCGGACAACACAACTGATTTTCGTACTCATAATATGTATCTAGATTGTATTGAAGTTTATAATGGTGCATTGTATAATAATCAATTTTCTCTTAAAGATTTGGCAGCCAAAGACTATAATGGTTTAAACGATAGACTCGGTGGTGTCACAACACAGATGTATGAGTGTAGTGATGAATTAGTAACAATCAAGCCAATACCTCAGTCCCTTATCATGAAGTGTAATTTTATAAGTGATCTATCAAGCATTATGTTAGTGATACTCGAATATTTCATAAGAAAGAATTAAGTAAAATGTAATATAAAATTATAATAAATTATTAATAATATTGTTGTGGTATGGCATATGCCTTATATATTGGCCTTTGGTGCTTTAAATACCTATTGTGCAAGAAAAAAAGAGTTTTGATTTTACCCAAATAAATGAAGGGGTTGTATACACTTCTTTAGATAGTACTCCCTATGTTCCCAAAAAGATATTTTCTAGTTTTTCTACACATATTAAGAAAACATCTACGACTTGATGATAATTGCATTATTTTCTGTGATTCACAGATTTTTAGAATTCTAAACCAATAATATATAGTTATTCTTTTTGAAATTTGTCAATCGTAATTAATAATACATTGATATCTTAAAATAATTATTTTTCCAAATAAATTTTATCTTCTAGAAAAATCATCCTTTTTAAGAACAGATGGAATGTATAACACATATTGGTACTTTGTACAATAAGAAAAATATAGATCCTATAAAACTACACAAAATAGCAAATGTTTATCTCTTTTTTTCTGACAAATGCTACTAAAAATGAAAATTGTGCTGTTTATCCTATATGGGAAATTAACACCGAAAATCAAAAGTTTTTGACTATTGTATTGAATACGAATGAAAATTATAAAGCTACCATAAATGTATGATTATGAAAAGGATAAACAACTGTATATTAGGTAGTAAAATTTTGGTTTTTTCTATTGGTCACAAGAGTCATATAATATATACATTTGACAAAACAGAAGTACAACAAGGAATTGAAATTAAAAGGTTTTGCTTAAACCAATGATTAAGACATTAAATCGGATTTTAATTTCAACCTCTTATCCAAAAACACGGATGCTCTGCTTAGCTTAGCTCATAGACGGTCTCTACGGCCAACAAGACGTAATTAAAATCTTTTACATGCAAAACCTGCTACTAGTGTTTTTTCGATCGGTTTGATTTAGTTTTTGTATAAATTCACTTAGCGTAAGATATTTATATGTTGATATAGATTCATATTAATGGAAAGAGCTCTGAATATCGCGTTTTGAGTTTGCGAATTTCTGCTTTGCAGGTGTTTGTGGACAACATTGACTTTCTCAAGGAACTGGAGTGAGAGGAGATTGGAGAAAGGAGAAGAGAGGCAACAAATGCGCGACAATGGCTTATGAGGGAGACAAGAAGGGGGGCCTTGTTGTGTTACATCAGTTTGGGGTTTTGATATAATATCTCTCAGTGCTGAGTATATTGTTCAAAACCCCATGTTGTTTCTTGGTATATGATTTCCACTTAACATCAATTGCCATTAAATAAGATGATAAATGCATTTATAAACAAAAAAAATACATCTATCCAAACTATACAATGTATATTGGCTCTTTGGGGACATGTGAAAAAAATTAACATTTGTAAAGCAAATTTAATTATAGAATTTTTGTATTTTTTTTCAAATCTTGTGCCTGGTTGAAGTTATAAGGTATAAGGATCCTTACACTAAAAGACCACCCACTTTGAAATCAATTTTTGAATGTCATTCTTTTTTCTTCTTCAATTATGTTTGTATTAGGATTTTTGTTTACGAGAGAAGCTACAAAAATGTATGTAAAAGCTTATGGACAAATTAACCGGCTATAGATTTATTGATACAAAGAAATTGTGAATTACTCTTAGTGAAACCAAAAAATTACGTTTGACAAGATAAACATTGAAAACTACAAAACGACATCGTATATATAAAATACACAGTTACAGTGGCGGAGCAAGGATTTGTATTTATGGGGTTAAATTGCATAAATAATAAAATAGGGGTCAATTTCTTTAGTGTATTAGGGTCAATTTTCATATTATAGCTAAAAATTAACAAAGAGTTAACAAATCATTCATGATCTCGTTAATTGTTTGATTGCTTGATGTTTATACTTTGTCTCACGAGTTTTTAGTGAAAAGATAAAAGAGTTCATATGTGGTAAAAATCATCTAAAGTTTATATAAAGAATCATAAAAAATCACTGGATAAATGATATCATCTTTTGAGGTTGAAAATTATCCGAGATCTATGACCATCCAATCAGAAAGATGATATATGAAAGTTCTAGGTCTAGATCAAAATATTTTGATCTTTGTAATACATGATATTCAGATCCGACTTGAATCTATTATCAAATTTATTTTTCTTAAAGTATATATATGTCTGATAAATCTAATTTTTAAAATATTAATTATGTTGTCATTGATCATTTTTCTAATTTATAAATATTTTTAACGTAACAAATTAATAAATTTTTGATAAATTTTTGATGTAATTTACAGGGCAGATTTTAGGGATTGAGTTTGGGAAGACATAATGCAAAATTTGAAGTGAGATCGTTCCCTCTTCTTATATAATAGATATATTTTTTTAAATGGAAAATAAAATATGTATTCAAAAGTGTGGTTTATCATTAGTAGGTGTTTGCAGAGTATCTTTTTATCTACGTCCAACGTTAAAGTTTAACGCCAGGATTGCTTTTACGCTTTCTCGCCATAACAACTGTACACAATAGTGAAAGAATCATACTTTGGGGAATAATAAAGATTAGAGACTCTCTTATCTATTAGAAAGTGTCTAAAGAACTAATTAACAATGTATGGGGAAGATTTGGAGAACTAATTATTTACATTATTTTCTTTAGATTCGTTCTCCATATCTTACTCATACATTGTTAATTAGTTCTTTAAACACTCTCTAATAGATTAGAGAGAGAGAGTCTCTAATCTCTATTATCGCCAAAGGTCGATTCTTTCACTAAAGTTTACTGTTGTTTTGGGGAGAAAGCGTAAAAGCAATCTGGCGTTAAAGTCGTTGGACGTAGAATCTACGATTCAAAAAATGGCAAATCCTGCCACCAGGTGAAACTTTAGTTTCGTGTTTTAAGACTTTGATCTTGTTTTGTATTAAAACCATAATAATGTTTTGTGTTTTTGTTTTGTAGTGTCAGACAGAAGACTATGGACTTTGTTGCACCATGCAAGGCCATCAAAAAAAAACACAAGACTTGTCCTATTAAGTTTTGTTACAATTGCTTATCAAACGGGTTTGTTATTTTATTTTATTTTGACAACAAGACGTATATATATGCCTGAATATAATGAATTCAGCAGCGGAATATAATGAATCAATCCAAAGAACTGAAATTAGAAATTAAAAGATTTTTTTAATTATATCAAAAAACCACTTAACGTTTAAATTTAAGGGATTAAATACATACGAATATAACCACAACCACCTTAATGCGTTTCCTCAGACACTAATTTGTTATGTTCTGCATCTAAAGTGCCCATCAGTAAGTATTTATTACTGATATGTATTGATAACAACAATGTAACCAAAGTACGATAGCATTTGTATTTGAGAGCTGCGACTTCTCACGTTACATGGCTTTTTCCTTTAACCTATCCAATATATAAATCTTCAAGTACTCAAGCTAAATTCTTTCTTTTGATGTTAAAATAATGAAAATATGACAAAAGTTTACTTGGATTGTAGAAGATAGCATGTGAAGATAATAAACCAAATCAAAGAACTGAAATTCGATTTTTAAAAGATTTTTAATATTCTAAAAAGACAACTTAACTTTTAACTATAAAGGATTAAATCCATAGGAATATAAACCACAACCACCTTAATGTCAACATATGGAACTCTGTATAAACTTAATTTGGTATTATTATTAATCTACTATATATGCATTTTACATTTTGTTGACTATATGTATAACTCTATATAAACTTATTTTGGTATTATTATTAATCTAATATTTATGCATTTTACATTTTGTTGACTATATATTTTTTTGCATTTATATTTTATTGACTATACATGTTTTCTATAGAAATTTGACCAAATTTTATCTCCAAAAGGAACATATTAAATTTTACTTAGAAATATATCTTAAGGAAAATAATATCTTGACCGAGAAATTAGGAATGTAATTTAATCGAACTTATCCAATTGAACTTAAACCAATTGAAATCGAACCACAATTGACACTGCTTGGTACCAAATCTCCAACTCTAATAGTTTGGTATGGTTTAGATCGAATCAAATCAATGAACCAATATGTTTAAAGTGTAAATTTAAAAGATTTTAATTCTGATGAAAAAGAAAATTTCCTCTCTGCGTACGTCCTGGCATGCATTGTGGATTTTAGTCGTAACGAGGAAAATAAAATTTCCTTTCTACATCCTCGCATGCATTGCGTATTTACGGCTATGTTTATCTTACATAGCCATAAACATCCCGTCAAGAAGATGGCCCAATGCTCACAAACCAATCCTCCTTCTTCATTCTATTTTGGAATACTATTTGCGCTGTGCATGGCTCCTAATGGCTTTGCTCTATTCTCGTTTTAAATGCTATGGCAATATGGATGAGGAACAGCTACACGACGGACTCACTATTAAGTCCTAGAATCGAGTAAAACTATATATTTTTAGTTGTTTTCTTTATTTTATTTTTGGTCGAGAGTTGTTTTTCTTTATTTACGTGTTCTTCTTCTATATTTGGCCAAGATACAATACTAATTTGATTGCGAAAAGATTTGTTTTTTCTCATTTTGTCAACAAAACGGAAACTGATGAGTATCCAAAAAATTGCACATAGAATTATGAGTTAAGGCTTAAACCACCCACGGATCTGAGTATCTAGTAAACTGCCCATGTAATTGTAGGTAGCTTCCGAGGGATGAATCGAGTCAAAGAACATAAACTCCGAGTGGTTTTTACACGTTGGAGAGAAAGCATTACACATGAAGCCTGTCTCCACATGCCCTGTTCCACAACATCCTATCTTCGTCTCTTTAAACCCTGTTATAGTTCCCACATGAATGAACATATTAGTATAATCAGTGTTTGATACTAAGCTAACTTGGTGAACAAGGAAGAGATTGTATGTATACCATATTTACTAGGGTTTTGCATCATGTCCATCATAGGGTCATAAACATTTGAGTAAAGGATCTTGCTTCCATTATTAGATGCTTCGATCTGAGGTAATAGCTTCTGAAGTTTCTGATTGTACAAGACAGAGTCTCGGTTCTCTTGTTCCAAGCAGAACCTTATACCGTTTCGGAACTTAGCAGTCATTTGAATCGGTAAACAACCCATTGGTGGTAAACCTCCGACCAAAAAGTTTCGGCAGCCTAAACTGTAAAGCTCCTACACACATACCGGAAAAAGACGGTTAAAAAAACCCTAAAGCATTTGAACTAAACCCTAAAAATATTTAATGCATTACCTGCACGAAATTGTCAAGCTTCTTAAGAACAAAGTCTTGGTAACTAGAAATGTTAGGAAAATCAAGACGCCTTGTAGGAATATCGTAATAATTCAAGATAAAATCGTTAGGACCAGCACTTATAATCACCAAAGCATTGTTTACGATCTCCATAGCTTTCTTGTCTCCCACGATACTTTTGAGACGAGCAATGTAATTCTTGAACATCTTTGGTTGTTCCGAGACGGGGATCGCTTTGGTAGAGAGACTGGTGCGGTCATCGTAACCCGCACCAGCTGATGCAAAACAGACTCCGGTTACAATATCTTGGTCGGGGAGATTCGGTTGTAAGAAAGGAGGAACAAACTGTTTGATGTTGAGTTTTGTCGCGATTATGTCGGAGAAGATTTTGCCGTTTGTGAATCTTCCACTAGCTTTGTGGTCTGGGAGATCAATTCCATAAGGAAGATGTTTAGCTTTGAAGATCGTTTGTGAGTGGTAGTTGTTGTTCCCTGTATCAACCGTTGAATCGCCGAAGATTAGAATCGCGGGAAATAGCGGTTGCGTTGTAGCGTTTGCGTTTGTGGCTGCGTTGCAGGACGAGAGTAGTGTTGCTGCTATGAAGAGAGTGAAGGTCTTGGTTTTATAAGTCGACATTGTTGTTTTTTTCTTTTACTTTTTCTTTCTTTTTTGTTGATTTTTGTTGTTTCTTGTGTTTTGGTGAATTTATAAGGTTTGTGATGGTCAAAAAAATTTAGTTGGACCTTGCTGGATTTCTAGTTTGTTTGTTTGTTTTTTTATTTTTGCTTTAAAATAAAGATAAAATTCAGGAGATTTTAGTTTTATAGTCTAAATTAAGATATCAATGACTTGGAAAAACAAACAATATGGTCAAAAGAAAATATCTAGCTAGCGGTTTACCAAAATTGATAAGGTGAAAAATTAAAATCACATAAGCAAACAAACTTGACTTGACTCTAAACTCTAATTATGAAATTCTGACTTGACTCTAAACAAACTTGCCTAAGTACTAATGACTACACTAAACTCTAATGATGTTCTTGTTTTTGGTAACCAGGTTTAGTGTATAGTTTTCTTTGTATAAAATCCAATATTTGATGCTAGAATAAACCAAATCATGTACTTGGGAAGTGAAACGTTATCATATTGGGATGCGTCTTGGATACAAACCTCTTTGGCTCCAGAAGTTGCTAAAAGAGTTCGAGATGATCAGGTTTCACATTTCATTTGAGTAATAACCTAATAGGCTATTTTTGTTTGATTGTCGAAGAGTTAAAAAATAATTGATATCACGGGTCTCTGTCTAGTTCTCTCGTATCTTTGGCATCACTCTCTGAAGCATACATGAGTCTTCTGCGACTTCTCTCACAAAACAAATATTCTTGTTGCCGACACTCTCAATGTCGGCCCTCAATATAAATAAAGTGGGTGATGGTTGAGTTTGGGCCTCCATATGTTTTTCCTAAGGGCCGAAAACTTTATTATCTGTTGGAGTGTGTTATAATGGACGTCATACGAATGACTTCGTGGTTCAAAATGGACATCATCCGAGTGGAACAAGATCCTAAGAGCATGGTGATTTTGGGGTATTTAAGTTGGATCCTAAAAATATAAAAATGTGGATTAATTGATTTTGAGATCCAATTTTTGACACTTATTTGTTAAAAGTGTCTTATTTAACACATTTTTGTTGGATTTAGACACTCATTTGTTTAGAAAATTAAATTAATTATTTTGCACATCAATTAAAAGTGTCACCAATGAACATGCTCTAAACCGATCGTGTTTAAGGATAACCCACTTCAAAGTTATTTTACTTCGAACCTAAATAAAAAACATCATGCACAAATGCCTCGTTGTCTAACTCTAACACACGGTGTTTTCCGTAGCAACGAAAATAATGGGCGAATTCATTAAAAACATCAACAATTGCTCTAAGTTTTGTCAACAAAATAGACAAATGTATCCTAGAAACCCTTTTGACATGCAAAAATTAAAACTGAAATTTACATTTTATCCCCAAATAAAAACCGTATAGGTGCAAATTTGTATAATTAATCATGTAAATTTTACTTTATTTTTAAAACTCAAGATAAATTTCTATATCCATGGAAGGATCTATAAGACTAATGTAGTCAAGGAGATAAAGTTTATGTACCTTCTAAATTTTCAAATATACTCATACTCATGTAGCCAAGGTCAGGAGAAAAGCTGTGCAATTCTATGTTTGGAAAGAATCGATCCCCGATCTAAACCAATATAATGATTATTTCACCATACTACATCTCTGGTTATCATTTACATTTTCATTTCTTGAAAACTCTTTTCTTTTTTAAGTTAATAACACAATTATGCACAATACAAATGACATTTTTGTGCCATTCCAGTGTTTTAAAAACGAAATCTTTTTGCTTTTTTTTTTGGTTACATATATAACTAACATATACAATTATTGATTTTGTAACAAACATACATAATAAATTAGGAAATGAAGATCCTCCCCAATAGCACCAATACTTATCTACTCACTAACAAACAACAACACAGCTACTCACATATTCGATTTATTACATTTATACAAGTCAAACCTACCAATTCTTTTCAATATCACCATCGTCAAGATCTTAAGTCTAACAACAAAAAATTATCAAAACACTAAACATTATGAGCTAAACCAATTTTGCTAATTAATCTAATATTAACACGAAGACAAAAAAAAAAACTTAAATAATCTAATTTCATAGTCCAATATTAAACATTATTTTAATTCATTGCCAGAGGTAAAGCAAAACAGGAAGATACCCTTTAGACACAATCAATAGACTTTAACTTAACTACATTTCATAAACAAGATTATCACTTAAAAAGAGATAAGGTTAAATTAGATTTATCTTATTGGTCTAATCATATCCTCCTCCATAATATAATCTCAACATTAACTCACGAATGTAACAAAAACATTAAAAGTTTTTAGGATTGGATCATACAATTTAATCTCATGTGCTAATAATAATTTGATCTTAATCCCTTCTTTATTTTAATCTTAACATGGATGACTCAGCAAAGTAATTAGCTTATTAATATAAAAATTAAATTCATATTCGCAATTTTGAACCAGTCAAAGCTCTTGCTTCCCCACTAATCCAGCATTAAGCACTCTTTCTTCTATTTTTTTCATTATAATATCATTAACGATAATTATTTAAATTTAATTGTACTAAAAAGTAAACGAGATAAGGTTTAATTTGTCCACTTGTACTAAACTAATCATTTCAGATACAGTACTTAATTTATATATTTCTAGTACTTTCCAAATAAAACCATAAAAGTAATCAATTCACGAATATTTTTTTTTTGTAATACCACACAAAATCAGCATCTTTTATTTCCAACACAAAATTTGATAATCAACTATTCAAGATTTTTGTTTTCCTTTTTTAACATATTTTATAAAATCTTAAACATTAAATATATAATAAGTAGTAAATGAGAGAAATGGATAAGGTCGAGAGATATTGGTGTGAGAGCGACCACCGAACTTTCGGTACAACGACATGCATCAGATTTTTTTAAACGGGAGGAGAGACAGTAAGCCGAAACGTCCGAAATCAAACCAATCAAAACTCGCCACGTCATTAAGACCGTGTCAAAAGCGTCAAAGTCTCCGTTAGCGTGCCTCGGACTAATTATATATTTAGAACATGTGTGTATGTACTATCGTATAATCCATACGTATAAATATATACATTTAATACAAATACGTAATCGTATAAATATACGATACTCTCGTTATAAATATAAATCAGAATTTATTCTCATTTTTTCTCGATCAGTGTTGTTGTTTCGCGTTTTTTCCTTTTTATTGTATTTATATACTCCCCTTAACCTACGCCGGTGAAAGCTCTTAACCTACGCTACACATCGCCGGCGATTTTTGTTTTATGATATTCAAACTTCTAGAGAAGAAGAAGAGATCTTTGATCGGAGAAAAGATTGTTTTAGATGGAGGTTATGGTGGGATCTTCGTATGGTATCGGCATGGCGGCGTACGTTAGAGATCGCGGCGGCGTTACGGCGCAGGATAAGGCTGTTCAGACTGCTCTGTTTTTGGCTGATGAATCTGGACGCGGTGGATCGCAGATCGGGTTGAGGATGAGGATGAGTGGTGATGATGATAATAATAATAGTAAGTCGCCGGAGGAGTCGTCGGATAGTTCGTCGTCGATCGGAGAGAGCAGCGAGAACGAGGAGGAGGAGGAAGAAGACGACGCCGTTTCGTTTCGTGGAGGTGGAACACTTGATTCGTTTAGTTCTTCTCTTGAAGAGTCTCTTCCGATTAAGTAAGTCTTGGGTTTGGTTTCATATGTCTCATAACGTATCTATACTTGTCTTTTACTATGTTCTTGATCAAAAAGATTGAATCTTTACACTTTTCTCACCAAAGTATCGTCTATTCACTATGTTCTTGATTTGCTGTTATGGTGAATCTTGGTGATTTGGTTAAATCTTGAAACCCTCGAGTCAAAGTTTATGATTTAGAGTTTCATTGTTTGTCAAGTTAGTTCTTGGTTAGGTTTGGTCTGAATTGAAACTGATGTTTATTTGTTTTTTACAGGAGAGGATTGTCGAATCATTATGTTGGAAAATCGAAATCGTTTGGGAATTTAATGGAAGCAGCGAGCAACAAGGCAAAGGATTTGGAGAAAGTTGAGAATCCATTTAACAAGAGGAGGAGATTGCTTATAGCTAACAAGCTAAGGAGGAGAGGAAGATCTATGTCGGCTTCGAATTTTTACTCGTGGCAAAACCCTAATTCTATGCCTTTACTTGCACTACAAGAACATAATGAAGAAGATCATCATCATAATCATAGTGATGACTATGAGGATGAGGAGGATGATGAACATAGGAAGATGGCGATGATGATGATGATGAAGAATAAGAGAGATTTGATGGCTCAAACTCGAAGCTGTTTCTGTCTAAGTAGTTTACAAGAAGAAGATGATGGTGATGTTGTTGATGATGATGATGAATAAATTATCAAATCAAGTAAAGATTTGTTTCTTTCAATACTTGGTTTTTAAATTTGTTCTTCTCTTGTGAATTTGTTTTTTTTCTCTTTTTTTTTTTTTTCTATGAAGGGAGAGAGTTAGAGGAAAGTTTCAGTGATAACAAAGTGGTGGAAGATTTGATTTGTTTAGAAATAATTTAATAATTAATTATTATATTCATTAGTAAAGCAGCCTTAATTAGACTTTTTCATAATCTACAAAAGACATTTCTTCTTCTTGGTGTGGATAATATTTAGTGTTAACAATATTTAAGAACTGTATTAGAGGATAAGTTAGGTTGTCAGGAAAAAGATTAGGTTCCACATAAGCAAAGGAGTGATGTTGTGCCAACTAATTATTTTTGTTTTTTTCGAAATTACAGTTCAAATAAATATATTTATAATTACAGTTCAAATTACCTGTTCATTGCCGACACAAAAAAAAAACTATTTTTTTTTTTTTTTCATTTTAAACTTTTCCGTTTTGTACAATAGTTTTATACAAGGATATAGATATGGATATGATACGATTTTAAAATACATATCAAGATAAAGATATAACTGGAAACTTAGTTCAAATAATGGATTTACACAAAGAAAAAAGGATCTTAAACGATAGTCTTTTTTGTTTTTCAAAGAGTTTTATTTTGAAGCAATTCACACATTTAAAAAAAAAACGCATAATTAAATATGTTTACCTTTATTTAATAAAAGATTAATAAATTAATTTTAATGAAAATAAATTTGAGTTTAAAGGTAAATTAAGAAATTTAGTGTAAAAGTTACACTAGAATTGGAGAGTGGCACTATTTGTGAAATAAGAAAAATTTTCTAAAATGACACTCTCGGTAAAACGGAGAGAGTAAGTCGAAGAGATTAGGTAAAGATTTCTTTAGGATTAATAAATATTATTAAATAAATACAGTGAAAGCTTAGTAAATTTTGTTAATACCTATATTTATAAAACAAAATTAAACTTCAGGTCCTAACTTGGACAAGTATAAAATTTATAAAATTACATTAATAGTTAAAGGACATTTGCAAAAAAAAATAAAAAAAATTTAATAATACTTTTTTCTATTTACCAAATAACTAAATTATAAAGCCAAAAATCCATATACTAAACTTATCCCCTCAAAACTATACCGTAAATGCAAAAGAAATAACTTAAACCAAAAAAGATATTCTAAAAAATAATTTATATTGCAACTTAAACGATAGTTGTTTTGGAACAAATATCATAACCAAACAATTATTTGTTGGATAAGATTCATTAGTAGCGGGTAGTCTAATAGTTTAATTTTACAAATGATTTATAGGAAAAATATGTCTATAAATACCAATATAAATTTCAAATGTATGTTTGAAAGGTTGTAGATATATTAACGTGACGGTATGTGAGATGTAGTGTCAACCAAATAATCTTTTAAAAAATAAGAATTTTTAAAGAATATCAATGAAAATACTGAATTATAACAACGCTAGACAAATCTAATTAACTCTCTAGAAATAAAATTGAGTAATTGGTATGTAATATCCAAGATTAAGAAAATTCAGGTTTATGAAAAATAACTCTCTTATTATGTTTAGAAAAATAACTCAAACCCTTAAGCCACTTCAAGCTTATTCCAACTATAAGAACACAACGAAACTACATTAGTGAGTGGGAAAGGGAAATTTGTGTTTTTACATTAGTGAGTGGGGAAAGAGAAACTTGTGTTACCTTTAAAACTAGTTTTAAAATCATTATGTTTTTAAAATGATATTTGAAAACACAATTGTGCAAAATTGAAGAATTAGTTTGTCAACTGAGTTGTTCGTCCATAACAATAATATATACAAATCTGATGATTAAAAATAAAATAGAAGAAAAAGAAAGAAGAGAATACTCGATTAACTCGACAAGGTCATATACCCAAATAAATAAAAATCTATTAAATGTACTCGTACAAAATATACTCGCATCGAGTTTATTTCATTTAAGAAAATCTAATCCTCATTATGAACCTCTATTAATACTAGATTTTAATTTTTAATATTTATTTCATTAAAAATTTACTTTTTCCACGTCCTAGAGATTGCATTTCAAGACTAGTAATCTATTTTAGGCTTAGTCTTGTATTGTTTTATCGCTTCAACTAACCATTTTGAACAAATTTCAATGTTGGTTAATTTCATTTTCACTAATCTTGAAGTCATGGTTGATAACATTAGTTTGTGATTCAATCTACTATTGAAAGCAATCCACAAAAGAATGAAATTGATTGTGATGTCCTTATCAAAAAAATAATTGGTTACTATAGCGAGAAAAAATATCAACACAATCTTTATAAAAATCGTATATATAAAACTTATGTAGGTTTCAAGTTAATGAGTTTCCAGTTGATGACATGTATAAATTAATTCTATGGTCCGGAACAACTATAGAATGATAAATATGATGGAAAGAAAAATGATGTGTATATTCTCGGATGTGTTGAATTTTATGCTCCGGAAATTATAGCTGGCTCTCTTTATTCTACCTTTAATATATATTTCGTTTGTTTCATCTTAAACCATGTATAAATTACATGTACCTACAGAATACAAATCAACTAATTTCAATTTAGTTATAAAATTTTATAAAAGTATATATATATATATATATGCATTAAATCAAATGATATTAATTTCAGTTAAGTACATACATTATATAATATGCTAATGTTAATTTTTTCTATTATTCAATATACTTTTTAAAATTTTATTTGCTTCATTTTCTTGTTTTTAGGTAAGTAATCATAAATAAACTTTAAACACTATAACTTAAAATACATAAATAATAAGATGAATATAAAATTTAAAAATAAGAAAAATTCATCAAAATGATAAAATTAAAAATATTTTCATCAAATTTAAATTTAATCAATGTAATATATCTTATTATATAAACCTTGGTTTTCAAAGTCAGCCATTAACAAGATCGTGACACGTGTCAACTATAAACGATAAGATGTTGACACGTGCTATAACTAATTTTGTTAATATTTGGATAAAATAGAAATATTATTAACCCTATCGAAGAAGGAAATAATATAAAATAAATATTATAAATAATTATAATTTCAGTTATGTCAATTTAAACAAATAATCTAATTTCAGTTATGTCAATTTGGTTTATTAATAAGATAGGTATTTAAAATTTATAATTAACAAGAATATATGGCGGTTTTTGTTTACAGAAGAGGATTAAGGTTTAAACTTTAATTTTAAAATTAAATCAGATTATTTGTTGGTTTGGGTATATAAATGATAAATAAGAATTATGGTTTATCTTTATAAATTAAAATTATGGTTTAAGTTTAACAATTAAACGAGATTATATGTCAAAACTTGGTTTTTAAATTTACTAACTCACGTGATCATGATAAGTGTCAAGTAAAACATAAGATGTCGCAATATGTTATATCTAATTTTCTTAATATTAAGATACAGATAGAATTTTAAAACAACATTAAAAAAAATTATAAAAAATTAAAGATAATTTTTGAGAAATATCCCTTTTGGTGTACCCCTTTTCAAAAATACCTCCTTTATCTATTCATTTTCAAAAATATCCATGTTTAAATATGAAAAATTATAAAGTTTTATATGGTTTATAAGGTACTTCTATATAATAACTACTACTTGGAAATTTGATACAAATATTTTATAATGTTTTAAAAGGTTTTAAATCGTTTTTACAAGGTTTTTAAGTGGTTTTTAAAAGGGTTTATAAGGTTTTTAAAATGTATTTATAAGTTATTTTACGCTATTTATGAAAAATATATAAAACTTTAAACATATATAAAGGTAATTTGTGTGTATATTTATAAGTTTTCACACATATTTGGATAAATTTCAACATTTAAAGTGGTTTTTTTATAAAGTTTGAAATAGGGGTATTTTTAAAAAGTGGTATGGAAAAAGGGTATTTTTGATAATTAAAAAGTAAAAAATTGATATTTATAAAAAAAATAATGTATAAGCTAATATATTTAGACACAAATTATCTTTCTATGTGTGGAAATTTAAATACCATATAAGTACCTTTTAAAAACGTTTTAAAATTATTTTAAAAGCATTTAAACCTTATAAAAACCTTATAAAAATCTTATAAATGCCGTTTAGAACCTTTTTAAAACTTTATAAATATTTGTATTGAGTCTCCCAATAGTAATGATGGTCTAGATGTACCTTAAAAACTATATAAGAGTTTACAATTTTTCATATTTGAAAAGGGATATTTTTAAAATAGATAGAAAATTGGTGTATTTTTAAAAAGGGGTACACCAAAATGAGTATTTCTCAAAAATTCTCTTTAAACTATTAAGCTAATTTTTGGTTTTGCCAGTTGTAGGTTTACAATTATAAGGGTTATATGCTGAGTTTATAAATCTGCATTATAGTTTAGATTTTATAATTAAAAGAGATTATTTATCGGTTTGGGTTTATTAAAGAGGAGTGCGATTTAGATTTTACAATTAAATAAGGTTATTTATCAGTTTGGGTTCATAAAGGAGAATTAGGATTTACAGTTTACAAATAATTTAGATTTTGAGTTTAACTAAGTATATAATTTTATTCAAGATTTTTATTTTATAATATGTTATATTTGTTTAATTTTTAATTTATGTATGAATGTATTATGCCATTGAGCAATTTCATTGTCTAAAACATAAGGGTGAATAAAAAAATTCAAAAATAATATTTTTAGCTTAAATAAAAGATAACATAGTTAAATATAAATCGTAATATAGTAATTTTAAAATATTTTTAAAGAAAATATGTAGTTTTTTATAATTCTTATTTGAAAGATTTTTTAATGTTTTCCTCAACGATGCTATAATTTATTTTAGAATCTTAATATTTATTTGCGTTGTTTATATGAATTTATTTACAAATGACTATATTTGTATTTAACATCATATTTTAGATTGATGTTAATTTGAAAGAACTTTACCATCATATTAAATAATAATTAATTAATTTTCATAGTCTGAGAATGATTTTTTGAAATTTTAAAGTTAAGAAATAAATTTTTTTACAAAATGGTATAATCATGTTTTAGAGGATAATTGCTAAATTAAGATTTTTAAAAATATTTTAGCAATATTATGAGTAATGGTGAATAGCTCCCAAATATAACCTCTATAAATTAATACTCGATAAATTAATATTCTCTATAAATTAATAAATTTCTCTGGTCCCTGGTCCCAACTCGGACCAGTGTAATTTTAATCACATTTTGATAAAATGATAAGATAATAATTTTTTTGAAAATCCTTTGTAAATATATAGTCCCACCAATATTATAAATTAATAATTAGGTAAAAATTTCAAAATATATGTATATATAGACACTTTAGTTTTTGTTAAATTTTTTTGGAAAAACTTTTCAAATTAGGAAAATATCTCTATAAATTAATTATTATTAATTTATCGATAAATTAAAACATCTATAAATTAATAGATTTTCATGGTCCCAATATTATTAATTTATAGAGGTTTTACTGTAGCTCCCAAATGTTTTGGTGATTGTCAATTTGACATTACTAGATTTTTATAATTAACGTTTAATAAGAAATTTTAAGAGATATATATATATATACACACGTTTATTTGATACTCCAAACCAAATAAATCTCTTAACAAATGAAATTAATTTCTCTTATTTTAAAAAAAAAAACAAATTTGAAAATTATTTTTTTATAAGTTATAATAAATTTTAATTGTAATTTAATTTTAAATATAGATAACCCGTCCATCGGACGGGTACTAAACTAGTATTATATAAAGAATAGATGAAGGTACTAGCCTAGTAAAATATAAAAATAGAAAATATAAATCAGACATATAACACGTGGCAACTAGCAGGTGAAAAATGAACAAAACTTTGAGGAGACGAAACCATCCTCCACTCAACGCTAAATTCCCCATTTTGCCCCTCACTCACTCTCCCCTCCGCTACATTAATCCCACCCGCCACCACAAACACACGATCCCCAGCTCCCGTCACGGCGAAAGGCCGCCGCATCTTCTCTCCGGGAAGCTTCTCACCACTTACGTACCTCCACGTGTCATCCTCCGAGAAATACACCTTCATCGGGAAATCACCGTGCTCGGAGATCACAAAGAGCCTCCCATGGATCACTACGCTCACCCCCGTCCACCCTTCTTTCATCCCACCGCTCATCTCACGCCACGTGTTTTCATCTGAATCGTACACGTGTCCCATCGGCGGAAACATGAACGGCCACGCCCACCCTTCCGTCACACACATCTCTTTCCCGATCACTGCTGAGTCATACTTAGCCAACACCATCGGCACTCTCTTCACAGCCGTCCACGTGTCGGTTTCTTGATCGTACGATTCAACTTCCGTCGTCGCTTCTCCAAAACCGTCAACACTCCCACCAACGGCCATGATTTTACCGTTAACATTCCCGGCGTTAAAGTACGTTCTCGAACTTATCATCGGAGAAATACACGACCAACGATTCGTCAAAGCCGTATAAACTACGGCGGAGCGGTTACAATCTCCGCCGCCGAGGACAAAGAGCTTCCCCTGACGTGGAATCGACGCGCAGGAGAGAGCGTGAGGAGACGAGATTTTGGTGAAAGAGTTTGGCATAGGAGGCAAAACAAACCAACGGCCAGATGCGAGGTCGAAGGATTGCCATTGAATCTTAGCCGTTGATTTGTTGAAAGCGAAGACGAAGAGGTAAGGAGAAGAGATAGAAAGAGATTGCTTGGAGAAGAGGAATCTAGGGTTTGTAATAGTTCTGTTCCATGAAGATGAAACAGAGCGAAACAGAGCATGGTAAGGGTAAGGAAGACGAAGAAGACAAAGCTCAGCGATCTCGTTTGGTAAACCTGGGATCAATGGCTGAGTTTTTGTTATGGTTTCTTGATGTTCTTGATCTTTAATGGTGTTTAGGTTTGCCCTAGTTTCTGATTCTGCCATTGTTTTTGTTTTTGATGAGATTGATTCAAGAAGATGAGTTTGTGAAAAAAAAAAAGATATAAAAAATGTTTAATTATGGGAAAAAGGGTACGAATCCATGAATGTAGTAAGATTGATTGATGAAGGGTCACATTCGCATAATTACGACATGGGACGGTGGATGGTTGAGAGTCTCGAGAAAACTTGTGGTTACACATGAGTCCACGTTTGTGGTATATGGAGCCAACGTTACGTGTATATGTATTAGTTATAATTGTAGTTACTGTTCATAGAGACAGTTTTGTTATTAGGAACATTGTTCTTGAAGTCATGTTTGGTTGCTAATTTGGTTGGGAGTTTTGAGTGCTATGGAGGATGCAAAGTTGAAGATGTTAGGACTTGATACAAGTCTACAAAGACATTGAAGGTTCTTGGCCTGCACAAGAAGTAGCAGTGTTAATGAAGATGAGATGGAGGATGCATGAAATCAAGTTCCAAATTAGCAAGCAAGAGTTTCCCTCTAGATTAAAACATCAGCTAATCTCAATAGTCATCTCTCTTTGGAGCTGTTCCCTGATTCATGTTTCAAATCTTGGATTCCTTAGCTGGTGAACATCATTTTCGTGATCTCGATACTGTATTTGGTCCTTTTAATGCTACTGCATGTTCAAACAAGATATCAAGCTGAGATGTTAACATATGTGTTATGTGTTTTGGATATTATGAGTCTCTCATATTTTTATTAAACTTATACTTCCCTCCTCATTAGCAAGAATAGCTAGTTATGGACATAGTCACACAGATTATTTCGCCTAAGCTTCTAAGACATTAATAACATCCTATATGAGGTTCATCTATTACTATATTTGTCAAGTATTGAGAAAAATCATCATCTATATTTACCTTAAGTCTTCTCGTTTTACTGCTCACAGCATCAGAAGCAGTAGCTCACTCATTCAGGGTTATCCAAATACCTGAAAACGAAGATTTAGCCTGTAATACCCTCATGTTATAATACTTAGTCTCTAATCGCCAAAGTTCCTTGTGTATGAAAGAAAAATGTAGAAGTCAAATCAAGTCTATCAATGACACAAAGAGCTGATACCATATAAAAGAGGGGCCTAGGTTTGGAAGGTCTTGACTCTTGACCTGTTATGGTGTACCTAACAGAATTGTTCAATTTAAAGAGACACAAACACAAGAAATCTAACCCAAAACTCTCATTTCTTAAAACGGAATCAAAGTGATAAGAACAGATTTTAGAACATACTCAGAGAGATATATGTTCTCTCCCTTGACATAACCTAACAAAATCTCTAAAGCACTTACCAGCTTGGATAAGTCTCGCAAACGAAAGCTAATATGTATATTAACTGAATGTAAAATGTTCCAAAAACAGGAGATCCTTAATAATTTCCTAAATCAGAGTATAAAAAGAGTAAGTATTCAGTCTATTTATGTTTCCCTGTTCTTGATCTCTGTGATCCTAAGATAGTAAAAAAAAAGAGTTAGAAAACAAAAAGAAGATGAAGCTGAAAGCTTACACTGTAAGCACATGTAGCAAAGTTTCTGTGCTATCTTCCTTCCTGCTCATAAGCAAAATGCTGATTGGTGTTGTGTTTTTTTTCTTTTTCTGTCTTTTCACCTATTTCCTGTTAGATTCCTGTAAAGAGAAAAGCAGGAAGAACAAAGTATTACATATGGAAACTTGTTGAAAGAAATAAACATTTGTTCAACAAATCTCTTGATGCCCACAAGTTTTTAGCATGCCAGTATCATGTTAAAGAACCACACACTTGGAGTAATCTCATATGCATATCCCAAAACATAATCTCTATCATAACTTAGCATGTCAAGAAGCTGTTTCATGGGTAGAGAATTACAACAGATGTAATAATAGAAGTCAAGTCACGTCTATTGATGAAAGGTCTTGACCAAGTATGGTAAACGGTAATTTTAAAGAGAAACAAACACAAGAGACCTAATCCAAAACTCACATTTATTAAAACAGAATCATAGTGACAGTATATTTCTGCTCTCTCCCTTGTCTTAACTCTACAAAACCTCCAACGCACTTTCCAGTTCGGATAAGTCTAGCAAACGAGAGCTAATCCTTATTATAGTTAAACGTAAAGTAACACTTTCCAGAAACAGGAGGTCCTATATAATTTCTCAAATCACAAAATAAAAAGAACATATAAGTATTCAATCTCATTTACTTGATCTCATTGATTCTAAGTTAGAGAAAGAAATGGAGCAAAAGATGATGAAGGTTAAAGCCTGAAAGGTTACACTGTAAGCACATGTAGCAAGGTGCTATCTTCCTTCTGGCTGATTTGTTTTTTTTTTTTCTGTCTTTTCGCCTATTTTCTGTTTGAGTTCTGTAAAGAAAAAAGCAGGAACAGTTAGAGATTAGTTCATCTGAAGAAAAGAGCAAAGTATTCCATATGGAAACTTGTTTGAGAGAAAATCTCTGGATGCCACAAGTTATGCATGAAGTGTTGTGCATGCCAGTATTATGGCAAAGAACCACACACGTCACAGTAGAGTAGCCTCATATGCATATCATAAAACATATTCTCTATCATAATTTAAGCATGTCGAGAAGCTGTTTCATGGGTACAGAAATACAACAGATGTTATAATGTTCAAGAAGAACTTACCAGCAATAGTTGTCTGCTTCATCAGTCAAGCATTCACGATAGCAAGTTTTCGCTAAGTTCCGAAAGATGACTCCTGTGAAGCTCATTCGCTAAGTTCTTCTGCGTTGATATCTTTTAGCATTGACTTACAGTTACAGGACAAACATGTTCTAACTACCATCGTCGCCATAAAGCTCATGGTATATGTAACACAGCACAAGCATATGTATCCCATTAATGTTTTCCAACTAGAAGAAAAATCACAGATCCAATATTTTGACCCAAGTGAGCACCATCAACACGAAATGCAAAAGATCTCAACCGGTTTTCGACAATTGACCAGATTATTTCATTCTGGATCGGACGAGAAGCTGAAAGCAGAATCAGTAAGGGATTTATGAATCCCTATAGCTTACAACATCATATATTTTCCTTTATAGCTACAACTTCTTGAATAGAGTTCATTTTAGTCAATTCTTTCCATTTACAAAGTATCAAAAAAAACTTGCAAAGAGTCTGCTTCCAACAAGTAATAGACAGAACACAACCACCAGACAAAAGTAAGGAACGAGGCAATGTATTGTGGACTTCGAACGAAAGAAAATTTCCATTAAAATGAGAAAACAAAAACGGATGTCAAATTTGTTATTAAGATATGAATTCTAAACAATGCTAAAGACTAGGTTACATACAGAGCAAACTGCAGCTATTACATGATTGACAATTGTACCTTGCACCGAATTGAAAGCACAAAATCTCTGCCCTCTCCCCAATTCCCTTATTCGCCTCGCGTTTACACACAAAACTCGAAACTCTTTGAGATTGCCAATTAGTGATAATCTTACAACATGGCAACCAACAACACGTATCTTTATACGGTTCTTTGAGATTAGTTCCATTTTAATAATCTACCAACCTGCTCTGAGTCTGTTGCTGCAGTCGTAACGCTGTGCTTTTCAGCTCAGAACTCATAAATACAACTCTTTCCGCTTCATTATGGAACTACACAGTAAATCTTTTTGCATTCAAAATTAGCTGTCCCTTTCTGGACAAGAGCAGGCTGAATCAGAACAACATGTAACATCAATATGCATGCCAAATATTTTCTTTCACACCTCAAAGTCTTGTTCCTCAAAAGACCGCATAGAAATTCTCTCCTGTAGAATTGGCCAGTTTTCGCCAAGCTGTTGTGGATTTAACTCCATGGCAGTTCTAAAATCAAGCAGAGACACAGAACGACGATCTTGTGTTATGTCAGAAGGCCCATTGGGAGTTTGTATTTGCATACTGTTACTTGGCCACACACCATTTACAATCTTGTTTTGACTCTGCTGCTTGTCTATAGTTTGTTTGCCAGGATCTCCATTTCTGGACCGCGCTCCAACCAAATCAACGCATGATTTGACCAGCTTCTTCAGATACACATCCAACATGTTAGTCAACGTATTAGCACACTCCAATGAAACCCCTTCAAGACCCTGTGCTACTGCAATATTCTCCATCCTTTTCTTCAGCATCTCTACAGCGGGTAATCCACCACTGGCATAGCAACTACTTATCTCAGCGCTGGTAGAAACAGGAACCGTTCTACGAGACCCACCAACACTAGCTGAACAAAAAGGAATCCCTAGAGGTGCAATCAAAGGACTCATTGATAGATTTAGCCTAGCCTGCTCTTCTTGATTTCCATCATCTCTCATAGATGCAGTTGCAACCTTTTCCTTATTTGGCATTCTCGGTTTTTCCACAGGACGAAGAAACTCACCATCTCTTTCATCAGCACCATATCTCCCTGATCTTTGACACTCAAATTGACCCAAATCCCCATTTTCCATACCAACAACACTACCTCTATTGTCTTCTCTACAAACTGGCTGATGCAGCATATGTTCAACCTTCCCATTTGACCCTAGTGGACTAGGCCTATCTCTGCTCTTCCTGTCACGCATTCCAGACCTAACTTTCCGCGGAGAGATGGGCAAAACCCCGTTGGACCATACAGCTTCATTCTGGTTATGGTTAGGAATCAAAGATCCACTTTGTTCAGGACCATCTCCTCTACTCTGAACAGCATTAGCCAAAGGTTTAGTCGAATGACCAGCTTCATGATCTGGTGGTGGAGACTTGGCAACAGTTGCATTTCTCAAAACAGAACGGATCAACTGGTTATGTAGAGAGAGATTCTCCCTCCCTAACAACCTCAAACATGTCTTATCAAACTCACTCTTAGTCAACTTCTGACTTAGAAACCTGCTTAGATAATAAAAATACCTTCTTGATCTTTCAACACCAATCTTCTTCACTATATGCCCTTTCAATTCACCCAAATCAACCCTCTCCTCTTGAGAGCGTTGCATCATTACTTACTCTCACCAAAAAGTTTACTTTTTTTTCTTTTCTTCTTCTTCTTCTTCAACAAATCTAGATGAACAGTGGGAGAGTGCACAGACGCACTCTCTCAACTTCTATATCCCTTCACACAAACTCCTTCAAATGCAAATTGATTTATGTATCTGAAGAACTAGCAATTCCCAAATCCATACAATGCAAACCCAAATCTCATCTTCCTCAGAACCAAAACCCTAAAGATCATATCCACAGACCAACTCACACAAAAGCCCTCAAATTTCAAAAACCCTAGCTTTGAGGTCACCCTCTCGAAGAAGAAACAGCGCAACGAGGCTCTAGCCAACTTGACGAAACTGCACCAGCAAAGAAAGACCCAACATTGTCAAACCCAAATTAGAAAGCTAGAAACTTTGAAATTTTCGGAATTTAACAGAAGTAAATCGAGATCAGTGAAGTTCGAAAAGATCCAAACTTTGGGAACAGAGCAAAGACAAGACACGAATTGGGTATCAAAAAGATGAAATTCGAATTGGATAAAGAGAGAACAAGGCAATGAGAAGCCAGACACAAGCTTGTAAGCAGAAGAAACAAGTGTTAAATATTGATTCGAGACCTAACTCAAGCGAAAAAGATTTGACCAGAATTTTTTTTTTTTTTCAGACAATAAGACAGAGAGATAGAACAAGGTTACTTCAGACCAACCTAAAATGAATCTTCTTCGGTTCTTTAGTTCGTGTCTGTGTCTTCGATTGTATGAACCCAAAAATCTTGGATTCTTCTTGTGTGGCTTTCTCGTATTGCCGTCGGATTTGAATGTCTGAGCTTTTCGCTCTTTCTGAGTTAAAGCTTCGATCGCTGCTTATTGGGTTTCCTTAGTTTTTTTTTCTTCTGTCTTTTTTTTCTTTTTGTTTTTGTTTACTCTTCTCTTTCTCTCTCTGCAAACGTGTTCCTTTTAAATTGTTTTTTAGGAAGTCTTAATTGAATCTAATTATTAAATATGTTTCCACTTTTTAGTTTCTATTACTAATTACCATAAATTAAGATTTTTTCTCTTATCAAATTGGTTCATTTTTAAATTTGTTTACTTAATAGAATTTGGCTTGATTAATTGTGTTGAATATGAAGAAGAATAAAGTTTGATTCATTTATGATAGAGTGATATTGTTAATAAAAGGTATTTTATAGAATATTAAGATTGAATTACAAATTAAGTTAAATATCATTGGAAGATTTAAAATTTGAAATTTAATAACCTAACCATCAAAAAATATTTCTGAGTACAAGGAAAAAGTTGTGAATCATATTTACTATTACATAAATTACGTGTTCGATATATAAATTAGAAATGTTATAACTGAAAAAGCTATCGACGATTCAAGAATAAGAAGTCATGTCTAGATGAACAGCTGAAGAAGATGAAATGGTAGAAGCTGATGAAACTGTCTTAAGTTATCAATTATGTTGGAAGTTCTAAGCAGAGGAAAATATGATACTAATTGATGGTGTATCTCATATTAATGTAACTTATGAAGCATTTGCCGAGACTGAAAATTTGGTTAAGGTTTATGTTGTTGTAAAGGCCAAAAAGTAGAAAGAAAGATAGCATAAACGTCTATTGAACCATAAAAAGTTACTAGAGATGCTTGAAAACCTTGTACATGTCACCCTGTTAGGCATATGAAGTTTTGAACTATTGACATGAAGTTGGACATGCATCCGTAAAACTTGCTTACATATAAAAATCTCACTCTCAGCATAAAAAAAAAGTGAAAACAAAGGTATAAAATCTCTGAAATAAAATGATTTTAAGTTTTAGAATATGTGTGGTCTGAACAATACATTTATTTTTTTAAAATCAACCATACAAGTTTTGGCTTGATAAACGTATTCATAATAAAAGAGTTCAATTGATTCATCCTATCCATAATGTTAACTCGAGGATTAATTTGTGACATATCAAGATTGAACTACAAATTAGGTAAATGAATTTGGAAGTCTCAAAGTTAGAAACTAAAGAAACTAGCGATGATCGATCGACCATCAATAATATTAATAACTTTAAACATTGAAAAATGGTAATATTATCTCATAAAAATATATATTATATTACATAAATTACTTGTTTAATATAGAATTAAATAAAGTATATATTGTATTTTAATTATCAAAAAATACCATCAATATAATAATCAAAATTCTATGAATAACCTTATTAGACATACAATCTCAATTTAGTACACATCTTTCTCGCAACAAAGATGTTAAGTGGTAGATTACATAAAAGAGTTGGATTATCTCTTTGCCTTTCCACATGATCTAGTATTGTAATATGCTAAAAAAAAAAATTAAGTTACAAGATATCATGGAGAAAGTGCATGATTAAGCAACTTGTCAAATACCAATATTATTGGTTAGTAATATATGTTTCCTAAGGTTGCAACTTGCACGTACAAAAAAAGATCATGTTTTGATAAAAGATGGATTGGAAAGGAATGCTTATTAAAAGGAGTTGAAATTGGTTTATTACATACAAACAACTTTGGGTTAGACTGATTAAAAATTAACTACTATTATAGTATATTATAACTTGGACAACAGAAAAACCTATATAATATTATATATTTAATGAAACTATTTTAAAATATATTTTAGTGGTATTTTTGAAAAATAAAGTTCATACTGGTATTTTGGAAAAAAAGGTACCCATTTTAGTTGTATTTATGAAAATTTCCCTTCAATAAATGTGGGAATTTTCAATGGAAATTTTTCTTGACATTTAATTTATTTTATCATTCATTCAAATTTTTAAGATTATAGCTTTTCCTAAAAGGCAAAAACCCTATAAATAATTTTTAGTTTAATATCATTTAAATTTTCAACAAAAAAAAAGAGCTAATGATCATAATGGCTTAATGTATATTTTAAAACAAATATTTTAACAAATGAATAAATTTAGTTCCATTTTGGCTTTTGACTTTAGTTGTATCTCTCATGAAAATTCAAAGATTTTAATTTTTTTTTTAAGCCTATACCTTATAAATCATATTTACTCTATCATTTCATTTTTTGTTAAAACTAAAATCTTAACAGTTCATAAAATAAAACATTAGTATCCGCTACATAACTGAATATTTTTAAATGGAAATTTCTAGTGGTGCATTTCATTTCGAATTTTTTATTTTTTCTCCAATATAAAATACATACTTTGAATTAAAAAAATAATGATTACAAGGTTTTTTGGCCCCTTAATAAGATTAAAAATGATTTTCTATTGTTAATTATTAAAATATTTATTTTAGTCATAAACTAAAGAAGTTAAAGTTAAAAAGATTACTTTTGCAAACAAAAAAGTCCAACTCTATTATAGAGGAATACATAGAATTCCTTTATATATAGAAAAAAAAAAAAAATAGCAAGTTTAATGTTAGAGGTGAAAAATAGAAATGGATAAATGGTAAGTTAATAACAGAAAAAAAAAATATTTAGAGGTGAGTTGGAGATCTTGTAGCTTAAAAGGTACAAAGTGATGCATACAAAGGTAAGCAGTCACACTTTAGAAGTCAACAGTACAAAAACTAAAGAATCTAAAAAAATACATTTGAAAAAACAGCTACAAGACAGAAGGAGGAAATATTCTACCTACACAACTTTGTTTTTGTTTCTAAACTACTAACAACTTGAAAAGTAATCAAACTTTGATTAGGTTTGGTTTCAGACTGTGTAATGTTGCTGAATCGTGTCAATGTCAAGTCCTTTAAGCTTCACCACTGACTCTACGTGCCCTTTTAATGTATTTATCTCTCTTAGCCTGCAGACATCATCAAACCCCATCATCATTTAGCAAAAACTTGTCGAACAACCGAGAAAAAGAAAAGCGATCTTCGAGTAACGGTGAGTTAATAAAGGCGAGAATCAGGTTGAGCTCATGTACATTTGGAGTTATTTAGAGCTTTGAATTGATAAAGTGAAGAGTTTAGTAAATTAGTTTCTTTACCTAACAACCTCAGCTCGCCGTTTGGCCTGTTCAGCGATCTGAGAGAGGTCATGGTAACTATTCTTTTCGTTAAAAATGTTGTTCGTCTCTGCTGGTTGAAGTCCATGGAGGGTTCTTTGAGCTGCAGCCCATTGAGCTTCTCTTTCCTCTTTCCCATAGTCTTTCTTCGTCGTGAAGGCAGTCTGTTTTGTTTTGTACACAGAAAACAACAGATAAGTAGCAAGATTCGTAGGTTACCCTGGGACTTTCAGTATTGGTATCGATACCTTGTTCTCAAGAAGATTTAACCAAGCTTTGCCACTCAAAACGTAGCGGATTCCAAACTTAAGCAAGTCAAGAGGGATGTATGTTATGAGACTGTATAGCCAGATCACTCCAGCCCATCCCCAACCGGCTCCTTCTATCCGGGCAAAACTCCAGTTTGCATAAACTGCTATAAAGGTTGCCACCTGAGAATTCATAGACCGTTATAAACTTCTTGTTCTGGTTTCACGAATTTTTTAAAAAAGAGTTCAAGGAGAACATGTGTTATATGTGTGCATACCAGTTGAGCTATGACAAATGCACCAAGCAAGAGAAGACCAGGACGTTCAACGAAGGACCAGCTACGGGACCTGGTGACGAAGATGAGAGCCTGACTTATGATGCTAACTTGTAGATACAGAGCAGCCATCATTTGTTCAGGGCGTTGGCTTAATGGTCTAACACCTAACATGTTCTACATAAACCCCAAAAAATTTAGCTTTAGCTCTTTTTGAACTGGCATTGAGAAGCAACTGAAAATAAGAGTATTTACCGAGAAAATATCAGTATCTTTCATCACCCAAAAGAAAACGACAGTCATCAAGGCCTGGTAGCCTCCAAGCACGACACCCGTCGAGAAGATTTCTCTAAGTTTCCAGCTATCTGGCTGTGGAGATGGCTTCACCCTGTCCTTTGATATTGTCATGATTGTTCCTATAAATAGCAATGATTTTGTTAGCTTAATCGATTTTTCACTATTATATGTACTTAATACTCTATAATGTGACTTCACCATCGTTTAAGATTGCTATGATCAGGACCATGAAAGGTGAGAAATCGAACTGCCATATGAGAGCAATGAACATGAAGCCAAACTGCAGATATTGTGATAACTTTACATCAGAACTGGAACCATTCAAATCAAATGAATTCTCGTGAGATATACTAAGCACACTTACCACAATACGTATTGTGATTGAAACCGCATAAATCTACACAGAAGACAATGTCAAGATTGGAGTTACTGAGTCTGTGAGTAGACAAAAAGTTGAATGAGAAGATGTTCTGACTCACAGTGTAGTTTTTCATTCTTTGGAATATGGCTCTACTGGTGAGGACTGCACTAATGATAACACTCAATCCGGGTTCTGTGAGAACGATATCAGAAGCGCCTCTCGCAGCATCAGTAGCATCAGCAACAGCTATACCAATATCCGCCTTCTTCAGAGCTGGGGCATCGTTCACACCATCTCCAGTCATACCGCATATGTGCTTCCTTTGTTGCAGCCTATTAACAATCTCATACTTATGCTCTGAAATTTTCCATGCACCAGAGATTTAATCAATAAGAATCTTGAAAAGAAATAGAACGTGTGGTAAAAGATTACACCCTTCTACTAAAGTGCATTTACCTGGAAAAACTCCTGCAAATCCATCAGCCTTCTCGATCAGTTCATCCACAGGAAGTGCACCCAAGGAAGAATCTTTTTCTTGTCCAAGCAGCGCAGAAGAGGGGTACATGTTCGTACCCATTCCAAGCCTGCGACCTGTTTCTTTCCCAATAGCAAGCTGGTCCCCTGGTTTCAGTAAGAAGGATAAACTAGTTTCAAGAAAGTTGATAGACAAGGATGTACAAAGAATTGTGTGATTCTTACCAGTTATCATCTTAACATTAACACCGAGGTTTAAAGCCCTCCTGATTGTCTCAGCACTATCATGCCTTGGAGGATCAAACAGAGGTAAAAGACCTACAAGTTGCCATGGATCACCAGAAGCATCTTTTTTCTTCTCAGGAACTTTCTGCACCAGTAAAAACAATATGAAACCCAAACGAAGAGACAAGGACACAAAGCCTTCTAGATATTATCCCATAACAGATATGTGATAACCAAGAACTAAACCTGTCTTGCAACAGCCAAAGATCGAAGTCCACGCTCAGCAAACTTATCAATCACTCCATGAACTTTCCTCCTTACATCCTCCTTGCAATTGCAGAGGTTTAATATCTGTTAACAAAGTCAAAGAAAGATCATTTACACAATCAACAAAAACCTGTGGCTCTAGCAACATATAAAACATAGTCATAGATACCTGCTCTGGAGCTCCTTTACTAGCTCTATGCCAGTTACCATCCGAGTCTATATACGTCAAAGCAGTTCTCTTATCAACCGGATTAAAAGGAAAGAAATGAACCTCTCTAACACCAGCACGAGCCTCTTTCGGATCACCAAGCATTCCAACGATAGCTGCATCAATCGCATCTTGATTCTCGATCCTCGAGGCTCTCGCAGCCAAAAGGAAAACATGTTCTTTACCAACTCCTTTGGCGAAAACCTCGACTAAGTTCCTATCAACCGTAAGCCTATTAAGCGTGAGAGTTCCAGTCTTATCACTACACAAAACATCCATACCAGCCATTTCCTCAATTGCAGTCATCCTCTTAGTAATAGCACCTTGTTTAGACAATCTATGAGATCCAATCGCCATTGTAACAGACAACACAGTAGGCATAGCTATAGGGATCCCTCCGATCAACAAAACAAGCAAATTATCGATTCCGTCTCGATACTTACGGCGTTGAATCGGATACATCACAATAAGCTCAACGATGATTCCTAACCCAATCGAACAGATACAGAAGTTACCAATCGAAGTGAGAACTTTCTGGAAATGGCCGATTTGGTTTGTGCTGTCGACGAGATGAGCTGCTTTGCCGAAGAACGTGTGGACTCCGGTGGCGACGACGATCGCTTCGATCTCGCCTTGTTTGCAAGTTGAGCCGGAGAAGACTTCATCGCCGGGGTTTTTGGTGACGGGGATTGATTCGCCGGTGAGAGATGATTGATCGATTTTGAGAGGATCGCCGTCGAGTAAACGTGCGTCGGCGGGGATGATATCGCCGAGCTTGACGCTGATTACGTCTCCGGGAACAAGGATCGATGCTTCTTGCTCGCTCCATTGATTATCTCTAAGCACCTTCACTCATTAAGTTATACGAAAATCATATTACGAAATTTCAAATTAGCTACTTAAGTTAAAATCGATGTTTTTGTTCGTTTTTTATTTCTTTTTTTAAACTTTAAAATATAAATTATTACTGAAACTACAATAGTATATAAAATAAATATTGATTATAAAAATAAAATAAATCGTTACAAAAATATATATAATTACAATAGTAGAAAACATGCATATATTGTTTATAGGTGTATAACATTTATTCAATATGTTTTCATAAAATAGATCATATTTTATATATTAAAAATATCGATAGAAAATAGGTTAATACTTCTGCACCAATAAGAGGGTAAAATCAAAATTAAACTAAATAAGATTTTTTAAATATCTATAATCGGTCAAGATTATGTGATGATTCGTTTCTTCAAATTAAATATCAAATTTTCACGTTTTTACGTTTTAAAAATGATATTTACGTATATATTATGTATGTGATAAAACTAAAAAAAAAAAAAACATTTAGAAAACTATTTTACTTAAATTTTGTTTAATTAGGTAAAGCATTTTCAATATCTAATTCATCTCGGTTTCTAATATTCTTGTAACATACAAATCTAAGCGCTTATATGATTAAAATTGCAATAAAACAAAATTACAATATCTAACAAAAAAAAAAAAGAATCTGAATTAGTTCATAATTTAGAAAAGCTAATAACTAGTTTGCATATGTATTATATATATATATATATATAGGCATGCAATTGATAAGAAGTATATATAAATAAGTTAATTGGTAACCTTAGTCTTGGGTGCTAGGCCGGCCATGAGAGCGGCTGCAGCATTACCAGCATTGTTTTCCTCAATGAAACTAATAGTTGAATTGATGAATAACAAACACACTATCCCAACAAAGTCTTGCCAATCCGGTGGCCGTCCTCCTCCATTCGCCAAAGCGATCGCCATTAGCGCTGCCGCCTCCATCACCCACGACAATGGATTCCACATGAACCCTAGAAACTTCAATACCTTGCTTTCCTAAACGTTTTATCCAATCATCATAACATTACTAAGAGTTTTTAATGAACTAAAAGAAAATTTGTAAGAAGATCAAGAAAGTAGAAGAAGAAACCTTCTTTTCTTCGAGCTTGTTGGGGCCAAAGAGGTCGAGACGGTGGGAAGCTTCTTCTCTAGTAAGACCTTGTTTTGTACATTTCAGCTCCTCGAACACTTCCTCCATAGGTATTCGAACCTAGAACCATTGCATAAGTTATGTTTATTGTTTCTTTCTCATTTTTGTTCAAGCTTAAATAGTTTCTAATGAACCACAAGTTAATCGCATGGGACAAAATAGTTACTACTTATACTATATGTATCTTCTACGTAAGAGAAAATTAGAATTAGTCGGGCCAAACATATTGATCATAGAAATGTATATATATATATACGTACAAGATCAACGGATTCATTCTTGATATGGTCGAGTTCATTGCCTTTACCAGCCGGAGCAGCCATAGTGACACCGGAAAGAAAGAGAATGAAGAAGAAGAAGAAGAAGATGATGAAGAGAAGGGTTTAGGATAGGTATGAGGAGAAGATGAAAGGTGGAGAAATAGGACAACCTTAGGTCTTTATAGCTAGCGTATGAACATTAATTAGCATCAAAACGTGAAGTGTGACATTGTGACTTTTATGAGGTAAGGGCTAGTCTGTATATATATTGTTTTGTGTTCACGAGTTCACTTCTACTTTTAGTGTGTTTAAAATTTTACTTTCAATAATTTTGGCCTGTTTGATATTTTCTTTTGAGAGAGTTAAGTGTTTTTTTCGTAAATAAAGAAGTGAAATCCCTAGGAGAAAGTGAACTAATAAGAGTTGAAAATGAGTCCAACGTAAGTTAAAACTTTTGTTCTTAATAATAATGGATGTAACATGATAATGTCCATAAACCTTTTTGGGTTGCATGCATTGATCAGCATATGAAATAAATGATGATATGATGAGGAAAATTATAGGTTCGACTAGAGTAGAAATATTAATCAGAAAGAAAATGAATTCACGAGCAAAAAAGGAACTTGTCTTTGCCATGTGAACCCAAAAAGGCGATATGGATCGGGTGCTGCTCGTGTACGTGTTGTGGCAATGATCAGTTTCTTCTCTTTTGTTTTTTTCTTTCACACTCAAATGTCTCGATGATGCTATGCTGAAAATATTTTAAGTGTCTTATGTTTTGGGGTTTTCTTTTGATTTTTAACCAAATTTGAAAGCTTATAGTATCTTCAAGTCAGGACCATAACATGTTAAACTAGCTAGTCTCTTCATGATCTTGGCGATTTTTTTTTTATTATTTTTTTAGTGACCAAATAGTAAGCTGGTTGAGTCAATAATGTTCAGATCATTTATTTTATAGTAATATTACACAAACACGAAAATAACATTTTCATAAGCAATAAATAAAAGAAGTAAATATAAAACACTGGGGAAAATTCCATAAAAATTCCCTATCTAATTTTAATTTGGAAGTTTAATACCCAATGTTATTTGATTGGAAACAAAATGCATGGTTTATTAATTTGTTGTCTATTAATACATCAAGTATATAAAAATTGTCGAATCGAAGAAACCGCTTAACAAACGATAATCGGATTGACGGAATCACTAAACCGGGGTTAATGGAATTACATTAAACTTAGAGTTTATCGATCCCAATTCGATTTGAGGTAATAGCAAAGGACAATGTAGTCTTTGGATAACCCCAAATTCGGTTTATTCGATTCGACAATTTTTATATACTTAATGTATTAATAGACCAAAATTTAATAAACCATGCATTTTATTTCCAATCAAATAATATTGTGTATTAAACTTCCAAATTAAAATTAGATGGGGAATTGTTATAGAATTTTCCCTAAAACACTGACATTTAAAGTATAAGACAAAAGAGATGGGTTTAAGTTGAAATAGAAGACTAATGATGTCATACATGAGTATTGAACTCGAGTTATGGGAGTCAATCACTTTGATCAGCTCATTGCTTCTATATATCGATCACATGGTCTGTAATAGGATCTCTGGTTCAACATATGAGAATTATGTGAATATAGCTCAAAAGCTAAACCACAACTCGTAAACAGTAACTGAAAATTTTATCTCCAATGTGTCACACCATTTATGCTAGCTTTAGGAGTCAAATGAGTCAGCCGCGTCCATCTGAGCCTGCCCAGTGCCCACGACGGGCATTATTTTTCTCTGGATTGTGAGAGGCAGGCAGGCCCGCTAGGATCACAAGCAAAACAGTTGCATCTAATACCATGATTATTGGTAGTGTCTTAAGAGTGAGAATAATCTCTTAATTAAAAGGAAAACGTGATTTTTGGTAAGAATGATCTCTTAAGTAAGAGAAAAAATGGAGACTCTTATACCATGATTATTGGTAGTGTCTTAAGAGTGAGAATAGTCTCTTAATTAAAAGGAAAAGGTGATTTTTTGTAAGAATGGTCTCTTAAGTAAGAGAAAAAATAGAGACTCTTTACCTTTTTAAGAGGAAAATCATGTTAAGAGCAAAACTTAAAAGCTCCCCAATAATCTTGCTCTTACCCTTTTAAGAGGAAAATCATGTTGACGACAAAAAAAAAAAAAAAAGAGAAAAATCATGTTAAGAGCAAAACTTAAAAGCTCTCCAATAATCTTGCTCTAAGTCTTCTCCGCTTCGCCTAAGGAGCTGGTAAGTCGGCCTATAGACCTATATTTAATATTTTAAAACAAATAGAAATAATATTTATTTACAGAAAAAATTAAATCATCAATTTTAATCTTTTTTTTTGTAAATTTCTTTACACTATCAAATATTGCACTTATTATACTTACAAAATAATATAAAAATATCTATTTATACATAAAGTACATATTTATCAAATTTTCGTAGTTCGCATGCCAATCCACCAAAAACCCACAACCGACATGTGCTTGCCCGCGAAGCCCTTGTTTTAACGGATCTAATACATTTGTATCCATATCCATCTTGTTGTGGTACTATTTGGGCCAAACCCACAAGTTAATGGCCCGCTTGACATCTCTAATGTCAGCCCTAAAGTGTTAATTTTAGGCTTTTAGCAAATAAAGAAAATGTTATTAAATTAGGTAAAATATAATATATAAAATTATATAGGAAATATAATATATCTTTTTCTATTCAAAAATATGTCCATTTTATGTTTGTGGAGAGTGTTAAAAGCCTAAATGGGTAAGAAATCATCTATACAAATTGGTCAAACTTTCTTTCAACCTTTAATTAATAAAATATATATTTCTTATTTTCAATTTCTAGTCAAATGTAATTTAAACCATATATAGTATATAATCTTAAATTTAAAAGAAAATATTTATTTTCACAAATACATTTAATTCATTGATTAAATATTTGCATTATATGTATCATTTAGTCAATGAAAAATGAAACAGAAACACTAATAATTAAAAATTGGTCAAATTTTCTTCCAGTATTTAATTAAAATCTTTATTTTCCTATCTCTAATTTGTAGTCAAATGTTATTTGAACCCTATATAGTATATAATCTAAAAATTTATTTAGTCAATGAAAACAGAAACACTAATAATAGAAAAATAAGATTTGGATACTCCCCAAAAGCTAAATTCCAACTAATAGAAAAAATAAAAAGCTGAATTACAACTCATCACATTAAATGAAAGTTCACACTAAAAAGCTAAATTCACACAATAAATACTAAACAAACAAAATCCATACGTTTCTTTGTTCTTATTATATAAAAAAAGTTCTTAGCTCTCACTAAAACGTATCTCTTGCTTCGTCCTCTTGTCTTTGCTTCCCTGCTCTCGCTTTAACGTTAGTCTTGTTTAGTCCTCTGTCTTGCTTTGCTACTCTCTCACAACTAAACCTCAATCTTGTTTGGTCCGCCGTCTTGCTTTGCTACTCTCTCACCACTAAACCTAAATCTTGTTTGGTCCTCTTCAGCTGTCTTGCTTTGCTACTCTCACCACTAAACCTAAATCTTGTTTGGTCCTCTTCAGCTGTCTTGCTTTGCTACTCTCACCACTAAACGTAAGTCTTGTTGTGTCCTTTTTCTAAGTTGTTTTTGTCGATATTAGACTAGATTCGAAGGATTTCAACTAAGAGTTTTCTGATATTTGATTGCTTATTTGTTCGATATGCTAAATTTTTTGTTCAACAAAAATCATTTGGAGTGGTTTGTTTAGATAGATTCATTAGAGATTTGTATTTAAATTGCATGGTAATGATATGATTTGTGTTGATGGTTTTGTTTCAAATTTAATTAGAGATTTGTATTTAAATTGCATGGTAATGATATGATTTGTGTTGATGGTTTTGTTTCAAATTTAATGAGAGATTTTTATTTAAATTGCATGGTAATGATTTGATTTTTGTTGATGGTTTTGTTTCAAATTTAATGAGAGATTTGTATTTAAATTGCATGGTAATGATATGAATTTTGTTGATGGTTTTGTTTCAAATTTAGGTTTTCTTGGAGATGAAGACAAAAGCTGGGAAACAAAAGAAGAGAAGTGTTGACTCAGATGATGTCTCTACGACAAGGAGGCCAAAGCGAGCAGCGGCATGTACAAACTTCAAGGAGGACGAGGAAACTATCTCTATCCCTGAGAAATCTTCAACTGTTGAGACCAAGAAACCTCATCTCGTGGAGGAGGAGATCGTGGCGATAGAGTTAACTGCTTCTTTGGAGAGAAATGATGACCAACCTCGCCCGAACCGGAGGCTAACTGATTTCATTTTCCATGATTCAAATGGAGTTCCACAGCCTCTAGAGATGTTGGAAGTTGATGATATCTTTGTTGGAGGTATTATCTTACCTTTGGATAATGACATAGAGAAAGAAAAGGGTGTGAGGTGTCAATCTTTTGGACGAGTTGAGAACTGGAACATATCTGGTTATGAAGATGGTTCCCCGGTGATATGGATCTCAACCGCGTTAGCGGATTACGATTGTCGTAAACCTGCTGCTAGCTACAAGAAGATGTATGATTACTTCTTTGAAAAAGCTTGTGCTTGTGTGGCTGTCTATGAGAACTTGTCCAAGAGTCCTGATACAAGTCTTGATGAGCTTCTTGCAACAGTATCTCGTTCGATGAGCGGAAGCAAGTTCTTTTCCGACAGTTCATCTATCCGAGATTTTGTTATATCACAAGGAGAATTCATATATAACCAACTAGCTGGTTTGGATGAGTCATCGTCGTCGTCGTCGTCGTCTACCAAGAAACATGAAACAAGTTTTGTTGGGAATCTTGTTCTTGTTTCTTTAAAAGATGAGAGTAGTAAACTTCTTAAGGGTTTGTCTAATGTTTCTTTGAGGGTTCATGAAGGTGATGCCTTAACATCTGATCAACCAGATGATGTTCTTGAGAAGGAGATGAAATATGCGAAGCTACTACAAGACGAAGAGTACAGGAAGTACATCCAAAAACCAAGAAGTAGGAGCACTTTAACTTCAGCTGCAAATAAGTTTTACATAAAGATCAATGAAGACGAGATTGCCAATGACTATCCTCACCCGTCGTACTATAACAACATCAAAGAAGAAACAGATGAGCTTTTACTCTCCGAGCCAGGGTATAAGGTTGACCCTAGTGATCTACCTTATATGACACTTCAAGATTGGGCTCTTTACAACTCTGAATCACGGTTGATATCTCTAGAGCTTCTTCCTATGAAGCCATGTGCTGATATTGACGTCACCATCTTTGGGTCAGGTGTTGTGACTAATGATGATGGAAATGGGTTTTGTTTCGATGATTCCGAGAGCTCTACACAGCCACAAGATCCTCATGGGATGAGTATATTCCTTAGTCAAATAAAGGAATGGATGATTGAGTTTGGGGCAGATATGATCTTCATTACATTACGAACAGATATTGCATGGTAAGCTTACGTACTATATTATTTCATTACATGTTTTTGCCTTTTTTTTTTTGTTACAATTATGTTGCTTGACGATGTACTATCATGTGTATATATGTAGGTATCGACTTGGGAAACCATCAGAGCAATATGCTCCATGGTTTGAACCTGTTATGAAAACAGCAAGGGTTGGGAGAAGTATTTTGGCTTTGCTCAAGAATGAAACAAGGGCTGCTAAGCTTTCATATGCAGATGTCATAAGAAGATTATGTGATTTGGAAGAGAATGATAAAGCTTATGTTTCTTCTAAACCTTTTGATGTAGAGAGGTATGTGGTCGTCCATGCACAAATTATCTTGCAGCTTCTTACTGAGTATCCTGACAAGGATATTAGAAGGTGCCCATTTGTGCTTGGTCTTGCAAGTAAATTGCAAGATAGGCACCATACAAGGTGGGTCATCAAGAAGGAGAAAATCTTGCAAAAGGGTAAGAATAAAAATCCAAGGGCACGCATGGCATCTAAGATGAAACCGATGGAAGCAACAAGAACCTGTCTCATTAACAGAATTTGGGGAGAGTTTTACTCTATTTACTCTCCAAAGGATTCAGTGGAGGAGATTAGTGAAGAAGAAGAAAAGCTTGAAGAGGAGGACGAGAATGAGGAAGAGGACACTGTGCGAGAAGCTGTTGAGGTCCAAAAGTCTCATAGTCCTAAGAAAATTAGAAGTAATTCTGAAAAGATGGAAATAAAGTGGGATGGTGAGATTCTTGGAAGAACTAATGCTGGTGAGCCTCTCTATGGAAAAGCCCTTGTTGGAGGGAAAATGGTGGTAGTAGGTGATGCTGTCATCTTCGAAGTTGGTGATCAAGATGAAACTCCGGCGATCTATTTTGTGGAGTACATGTTTGAAAGTTTAGATCACTGCAAGATGCTGCATGGTAAACTCTTACAACGAGGATCCAATACCGTTATTGGGAATGCGGCTAACGAGAGGGAACTATTCTTGACTAATGAATGTCTTACTTCTCAACTCAAGGACATTAAAGGAACAGTCAGTTTTGAGATTCGGTCAAGACCGTGGGGGCATCAGTATAGGAAAGAGAACATCATTGCGGATAAACTTGACCGGGAAAGAGCAGAAGAAAGAAAAGAAAAAGACTTTTCAACTGAGTACTACTGCAAAAGCTTCTACTCACCAGAGAAAGGTGGATTCTTTAGTCTTCCAAGAAATGATATGGGTCTTGGTTCTGGATTCTGCAGTTCATGTAAGACAAGAGAGGATGAAGAGGAAAGGTCCAAAACAAAACTCAATGCTTCAAAGACAGGCTTCTTCTCCAATGGAATCGAGTATTCTGCTGAGGATTTCGTTTATGTAATCCCCAGCTATATAACTAAAGATGGAGTCCATAAGGATGCTGGAAGAAAGCCTTTTATAAGGTATGGTCGAAACATTGGGTTAAGAGCATATGTCGTCTGTCAGTTGCTGGATATCATTGTCGCAAAGGAACCTAAAAGGGTCGATAAGACTTCCTTTGAGGTTAAAGTGAAAAGGTTTTATAGGCCTGAAGACATTTCTTCAGACAAGGCATATACTTCAGACATACAAGAGGTAACAACTATTTCGTTCATTGTTTCTTACTTACATAACACATATGTTAATGTTTGTCAGTTTATAACTTGGTGATCTTCTAATATTTTTCTTCTCTTTTTGGCAATTTCTTTAGCTTTATTATAGCGAGGATACTTATATTCTCCCTCCAATGGCTATAAATGGAAAATGTGAAGTAATGAAGAAAAATGATATGCCCTTATGCCGTGAATATCCAATATCAGACCATATCTTCTTCTGTGAACACTTCTATGACTCCTCAAATGGTTCCATCAAGGAGGTAAATCTTTTAATTACTTTTGTACATTAGTTTTTAAAGATTATGATTATTGTTGGTTCCCACAAAAAGTTGAATTGTTGTTTCTCTTAACTATTGTGTTACAGTTACCTTCAAATATGAAGCTGAAGTTCTCTACTATTAAAGATGACACGCTTTTAAGAGCAAAGAAGGGGAAGAGAGTAGAGACTGATGAACCTGACTCTCCAATGGTTGGGAAGCCTGATGAGGTACCTAAAGCGATGCGTCTTGCAACACTAGATATCTTTGCTGGATGTGGTGGCCTGTCTTATGGACTAGAAAAAGCGGGTATGTATTTATCTCTAGTCATAGACTTAATCTTTAAAAACGCTTGTAACAACTTGTAAGTCATATCCATGGTTTATTTGTACACAAGGTGTATCGAATACAAAGTGGGCGATCGAGTATGAAGAGCCGGCTGGACAAGCTTTTAAACAAAACCATCCCGAAGCAACGGTTTTTGTTGACAACTGCAATGTGATTCTTAGGTAAATAGCTAACAAGAAAAAAAAAACACTTAGCTTTTCCATTCTTGTGTTGGTATATGGTGTTTGAGATATTATTAATTACAGGGCTATAATGGAGAAATGTGGAGATGTAGATGATTGTATCTCTACTTCGGAGGCTACTGAACGTGCAGCTAAACTTGATGAAAACCAAAAGAGTACTCTTCCAGTTCCTGGTCAAGTTGATTTCATCAATGGAGGACCTCCATGTCAAGTATATATCTTTAAATTGTTGTTATAATACATTTTTTCAACAAGTTTTCATTTGAATAAGTGAAAAGGTTCTTAATCTCGAAATTTTTGGCAGGGGTTTTCGGGTATGAACAGGTTCAACAATAGCACTTGGAGTAAAGTCCAGTGTCAAATGATATTAGCATTCTTGTCATATGCTGATTATTTCCGGCCAAAGTATTTTCTTCTAGAAAATGTGAAGGGCTTCATATGGTTCAATAAAAAGAGCACATTTCAACTTACTCTGGCTTCTCTTCTTGAAATGGGTTATCAAGTAATGTTTTATCTCCTAATGCTATTAATTTTAGTTTCATGGTCTCATATGAAATGTGAGGTTTTTTAAAATACAAGTTTTTTGAAACATGCAGGTAAGATTTGGAATCTTGGAGGCAGGTGCATATGGAGTATCCCAACCTCGTAAAAGAGCTTTCATATGGGCAGCTGCACCAGAAGAAGTTCTTCCAGAATGGCCTGAGCCAATGCATGTCTTTAATAATCCGACCGGTTTTAAAATCCCACTCTCTCAAGGTCTAGATTATGCCGCTGCTCATACTACTAAGTTTGGTGCACCTTTCCGCTCAATCACGGTGAGAGACGCTATCGGCGATCTTCCACCAGTAAAGAACGGAGAGTCCAATACAGCTAGAGCGGTATGGTTTAATAAATTTACCACCAGAATTGAGTATATATGTATATACTTACATAAAAGTACAATAACATGAACTTATATATGGTTCTTATGTCTTGTAGTATGGAGGTAGTCCAGTCTCGTGGTTTCAAAAGGAGATAAGAGGAAACATGAGTGTTCTCACTGATCATATATGTAAAGAGCTGAACGAACTTAACCTCATCCGATGTAAGAAAATCCCAAAGAGGCCAGGTGCTGATTGGCGTGACCTGCCGGACATAAACGTAAGTCTTACTCATCTTGTACATTCAACTACATGCAACTTCTCATTAAATCTTGACAATCACTTTAAATGCAATCTCTTATTATATATTATAGGTGAAGTTATCAAATGGGCTTGTGGAAAAAATGATTCCTTCGGGTGTAGTAAACAATGCTAAGAACCACAACGATTATAAAGGACTCTTTGGTAGATTGGACTGGCAAGGCAACTTACCCATTTCCATCACTGATCCTCAGCCAATGGGTACAGTTGGAATGTGCTTCCATCCTGAACAAGACAGGATTCTCACTGTCCGTGAATGCGCCCGATCTCAGGTAACAAAAACTCTTATGTTCCTAATTCTTAGTTAGTCCTCTAACATCAATAACAGTGTAGCTAGAGATTTTTGGTTATGTTTGCTTATTAAATTGTGGTTTTATAATTATAAAAATGTAGGGGTTTCCGGATCAGTATGAGTTTTCAGGGAAGATCAAAGACAAACATAGGCAGATTGGGAATGCAGTTCCTCCACCATTGGCGTTTGCTCTCGGTCGGAAGCTTAAAGAAGCCTTACATCTCAAGTGCTCTCTTCAACACCAATCCTAAATAGCACCTAAATTTGCATTATGCCAACTGAATATTTTGTTTTATTCAAAAAAAAAATCTGTAATTGCTATAAATTTTGTTATTCGAAAAAAAAATTGTAATTGCTATAAATTTTGTTATTCGAAAAAAAAATTGTACTGAAAAATATATTTTATATTTTAAACAAATATATTTAATAATTAGTATTAAAGGTACATATGAACAATTTAGACAATGAGAGGTTTAAAACAAAATAGTTGTAAACAATTTTTTTTTTTTAAATTAGACAAATCTAAAAAATGAAGTTTCCACATGCTCTTTATTTTAAATAAATCATAACCAAATTCTTACTGCCAACAATTACGACAGAAACAGAAACAAGTAAATCTTATTTGGCAATGTTGAAGTCAATTTGCAAAATCTTCTTATCAAACAAGAACTGAGCCATACGCTCTAAATACTCGTTACAATTACATCAATGATCATACATATAAGGATATTGAGCTATGAAACTTTATAATGCTTTACAATATAACAAACTCTAGTCTCATTATTAGTCTCTAATCTTTCCCATGTGAGATAGAAACGAAAGAAACACACAAAAACTATTCTACCAAAAAAAAAAAAGAAACACAAAAACTTAAGTAATTCGTTTAACTAATTGTGTTTCTTTGATTCACTTTTTATTTTCTTTTTTCTTATTGTTGTTACATTGTTGTCAACCTCCCTTGATGTCCTTTTCTTTCGCCTATTGCTCTTGTGTATATATTTGCTAATGTGCACTAAACTTGGAACATAACTAAGAAGAAGTACTGGCCAATATTTGGAACGTGGTCTTGTAGTCTCTTTGTAGACTTCTTTGTATATATCTTCTCCAACAACATAGATTCTGGTCTTATATTCATCACCATCCGAGCCAACATCAGAACACACTGCCACTTTATTCTCCTCGTCCAACAAGAAGCTTGACACATTCACCACACTCGGTAAATCAAATCTATCATAGTCTACTGCTAAGACAAATTTTCCCCATGACAACTCTATGGACTCATCAATCTTATTGGTCAAATATATCCTCATCACATTTGAAACTTCAAGAAAATTCTGATGTAACACCGCGATTTTTTCTCCCTTAACAACTGATAGAGCCGCGGTATCTTTGGAATTAACACTCTGAAACGGAAGAGGAAAACGCCCGAATATCTCCTTTGTGAAATCAAAGTACAATATGAAAAATCCGGTTTCTTCGGCTCGGGCAACCCAGTAAGTATTTCCTTTCAAAGACATGCCGTCGCAATATAGGCTGTAGTCACGGGTGAAGTGATCAAGAACCCTCCAAGAATCAGAGCTAAAGTAATATATCTCAAACTCAGATACAAATTGTTCCTGGTCAATTTGGTAAATGCAAGACCTTAAGATTTTATAGCTATGGCCTGATTTCTTGCTCTTTACGTATCCTAGCGCATAGCAATCTTTACTCCGGTAACGAGTTCTCGGTTTAATCCTCCGGGTTTGACCGGTACAGGGGTTCCAAACCACAAGTCTAGTGTATCCCTCATTAGAACATAACATCAAACCGTCACAGTGAACTATATAAGATATTTCCAAATCTTTTGAGTCTTTTAGACGGCTAAGTTTACCCGGAAATTCGATAGATGGTTCAACGCTATTGTGGATTCCATGGAGATCGACACTAATTGAATAAACCCTAAAATTACTCATTAACATCAACTTACTTGCATCTTTACCAAAGTTCTTCTTAACGAAGTAGGAATCTTTGAGTAAAGTGTACCATCGTTTGCAAGTAGTTTGCAAATTTGCTAGAGACTTGGTAGGAACTCTAGAGAGTATTTCGGATTCCAAATCGTTTGGAAGATCAGAGATCATCATCGTCCTTCTGCGTTCTATGTGAATGGATCGTGAAAGAAAACGTATATGAGTGTATAAAACTAGGGTTTTAGTTTCAATAAGTCCGTATACCAATAAAACGTAGAAAATATAAATTAGGGTTTTAGTTACATAACCCCATACTATTTATTGAAAAGCCCATTAATTAGCCTCAAAATGTGTTTGATTACCGATGGACAAAATTAACAAAATACATAATATTTTATCTAAGTGGCTACGAGCAGAACAATGAACATTTGTATAAAAATCATTAGATAACTGATAAATAGAAAAATGTGTTGAATAAAATTGACTAATGTCGCTCGAAGTAACATTATTACCAAAACCAAAGAAACACAAAAGCATTAGATCACTTCTTGTTGTTGTTGTCAACGTCCCTTGACTTCCTTTTCTTTTGCCTATTGCTCTTGGATGTATTTTTGTTAATGTGCACCAAACTTGGAACATAACAAAGGAGAAGTGGCCAATTCAAATACGATCCCTTTGTAGTCTCTATATAGACTTGTTTGTATATATCCTCTCCAACAACGTAGACTCTGGTCTTATTACCATCATCATCATCAATATCAATATCAGAACACACTGCCACTTTATTCTCCTCATCCAACAAGAAGCTTGTCACATTCACCACACTTGTTAAATCAAATCTATCATAATCCACTGTTAAGACAAAGTTGCTCCAAGTCAACTCTATGGCCTCACCAATCTTGTTGGACAAACATATCTTCATCACATTTGAAAATTCAAGAATATTCTGATGCAACACCGCGAGTTTTTCTTCCTTAACAACTGATAGAGCCGCGGTATCTTCAGGGTTAAAACTCTGAAACGGAAGAAGAAATCGCCCGAATCTCTCCTTTGTGAAATCAAAATACAGCACGAAAAAGCCCATTTCTTTATCTCCAGCAACCCAATATGTATTACCTTTCAAAGACATACCACCAGAAAATATGCCATAGTCACGAGTTAAGTAATCAAGAACCCTCCAAGAATTAGAGCTAAAGTCATATATCTCAAACTCAGATACAAATTGTTTCGGATCCTTTTCATAACAGCAAGACCTTAAGATTTTATAGCTATGGCCTGATTTCTTGCTGTTTACGTAACCTAGGGCATAGTAATCATCAAACCGATAACGAGTTCTCGGTTTGATCCACCGGGTTTGACCTGTACAGGGGTTCCAAACTACAAGTCTAGTGTATTCCAAATCAGAGCATAGTATCAAACCGTCACAGTGAAAGATTCTACATATTTTAAAATCTTTCGAGCTAAGTTAACCAGAAAACTCGATAGAAGGTTCAACGCTATTGTGGATTCCATGGTGATCGACACTGACTGAAAAAACCCTAGAATTACTCAGTAACATCGACTTTATAGAATCTTTACCAAAGTTCTTCTTCACGAAGATGGGATCTCTGAGTATAGCGTACCATCGTTTACAAGTGGTTTGCAGTTTTGCTAGAGACTTGGTAGGAACCCTAGAGAGTATCTCGGATTCTAAATCTTTTGGAAGATCAGAGATCATCATTGTCTTTTACGTTTTTCTGAATCTGGTAGAGGAAGAAAACGTATAGGCGTATATATAGGAGTGTGCATAGAAATTAGGGTTTTAGTTAAACTAAGTCCCTATTGGTTTATTGAAAAGCCCATCGTACAAATGTGTTTGATTACCGTATAATTGATCAAAACTATGTCGTTTTGAGTATTATTTAACACAAAAAAAAAAAAAAGTTGCAATAGTATAACGATATCTTTAAATGTAAAAAATGTTAAATATATTATCATCATCACCATGAGGTCCATGACACCATCCTAATCGCCTCTTTTAAAAAAGGTTAGAAACGACGTCGTCATGACACTTATATACAGATTTATACGATTACCAAAATCTATACATATTCGGAGGATAAAATTGACTAATGTGAATGGTTAATTTACAAAACAAAAATTACTTAGAAGAATTTTTTTTGCACAAAATTCTTTATAAAACAAGTCGAATATCCCTATATTAGTAAAAGAGAAGTACAAAAAGTGCTTCCGGGTCGGGTCAATTTCAAAAAATTAACCGAAATTTATAATTGGATCTTTTAAAGTTGGATAGATTAATGGGTTTGGATACATACACCGGATACTTTCCAAATCTAATTTTAGAATTGTATTATTTCCATAACTAATTATAGAATTTACTAATATTTCTCTAACTAATTTAATACAATCTATTTTAAAACAAAATATTCTTCTTTCACGTTTATTTGATATTATTTTTAATTTATGATATTATTTAATAATAATTTAAATAATACTCTACTTTCACTATATAATATTGATATTTAATAAAAATTTAACTTTTTGCATATGTTGCAATTTGAATTTTTCAAAACGGACATATAATACTCAACTACACTCGGTTAAATATTTTGGACAATGGTTTAAAATCATTATAAGTATGACCAATATTAAAACCATTGTTACATGAGCATATTTTAAATTTCAAATAGTTTCAAAATATTATAAATAAAAGGTTCAAATACATAAAACTTTTAGAATTTAAAATATTGAAATATTTTTTTGAAGACATAAATGTAATTAAGGAGACATAATTTTTATTGATAAAATATATTATATATCAAACTACGTAAATTTTAGATAATTCACAGGTAGTTTGTTAAAATCACAATTATAATGATAAAGCGAGTTACGAATAATGTTTTTTACAAAATGAATTCTGTTACGGGTTGGACTTTCAAAAAATATATTGTAAATATGTAATTTTTACGTATATTCCTATTTTTACTACAAAAATGGTCAAAATGAATAATTTATCGACAAATATTATTTCGTGCTGTTAAATTTTCACCGTGTTTTTAGTTGTATCAAAACTCAGTATATGATTATTTACTCGCTTTTCCTTTATTATTTTATTTAAACTTATTATACAAATATATGATTTACCGCAATCGACTGCACTCTAACAAAATTAAAATGTAACATATTCTAATACGTTAAAAGTTATATATATATATAATTATTTCCTCCGCGCTGTAGCGCGGGTCTGAACCTAGTTTATAAAATAATTTACAAAGCTTTATATAGACCGAGTATAAACTTCTACTGTATATGCTTTACCAAAATTAAGAAAAAAAAAAAAAACAAATACTATGGATTTTACTAACTGTCTAAAATGATACGAAACACTGTAGCTTAATTAGCAACCTCCTCCGCCTCCACCACCACCTCCACCGCCACCACCACCACATCCACCGCCACCGCCACTGCTGCTGTCAAAACCACCACCACCACCAAACCAGCTGCTGCCACCTCGACCACCTGTATTCCAAATGCCTCCATGATGTCCCCCAAAACCACGGATTCCATAATCTCTGCCACCATTATTCCAAAGCCCTCCATGATACCCGAAACCACGAATCCCCACATCTCCACGGCCGCCATCATTTCCTCCGATACCCTGACCTCCTCCTCCTCCTCCCGTGTTTCTTTCTCCGCCGTCATCATCACCCCTATCTTTATATATAATACCTTTTACGTATTCCAATTAGGTTTTCATTATGTATAAAAAAACTTGGGAAGAAGTCAGTACCGTTACCGTATCATAGTTGCTTTCTTACGTTTCTTTGATACCAATACGGCAATACCAAATATTATATATATATATATATATATATATATCAACTAATCCGGTCAGCTTTGGAGAAATGCGTTGATGTGAATTCGTTGTCTAACATCTAGAGTTTTGAACTACCATACTGCCTAATCCCAGGTTTATAATATTTTCCGACTGATGTACGAGAGTAGTCAAGCCACCTACATTTATTAGGTAAACTAATTGGACTAAGGCTTAACTGACAAACTTCCTAGCTAGATGTTGATAACAGCAATAGACTGAGGCTCAGACCAAACCTCCAAATCTCCAATGTCTTTATCTTTGCTAATATTATATTGGACATAAAACTTTGCTTGCGTGTGTGTTACTGTTAACCTAATCTACCACAATAACAACTAATAAAAACGAATGGGCTTGACCAAAAAAAACAAATGGGCCTAATAAAAAGGCCCATTTAAATTTCGTTTGGGCCAAAACTCAAATCCAAGCGGGTCTTAACCCGACTCATATTACATCACCGCTTACGCAAACACACGACGAGAGAGTTTTTTAGGACTTTAGTCGTGAAACAAAACTTTTGCCGACCTACGAGCCGTCGCCTCATATTTATACACCAAAAAACCCCATCCCTAACTCTTTCTTCTTCGTTTCGCAATTCGATCTAAGACTTAACAGAGATGTCAGGATTAGCATGTAATTCGTGTAACAAGGAGTTCGAAGACGACGCTGAGCAAAAGTTCCATTACAAATCCGAATGGCACCGTTACAATCTCAAGCGCAAGGTGATAAAAAAATCAATCTTTCTTTATGGGTTTTTTGCGTTTTGGTTTTGGAATTGATTAGAGAACTTATAGAAATCGTGATTTGTGTGTTTCTGTTCCTTGTGATTATAGATAGCTGGTGTTCCTGGAGTTACAGAGTCACTATTTGAAGCTAGACAAGCTGCAATTGCTCAAGAGAAGGTTAAAGCTGTTGAAGCACCAATGCTTTATAGTTGTGGGATCTGTAATAAAGGTTATAGAAGTTCCAAGGCTCATGAGCAGCATCTTAAGTCGAAGAGTCATGTTTTGAAGGCTTCTAAGAGTAATGGAGAGGAGGATAAAGCTATTATTAAGCAGCTCCCTCCTCGTCGTGTTGAGAAGAACGACGCTGCTTTACTGAAGGGTTCGATTGAGGAGGTGGAGGAAAGTGAGGAGAGTGAGGATGAATGGACTGAGGTTGATTCGGATGAGGATTTGGATGCGGAGATGAATGAGTCTGGTGAAGAGGAAGAGGATGATATGGATGAGGATGGTATTGAGTTTGAGTTGGACCCGTGTTGTTGTTTGATGTGTGACAAGAAGCATAAGACGATTGAGAAATGTATGGTTCATATGCATAAGTTTCATGGTTTCTTTATTCCTGATATTGAGTACTTGAAGGATCCTAAAGGGTTTTTAACTTACGTTGGCTTGAAGGTTGGTGCTTTCTGCTTAGTCTGTCTCATCACTTTAGCTCTCTGTGTTGGTTTTTGTTTTAGCTACTCATATAGATGGTTGTTGTTTCAGGTCAAGAGAGACTTTGTGTGTTTGTACTGCAATGAATTGTGCCATCCATTCAGCAGTTTGGAAGCTGTTCGGAAGCACATGGAAGCTAAAGGTCATTGCAAAGTGCATTATGGTGATGGTGGTGATGAAGAAGATGCAGAACTAGAAGAGTTCTATGACTACAGCAGCAGGTTCTAAATTTTCTGCTTTCACCTCTGTTGGTATCTTATTACCTAATCTTATCTAAATGTGTCTACTTTTGGTGTGTGTTTTGTGCAGTTATGTTAATGGAGATGAAAATCAGATGGTTGTATCTGGTGAATCAGCTAACACCATAGAGCTTTATGGTGGGTCTGAGCTTGTGATCACAAAGAGAACCGATAACAAAGTAACGTCTAGGACTCTGGGGTCTCGAGAATTCATGCGCTACTACAAACAGAAGCCACCCCCATCTTCTCAGAAGCACCTTGTCAACTCTCTTACCTCCAGGTTTGTCTTTTACCCATCAGAGATCATCTTTTAGAATTAGCATTTGCAGAATCTGACTTGATTGAATCATAAACACAGGTACAAGAGAATGGGTCTAGCAACAGTGCATTCGAAGGAGAGCATAGTGAGGATGAAGGTGATGAGAGAGATGAACAAGAGAGGAGCAAGAAGCAGTGTCAGACTCGGAATGAAGAGTAACGTCATCAGAAATCTGCCCAACAACGTCACTTATTAAGTCTTGCTCCTCAAAACATTCAGGTCTATCCCTCTTTGTTTTGATTCCGTAACGCATCAGAGTTTTGTGGAAGTTGTGTTGTTGGAGAGTGAATCTAGAACCTATCTAAGTTTTTTCATTAGTAACAAAAGTATCTTAGGCCCATTGGGTTCCCATTTTGTCCTATTAAGTCTTTTGAAAGTGTAAACGTTTTGGCTGAGTTTGCATCTCTTTGCCCAGTACTTTGTATTTCTTTTCTTGTTAACTACAGCTTATACTCTACAGTCTACACTAATCTCTATGTATTTTGGTAAAGATTAAGGGCTAATCTATCTTTCTTATCTACTAAAGATTGGTTTGTAAACCAAGAAGTCAAGAACTAATAACAACATTATTGTATAAAATCTCTGAAATTTGAGAATCCTAAAGTCTAGTCTAGTCATGGGCAAGAAAACAAACAATCCGAGTTTACCCAAACACTCGAACCAAAAAAGTTCGGTTCAAGATCTTAGATTCAATTGAAAACCAAACCAAAAACCGAATCCTATCAAATTGAGACCGAGTCGAAACCTAACCGAATATCCAAATATCCCATCCAAATACCTATGCATAACTAAATTAATTAGTTTCTAGATCATACTTTCGAATTAATAAATCGAGGGGACTATTCAACTGATCAACCCTAATAGGCGGGAAGCTCCAATCAAAATTGGCGGGAAAATTCCCCGAAAAATATTCACTCACATAGCTCTTAAAATTCCCAAAATCATTCTCTTCCCTTAACTTCGATCATCACTTACTCAAATCCCAAATCTCTTCTCAAGATTAGCTTAGGGTTTCCGATTCGCGAGCTTCAAAAAATGTTCTCCAGCAGCCAATTCGAGCCTAACTCCGCCTTCTCCGGCGGCGGATTCATGTCTTCTCAGCCTTCTCAAGCCTACGAATCATCTTCCTCCGCCGCTAAGGTAATACAATCCATTTCCCCTTTTGATTCAGACTACAGATCCGATTATACAATCATACTGTTTGAATTTTTGGGGATTTCTAAATCCGATTTGGGTGTGGGAATATGCAGAATCGTGAGTTTCAAGGTCTTGTTCCAGTGACGGTGAAGCAAATCACTGAATGTTTTCAATCTGGTGGTGAGAAATCTGGTCTCGTCATCAATGGGATCTCACTAACAAACGTAATTGAGCTCTCTTCAAAACCAGATTGTTGATTTTTGCGTTTTTTTGTTGTTCGAGTTTACTCAATTGTGTGATGTTTTTGGTATATTCAGGTCTCACTCGTTGGGCTGGTGTGTGATAAAGATGTCTCGAAAGTCACAGAAGTGAGATTTACTCTTGATGATGGAACAGGACGTATTGATTGTAAAAGATGGTAAACACATACAGAAGCTATTCCTTTTGATTGATGCAAAGCGTTGTTTTTTAAGTGCAATGGTTGTATTTGTGAAGTTTGTAATTGGTGTGTTGCTGTTCCTTTCTTATAGGGTAAATGAAACTTTTGATGCTAGAGAAATGGAGTCTGTGAGGTTAGTTTCTTTGGGTTTTTGTGTGATTTATGGTGAGATTACTTTTGTTTTGGATGTGGTTTTCTAATGGTGAGCTTTGTGAAAATAGTGATGGAACTTATGTGCGTCTCAATGGTCATTTGAAGACTTTTCAGGGGAAAACGCAGCTTCTTGTTTTCTCTGTGAGGTAAGTTTTGATTTTAAAATGTTTGATTCCTTTGGCATTTGCTTTAGATTTTGGTATGTTCTACTTAAGTTTGTTAGATATATGTGAAATCATTTTGAGTATGTATTAAAGATTTTTTTTTTTGCAGGCCTATAATGGACTTCAATCAGGTTACCTTTCACTACATTGAGTGTATACACTTCTACTCCCAGAACTCTGAATCAAAGGTAAAGAAAATGGAATACAGCAAAAAGATATAACTGTGTTGTTGTAAGATCATAATTTTCAATCAATTCTCTCTGACATGTGTTTTCTTAATAGGGACAACAAGTTGGTGATGTCACTCAATCTGTTAGCACCACGTTTCAAGGTGGATCAAACACAAACCAGGCAGCACCATTGAACCCTGTATGTTGTTTCACCAAGTTTTATGGTTTTTCTTCATGACATATGATTAGCTTGCTTAAAATCTCATTGTTGCTGCTCTCTTTTAGGTGGTGTCCTCTCAAAACGATGGGAATGGTCGCAAGAACATAGATGACATGATTCTAGACTATCTTAAGCAACCTGCTTGCACGTGAGTTTGAGTTTGCTTCGCCTTGCACCACTTCGAATCAAAACTCATTTTGCTTACATGTGATTCTGAGTTTGCTATGCAAATTGCAACCGCTTAAAAGCTGGTCTGATAATCGTTATTTGTTCATTGCAGTGCAAGACAACAGGGGATACACATTGATGAAATTGCTCAGCAATTGAAGATCCCAAAGAACAAGCTAGAGTACGCTCTTTTGTCCTTCTTCCTTATAATCTCTATCTCTCTTTTACTCTCAAAGTTGTTGATTTCATGAGTTTGCTTTAATTTGTCTTCCTGGTGTGTTTATAGGAGCGTTATTCAATCACTGGAAGGAGATGGCCTAATATACTCGACGATAGACGAGTATCACTTCAAGCACGTCGAGCTTTGATCTCTCTAATAATGATAATCTAGAGTTTGGTTTTATCCGTAGATAAGAGTCATTAGTTTCGTCTGGTGATGATTTAAGAGATGTTTCAATATCCAGAACCTAGGATCACGTCTAGTTCAATTCTAAAACTTTGGTAGTGTCATGCCATAAGTCTTGTATTGGATTATGTTTCCTTGTTTCTTTCAATTTGGTAAGCCAACTTCAAAAGTTCAAACTTCAATTTGGATTGAAGTCAGTATTGTGTTGCAGTGCATGATATATACTGTATCTGATATACAATACTAGAATCTGAATTTCATTAAACTCAAACTGCATTACATATTGAAAACAAACAATATCAAAATCGTAACATAAACCTAAAGCATAAAACACTAATTAGCAAATCATTAATAACACAAAACAAAAAAACATATCTTCAAACCCTAATTATACTCTGTTCCATTCTGGTTCCTTATTATTACTAGTAGAATTGTTTGCGGCAGAGAGGACATGAGTCGTTATGTCGTTTAGTCCACTCAGTGACACAATCTTCATGATAACAATGCGAGCAGTTAGGCATCTGGCAGTACTCCTCGGATCCAGACAAATCCTCCAAACAGATGGCACAAGTCTCCAAATCTGTATCCAACGACGGAGCAGAACAACGAGGCACAACGTCGTACACCTTCTGTGTCAGTTTGACAGAGACTATCATGAACAAAGGTTGTTGTGTGCTGCGCAAGTCAGAGCTTTTGCTTCTTATCTGTTGGGCTTTGACTACAATCTCATCACCTACGTGTCCGGACAAGAGATCATCGTGGAGTTGGGTTTTGAGGGTTAGTAAGACGTCTTCTGGTTCCATGGTTCGGAGTTTCAGAATGAATAGTGAGTCGGGAGTAGAAGAAGAATCAGGGTAAGACCCGAGACTCTTGATGCTATGATCATCATCGTTCTCGTCTATGAGAAACTCCTCGAACTCTCTGTCTACCGTGATGATTACGGTGCTTAAGAACCCTAATAACGGTGCTTGAGACGTAGCGTCTACTTGAACACCAAGTTTGAATGATTCAGTTTCCATTGTTTGAAGTTGAAATCTGACAAAACTCAAGAAAAAAGAGAGTAAAAGAGATGAGTCGCGTAAGAGATCAGACGAAAAGTTGTGGAGAAGTGTGTTTATGTTTTAGCAAAACTGAAACTCTCATTATATATAATTTGTGATTTCCTTTTTTCCTTTTTCCTATTTTTCCCTTTTTTCCTATTTTTCTATTCTTATTTCCTTTTTTATTCTTTTCGAAGTTCATTTTTCGTTAACGGTCCATTATTTTATTGTTCTGTTTCCTTTTCCTAGTTGTACAAACATACATCTTTAAATTATTTATAAATAAAAAAAACAACATTATAGAGCTTAAACCAAATAATTTTTTCTATGGTTTGCCTTATTCAACCTAGCAAAAAAACAAACAGAGAATCTTATTAGACCTGTAATTAGCACATCGTATTATGTATAAATTATTGATTAAGAGATTTTTTAAACTAACATTATCTACAATATATTGATTCCATACATTATTCTATTTAAATCCTTTTTCTTTTAGAATTAGAATATAATTCCTAATTACTAATTTGACTGACAAAATACGTGATATAATTATTTTAAAATTTTATAAAAACATTTTTTTATTTAGATACGTATTTAAATAATTTATTTATTTAAAAAATAATTTATTTATTTAAAATTAAAAATTTAAATAATAATTTTTAATACACATTTATCATTATTTTCCAAAGTTTTTAAAGAAAATTTCAATTTATAATTTTCTTATAATTATTATTTTTAAATTTTGAGTTTGTTAAACCATTTTTGTATTACGATGGTGCATATGAGAAAGAGGAAATGGAGTAGTACACTAATATAATACTCTCTATAAGTTTTCGTCTTTTCTAAACTGGATTTTTTTCTTTGCTTTTTATATTAATACGAGATATAATTACAACAAATCCAAAAAAGAAAAACTTAAAACAAAAAAATAAATTATGACAATATATAAAGAGATAATGTAAACAATTAAAAATACAACAATCCGCACGAAACCCACAAATCATGTTCAAATTTCATGCTAACATATAAAATGCCCAAAATATTAACATCTAGATCTATATATGGTAGAAACCCTAATAGCACACGTTTCTTAATGATTTTTTACCGCACTTCCGTTTACGCCCACACTTCGACTTATACTATACACACTTAATTTCTCAACAACTAATGAAGCTAAAAGTCAATAGTTTTTCTATACAAACACAATCAAAGTTTTAAAAAAGTAAAGTATGGTACAGTGAAAAGAATAAGTAGAAAATAAAATACGAACCAATTACTCATAAACAACATAATAAACTTCCGCGCTCGCGCGGGCAACCGACTAGTGAATCATATAAAGAAGAAGAAAAAATTCAATTTACAAATATTATTCAATAGAGGCGTCTAAACATAACGTTTATAACCACGGAATCGGTTTAAACATAAACCGGGAAATTGATGACGGTTATATTTCTCCTTAACCGGTTGAAGATGGGTTAGTAACTTAATTAATTTCCAAATCACTTGTTTTAAACTAAGAAGAAGAAAAAGTGGGGTATCTCGTTTTCGGAAAAAGATGACAGTTTAGTTACCGTTGTGATAATAGTAACAAAACCTCTCTCATTGATTTCCTTAATACTCAAATTTTAATATGACCGTTGCGATTCATATTTCCTTTTCTTGTAAAACCTCTTAATATTTAATTTACTTTTATATCAAAATTCTCTCTTTCTCTCTCTCTCTCTCTCTCTCTCTCTCTCTCTCTCAACTTTCTTCTTCCTTCTCCCTTGATCGAGAAAATCAAAATTCTCAATTGTGATTAACTTCTTCTTCGTTTAAACCCTAAAATCAATACTAAAACAATCTCCTTAGTTCGTTTTCTTGTCGAAGTCGATCCATCTTCTCCTTCGATTCTTTGATTTATCGTCGCTGGAAAAAGCTTCTATCTTCAGCTTTCTTCTCCTCGATTTGTTGTTGTGAGATTCGGTTTCGATGATCGGGAGATACGTAACAGGGCGATCAAAACGGTGCTGAGTTAGTGACGTGGTGGCGAGCGAGCGAGGCTTTTGGGTCCTATTCTTCTGGTTCCTCATGGCGGTGCTCTTGCTTGCTTCTTCTTCTTCCATTCTAGGTACCGCTCTATCTCTTCTTGTTACTCAGACTTGGAATTTTCCTCTTGGTCTTGTTCTTGTTGATCTCTCTGGTGTCTTAGCGTTAGTTAACCTTTTATCCAATTTTAGGGGTTTATTAATTGGATAAAACATATCGATTCTTCCAAGAACGCTATTGGACTAAAAGCTTACAGCGTGAGTTAACAAAGAGGATAACATAAGCACAAGTCGTCTGATTTTGAGTTCTCTTTAACTAAAACAGTCCCATGAAAGTTGCCTTTGTGGTAACATAAATCAAAGAGGGTGTATGGGGTAGGGTCAACATCGAGTAAATTGTAGTTCCAACATAGATTACACTGTGTGTCGACTTTGTGTCTTTATGTGACTTCTTTTTGATGCAGTTTCAGTTCCTGAAATCAGACCAACGGATCATTCAAGATAGAGCCTATGTGTAACCCCAACTATGTCTGTGAAGAAAAGGGGGATTACTCTGAGTTACGTTTTGGCCAACTTAAGGAACTGTTCTGAAGCGCGTAGACTCTTTGCTACAGTATCTTGGTGGGAGGTTGAAACTTACCAATGTATTGGATTCTGGAGAATGGCTCCATTTTATGACATGGGATATATGCTCATTCAATAGGTATGAACTTTAATTACTTGTAATTGCTTGCTGCTGCGTGTTAATTGGGTTTGTGAAAACTGCAGTCATATGCTCAATTTTTGGTATTATATTATTCCTCTCTTTGTTTTTTACTGAGAGTTTGTGGTTCTCTGTCTCCATTGTATGTCCCTTATGTACTTCTTATATATGATTTTGTGTATTCAGTGTTAGATAATGAAGATCTGTCTTGCGTTATGCTTTTGTTTCAGGGAGGTGACTCAAGATTCGATGGTCCAGAAGATTAGAAAACGAATGTCGATTCCTACGATGATGATGATGATCTCTGCAACATATTACATCATCTGTAAGTTTAGAGATTGATCAGAGCACAAAGTATACATATTACATCTTCGTTTCATTGATTGAATGATGATTTTTATTGATCCTCTGTTTTCTTTCAGTCAAGATCGATGTCACAGGATATTGAATCTAGCCACTTAAACGCTTTCACCAGGTATTAGCAGGTTCGTAATAGTTTGTCTTTAATTATAAAAAGATTGAATTAGTGTCAAATTATGAAGTCTCTGATGTGTTGTTTGTTTTGTATTATGTGTAAAATTCGGGAACGGACACTGTCTGAGTCGTCACAGGATACTTGAGATATGGGAGATATCACAGCCTTGAAGGTATATTATAACTTTTCTAACTTTTATTTTTAACTAAGAATAATAGATTTTGATATATGTTTATATCTTCTAAAATATACATAAAAGAAAAAAAGATTTTATATTTTCCATTTCTATTTTTTCTGATTTTAAACTATCAAGGTTTTTTAAATCAAATTTCAATTAAACAATTTTAATTTTGAATAAATAAAAATGGTTTTTTCTGGGTTAAATCTAAGTGTTAAATTTAATTATGTTGAAAACAAAATGGGCCGAACATCCAGTCCCTTTGTGGTCCGTTAGAGGTGTATAAGTTCAACATGTTTTTCACGTATTGTAAATTTAACGCTTAGATTTAAAGGTTTTTTTATGATGAATATTTTTAAGTAAGTTTTGATTTTTATCAACAACATCATTATACAAAATGTTTTTACTTTAAAAAAAATATAAATGTTAAATTAAAATATGATGAAAACAAATAGTTTGTTTAAGGTCTTTTTGATAAAAAGTTTAAGTAAATTGTTTTGATTTTTTAACTAAACTTTTCATTATACACTATAGTTTGGTGTATAAGTTTAATATATTTTCACATATAGTGAGTTTAACACTTTAACGCATTAATCCATTAATACCCATATTTTCATGAGTTGGAATGGTTTGACATCCCTAGCTTCAAGTTTTAAGGGTTTCTATAATTATTTTGACTTCTAACCAAAAACTTTTCATCATACAAAATATTTTGGGTGGCATATTTAGATACGTTGAAATAACATGGCAAACTTTTCATAGCTTACGTTAAAACATAAATTTTAACCCACGTTTTAACGTATGAAGTAAAAATATTGCATGTGTTAAAATTTGTAAAATCATATCTTCTAATATAGAGTAGGGCTCGTCTAGGGTTATTTATTTTCAAATATTGTAAGAATGTTATATCCAAAGTATTCAAAAAAAGAATATAATTTTTTAAGTTGGTAAATTGTTTTTGTTGAACAAAATTATTTATGTATCATGCATATTTAAAAATTGTTATTAAACATTCATTATAAAAATCTAGTAATGTTAAATTATCGATCACCAAAAAAATTGTGAGCTATCACTATTTTCATAATATTACTATTAACAATTTTTTAAAAAAACTTATTTAGAAATTATACCCTAAACATGACTATACCATTATCCTTAAAAAAATTATTTCCTAACTTCCATTTTTTTAGAAAATCATTCTCGCATATTTTTTTACTTTGCAATTTATTGTATTTCTTAAATTTAATTAATTATTACAAAATTTGATGGTAAAGTTCTTATAAATAAACATCAATCCAAAAAAAATGAGTTATAGTGTCGTTGAGATAAGCATTAAGAAAACATTTTAAAGATGAAACTATACAAAATTACACATTTGAAAAAAAATAATATTTTAGAAATCATTATACTACAAATTATATTATTGAATTTTTTATCCTTAAACTTTTGTTATCATTATACTACAAATGAGATTGCACTATGACATATTACCTTTAAATGTAAAGTAAAATTAAGCAACATTTAAATATAAATTAAAAATTAAATAATTATAAAATATTTGTTATTTTAATAACACATTTATTCTGTTAAAACCATAATCTCGTTTAATTATACCAACTAAATCTTAATTCTCTTTTATAAATTGAAACCTTGTATTTGAAACTCTACATTGTAACCTTGTATAAATTGTGTAATTGAAACTCTACTCCTTATTTATAAACATAAATCGACATAACAAAACCCTTGTTTAATTGGAAAATGTAAATCACAATCCTCATTTATAAATCCAAGCAACCATATAACATGTTTAGTTGGTTTAGTTGTAAACTTTAATCCTTCTTTATAAACTAAAATCGTCATACAATATTTTTTTAATAGTCAATATTAAACCCTAAACTCTTTGATAAAACCAAACTGACATAACTAAAAGCTAGGTTAATAATTTAATTATAAGTAAAAAGTTCTCAGTATTTTAATTTTGTTTATATTTTTCTATTTTTATCTAATTTTTTCCAAAATAGACGTGTCACATTCCGCCATCTAATGTTTTACTTGACATATATCATAATCACGTGAGTTAATAACTATGAAAACCAAGTTTTACATAATTGTTAAATTTCCTGAATTTTTATTTTCTTCTTTCTATTTTGTAAATATTCTTTTTTTTGAAAACTAATTTATATATATTTTTACCACTAATTATCTGACACGTGTCAACATTTTATCGATCCAATTAACATGTGTCACGACCTTATTAATGGCTAACTTTGAAAACCCAACTTTATATAATAAGATATATCTCTCTTAAAATTCGTTATTAAACGTTAATTATAAAAATCTAGTAATGTCAAATTGACAATCACCAAAACATTTGGGAGCTATTTGTGAGCTATTCACCATTACTCATAATATTGCTAAAATATTTTAAAAAATCTTAATTTAGAAATTATCCTCTAAAACATGATTATATCATTTTGTAAAAAAATTTATTTCTTAACTTTCAATTTTTCAAAAAATCATTCTCAGACTATAAAAATTAATTAATTATTATTTAATATGATGGTAAAGTTCTTTCAAATTAACATCAATCTAAAATATGATGTTAAATACAAATATAGTCATTTGTAAATAAATTAATATAAACAATGCAAATAAACATAAAGATTCTAAAATAAATTATAGCATCGTTGAAGAAAACATTAAAAAATCTTTCAAATACGAATTATAAAAAACTACATATTTTCTTTAAAAATATTTTTGAAAATTACTATATTCCGATTTATTTTGAACTTTGTTATCTTTAATTTAAGGTAAAAATATTATTTTCGAAAATCTTTTATTCACCCTTATGTTTTAGACAATGAAATTTCTCAATGGCATAATACATTCATACAGAAATTAAAAATTAAACAAATATAACATATTATAAAACAAAAATCATGAATAAAATTATGTATTTAGTTAAAATCAAAATCTAATTTATTTGTAAAATGTAAATCCTAATTCTCCTTTATGAACCCAAACTGAGAAATAAGCTTGTTTAATTGTAAAACATAAATCTCACTCTTCTTTAATAAACCCAAACCGATAAATAATCTCGTTAAATTATAAAATCTAAACTATAATGCACATTTATAAACTCAATATATGACCCTTATAATTGTAAAACCTACAACTCGCAAAACAAAAAAATAGTTGAAAGAGAATTTTTGAGAAATACCCCTTTTGGTGTAACTCTTTTTAAAAATACACCAATTTTCTATCCATTTGAAAAATTGTAAACTTTTATATAGTTTATAAGGTACATCTGGATCATCATTACTATTGGGAGACTCAGTACAAATATTTATAAAGTTTTAAAAAGGTTCTCAACGGCATTTATAAGACTTTTATAAGGTTTTTATAAGGTTTAAAAAGTTTTAAATGTTTTTTAAATAATTTTTAAAAGGTATTTAAAAGGTATTTATATGGTATTTAAAATTTACACACATAGAAAGATAATTTGTGTCTAAATATATAAGCCTACATATTTTTTTATATAAATATCAATTTTTTACTTTTTAATTTATCAAAAATTAACCTTTTCAATACCACTTTTTAAAAATACCCCTATTTCAAACTTTATAAAAAAAAACCACTATAAATGTTGAAATTTATCCAAATATGTGTGTAAACTTATAAATATACACACAAATTACCTTTATATATGTTTAAATTTTTATATATCTTTCATAAATAGCGTAAAATAAATTATAAATACCTTTTAAAACCGTTATAAACCCTTTTAAAAACCACTTAAAAACCTTATAAAACTTGAAAAACGATTTAAAACCTTTTAAAACATTATAAAATATTTGTATCAAATTTCCAAGTATATAGAAGTACCTTATAAACCACATAAAACTTTATAATTTTTCATATTTAAACATGGATATTTTTGAAAATGTATAGATAAAGGAGGTATTTTTGAAAAGGGGTACACTAAAAGAGGTATTTCTCAAAAATTCTCTTTAATTTTTATAATTATTTTTTAATGTTGTTTAAAAATTATATTTGTATCTTAATATTAACAAAATTAGATATAACATGTTGCGACATCTTATGTTTTTACTTGACACTTATCATGATCACGTGAGTTGGTAAATTTAAAAACCAAGTTTCGACATATAATCTCGTTTAATTTATTAAACTTAAACCATAATTTTAGTTTATAAAGATAAACCATAATTATTATTCATCATTTATATACCCAAACTAACAAATAACCTGATTTAATTGTAAAATTAAAGTTTAAACGTTAATCCTCTTCTGTAAACAAAAACCGCCATATATTCTTGTTAATTATAAATTTTAAATCTCTATCTTATTAATAAACCAAATTGACATAACTGAAATTAGATTATTTGTTTAATTTTATTAATAATTTTTAATATATAATTATTTATAATATTTATTTTATATATTTTCTTTTTTGATAGGGTTTATAATATTTATATTTTATCCAAATATTAACAAAATTAGTTACGACACGTGTCAACATCTTATCGTTTATAATTGACACGTGTCACGATTTTTTTAATGGCTGACTTAGAAAACCAAGGTTTATATAATAAGATTCTTAAACTAGTTTAGTACCCGTCCGATGGACGGGTTATCTTTATTTAAACTTAAATTAAAATTAAAATTTATTCTAACTTATAAAAAAATAATTTCCAAATTTTTTTTTAAAAAATAAGAGAAATTAATTTCATTTGGAAAGAGATTTTATTTGGTTTGAAGTATCAAATAAACGTGTATATATTATATATATATATATCTTAAAATTCGTTATTAAACGTTAATTATAAAAATATTGTAATGTCAAATTGACAATCACCAAAACATTTGGGAGCTATTTGGGAGTTATTCACCATTACTCATAATATTTCTAAAATTTTTTTAAAAATCTTAATTTAGCAATTATCCTCTAAAACATTATTATAGCATTTTGTAAAAAAAAATTATTTCTTAACTTTAAATTTTTCAAAAAATCATTCTCTGACTATGAAAATTAATTAATTATTATTTAATATGATGGTAAAGTTCTTTCATATTAACATCAATCTAAAATATGATGTTAAATACAAATATAGTCATTTGTAAATAAATTCATATAAACAACGCAAACAAATATAAAGATTCTAAAATAAATTATAGCATCGTTGAGGAAAACATTAAAAAATCTTTCAAATACGAATTATTTAAAAAACTACATATTTTCTGTAAAAATATTTTAAAATTACAATATTACGATTTATATTGAACTTTGTTATCTTTAATTTAACCTAAAAAAATATTTTCGAAAATCTTTTATTCACTCTTTTGTTTTAGACAATGAAATTGCTCAATGGCATAATACATTCATACATAGATTAAAAATTAAACAAATATAACATATTATAAAATAAAATCATGAATAAAATTATGTATTTAGTTAAACTCAAAATCTAATTTATTTGTAAACTGTAAATCCTAATTCTCCTTTATGAACCCAAACTGATAAATAACCTTGTTTAATTGTAAAACCTATATCTCACTACTCTTTAATAAACCCAAACCGATAAAAAATTTCGTTTAATTATAAAATCTAAACTATAATGCATATTTATAGTCGATGCCATTTACTCTTCTCGCAAATCTTTTCAAGTAATCTTCGTTACCATGTAATAATAATAAAACATTTATTTGTCAAGAAAACACTATCGCCAACAATATATATGTTGTATATCACTTAAAAAATTAGTTTAGTGTTAAATTATATAGCTTTTATCTTCTAAAATTTGAATGATTATAGTTATGCTCAAAGATTATTATTGATAGAAGAGGTTTTAGATTAAAATCCCGCGCAACGCGCGGGTACACAATCTAGTACGTGGGGTAATAATTTTTAATATATAATTCTTTATAATATTTATTTTATCTATTTCCTTTTTCGATAGGGTTAATAATATTTCTATTTTATCCAAATATTAACAAAATTAGTTACGCCACGTGTCAACATCTTATCGTTTATAATTGACACGTGTCACGATCTTGTTAATGGCTGACTTTGAAAACCAAGGTTTATATAATAAGATTCTTAAATTCTTATATATATTAAAATTCGAAAATAAATTTAAATGCATGATTTTTTATTGGATACATATTATTTTGTAAAAAATCGCACTTATCCCGTGTAATATATTTTCTATCACGGTTAAATAGAACCGTATTTTTAGTTTACATTACCCATGCTTTTAGAAAAATGAAAATTACCAAACAAAGCCTTAATTCTTAATCAGGTGTGTAATTTGGGTGACCAAGTGCAAGAAAGAAACTAATTTCCAAGTTTGTAACGAAGCTGTTACATTTTATAGTACGAGACTACGAGTCATCAAAGCTTTACTAATTTTGTTAAACAAATTATTCGGAAAAAATGCTTGTACTGAAGTTTCATAATTTTTGCCAAATTGAACCAATAGTTTCAAAAATATAGAAAATGACATTAATAATAATAACATAAACTAGTGGACATAGTCACATAGATCTACATACCCCTTTTGTCCTTTACATTTGACTTGCGAAGACTTTGTAGTCTGAGAGACAAAACATACAAAAAAAATGTTTTATACATCTTTTGCTTTTGTGTGTTACAAAACTACACTCGGAATAGTTCGACTTATATTCATTCTATATATGGTCCATGCATACTTTGCAATAATAGACTTATTAGTATCAATGTATCATATAAGTGTATATAATCCATATCTTAAGAGTAGTATATACTAATATATCACAACAACTCGATCAAGAAGACAAAGTGCTGCTCAAGTTTACTGAAACCAATCGCTTAGACTAATCAACATTTCTACTTGGAAGATCCTGAAGTGATTAAGACAAAAGAACAGAATTAACATCACATTAACAACCCCTAAAGTACGCCATGTTACAGTCCCTTTTGTACGTTAGGAAACAAAAATACAACACCTTGGAGACTTAGAGACTTGGAGTCGTCGGTCTTGACTCAAGAGAGACGACATAATATAACAAACACAATAATGGGGCATGGAGTCTTTGCCTAACAACAGCCACTCTACACTTATCTTCAGCAAAGATCACGGCTATAAAAGGACCAACCAGTTTCATTTATAATTGAGTAACAATCTCATTACTTGTTGTATGTGTGTGTGAGAGAGAGAGGGTGAAATGAAGAACTTCTTGAATGTGGTGATACTTATCTTTTGTGTATGTCTCAATTGGTGTTATAATACCGAAGGAGGAGCTGAGGAAAAAGAGGGTGTAAAGGTTGATTCTTACACAATTCAAGCCAGCTCTCTATTTCCTTCTTCATCATCTTGTGTTCTTTCTTCAAAAGGTGATTATCATAACAACCCTCACTAGTCACTACTATATGAGGAAGAAAATAATTATTATATTGTTTTATTGTACTTTTTGTTTATAAAAATCTACTATACTTATCGATAAAAATATCATTTGGCATCTTAAATTCGAGTGTGTAATATACACCAATTATAAGTAACAATATATTTATGAATATATAACATATGTTACTATTTGAGTATATATATAAACATTATAATTTAAATTTATTCAATTAGATATTGATGATATTCAATTTTTATGTTTTTAGAGAAAAGAATTTATGATGATTGACTTTATTATTGTTAGGTAAATGTTGGTGTGTTAATAGTTAGTGAAATTTTTGTATTATATTAATTTGTATTTTTTTTATCATGATTTCTGATATATATGATTTGTTATGTTAATAATACAAAAACTGTTAGTATTTAGCAGCTTCTAATACCAAGTCGTCGCTTCGTGTGGTGCACCTGCACGGCCCGTGCTCGCATCTTAGGAGCAACAAAGATGCGAGACTCGACCATGACGAAATCCTCAGAGGCGATCAAGCACGCGTAGAATCCATTCGCTTCAAATTGTCCAAGAACAACTCAAACGGATCAGTCAGCACAACCAAGTCAACCGAGCTACCTGGTAAACTCGGAAGCACATTTGGTTCAGCAAACTACATCGTAACAATCGGAATCGGTACACCGAAGAACGACGTATCGCTAATCTTTGACACCGGAAGCGATTTGACGTGGACGCAATGCAAGCCATGTCTTGGGACATATAGGTGCTATACACAAAATGAACCAATCTTTGACCCTTCTTCATCTTCTTCTTACCAAAACGTACCGTGTTCATCTCCAATGTGCGAAAACGGTCCTCAAAGCTGTTCTGCTTCTAACTGCCTATACCGAGTCAAGTACGGCGATAATTCGTTTACCGAAGGATTCCTAGCCAAGGAAAGATTTACCCTAACGAACTCTGATGTCTTGGATGATGTTTACTTTGGTTGTGGTGAAAACAACCATGGGCTTTTCTTCCGTACCGCTGGGATTCTTGGCCTTGGCCGCGACAAACTCTCTATTCCATCGCAGACATCATCGACCTACAACAATATCTTTTCATACTGCCTACCTTCTTCCGCAAGTAACACTGGCCATCTTACCTTTGGCTCCGATGGCATCTCTGAATCCGTTAAATTCACCCAGGTTTCTTCCTTTCCAAGCCCATCCAACTATGGTATCGATATCGTAGGTATCAGTGTTGGCGACACGAAACTAGATATTACTCCAACCTCATTCTCGGAGAAAGGTGCTATAATAGACTCTGGTACCGTGGTTTCTCGCCTTCCTACTAGGATCTACGAGGAACTGCGGACCGTCTTTAAAGAAAAGATGTCCAGTTACAAGGCTACGTCTGGATACGAGATTTTTGATACATGCTACGATTTCACTGGCGTGGATACAATGACAATACCCAAGATTGCATTCTCCTTTGGTGGTGGCACTGTTGTAGAACTTGATGTGAATGGGATGCTTTATCCGTTATCCATGTCACAGGTTTGTTTGGCGTTTGCAGGGGATGATGATTCTCCTGCAATCTTTGGAAACGTTCAGCAGAAGACGATGGAGATTGTGTACGACGTGGCTGGTGGACGAGTCGGGTTTGCTCCCCATGGTTGTAGCTAATGATGATAAAAATGAGAGAGAGTGTGTTATGTAATTTAAGGGTTTGGCACATCAAATAATATGTATGTCTCAAATAATTACCCCAAAAATTAAGTGTATCCATGCTGTAGTTGCTTTCTATTGTATTATTCATAACTTTATAATTATGCGGGTTACATTAAGAAATAAATATAAACTATGATCCATAACATTTGAAGTCTATATACAAGTGTAAGTGGAAACCTCTTGGTCCAATGGTAATGCATCTTTAACAATGCATAGTTAAAGCCGTTCACCGTGATTTTAAAATTTGATGTATAAATATTAACCTAAGTTTGATGAATACAAGGAGCTTGCTTGGTCATAGCATCAGTTGTCACATATGCCGCTGCTCCAGGGTATACAAGAAATTGGAAAACTTGTCTTTTTGGGCTACATTATATTATGTATAGTTGTAAATTCGAGCTTTGGAACTCAAGTTGTTGAAGAATTGACTAAATAAAGATTAGGATAGACTAAATCCTCCTATTTTATCTTAGTTGTAAAACAACAAATCTCAATATTGATCCCTAAAACCAAAGGTAAAACAATAAAGCAGTCTACTAAACCCAAATATAGAGGTAACAACGATATAAAGTCAAGTTCAAATTTAGCCACCACAAATATAAGTAAATGTCTATCCACCATTAATCTTGAGCGACTCTTCAAGTCTGTATATATACCCAAGCTAATCGTCTTATTGCAAAAACTCAGGCTTTGAGGTTTGAGCGTTTACTATAGAAAAATAAGGGTAATAAATAAAAACACCCAAAGATGGGTCTCAAGGTCTCCTCTTCTCTCCTCTGTCTCACCATCTTACTCGGTGTTTCATCCATTGTATCAGCGGTTAACATAACCCGGGTGCTCGAGAAATACCCTGAATTCAGCAGCATGCTCGAGCTTTTTGCCAAGACCGAGCTCACGCCAATTATCAACAAACGTCAGACCATCACCGTGCTGGCTCTTAGCAATGATGCTATTGGTTCCATCTCTGGTAGACCCGAGGAAGAGATCAAGAACATTCTTATGAACCATGTGGTTCTTGACTACTATGATGAGCTCAAGCTTAAGGCTTTAAAGGACAAGAGCACATTGCTCACTACCCTTTACCAGTCCACCGGTTTGGGCCAGCAGCAAAACGGTTTCCTCAACTGCTCCAAATCTAACGGAAAGATTTACTTCGGGTCTGCTGTGAAAGGCGCTCCCCAAACCGCTGAGTACATCACAACAGTTTTCCGTAACCCATACAATCTTTCTGTGGTGCAGATCAGCATGCCCATTGTGGCTCCTGGACTTGGGTCTCCTGTTAAGGTTCCTCCACCACCACCCATGTCTTCACCACCAGCTCCATCTCCCAAGAAGGGAGCAGCCACTCCAGCTCCTGCACCAGCTGAGGAAGAAGATTACGCAGACTCTCCTCCTGGTTTAGCTCCAGAAACCGCACCTGCATCAGCACCATCAGAATCTGATTCACCAGCCCCGGCACCAGAGAAGTCTGGTAAGAAGAAGATGCCAGCAGCTGACGAGGCTGAACCACCTTCTTCTGCTTCCAACACTGGCTTGAGCTTTGGTGCTGTCCTTGTTCTCGGGTTTGTGGCTACCTTTGCTGGGTTCTAAGATGGGTTAAGACAGAGTGAGTCGAGCACAGTAAACTGAAAATGAGACTCGCCACATAGACAGAGGCATGGTGATATGAAGTGGATCAGATACACTAACACTTTCTACCCACATTATTGTACCTCAATCATTTATCATTAGGTAAAAATGTGATGTTCTGTCCTGTGAAACTTGTATTACCAAATTGTATCTAAATGTTTTGTCATCATCCATCTAATCCGTAACGTAATTAACACCAAACATAATCCACAATAAGTGAAACGAATTGCTTCAAACAAGCATTACGAAGATGACTTAACCGCAAACTAAATGAATCATTTCAAATCAACCAAATATATCAGAAAGTTTTAACTTGAATAAACTGCACAAAGCCGATCGAGCACTGCAAAAATGACAAACCCGAGGTTAAAGGGTCTACACCAAAACATCAAAATTAAGCCTAAAGGTCTTTGCAGTTGCTCTAGATAGTCAAATATTAAAGCCTATTTGCCGAGGGCTGAGGAAGAAACAAAAGACTCGGCATTGATAGAACCCTATTGTCATTTAATCTTCTCCACAATGTCCGTAATGACGTCTTCCATGTTAAGTTCCTTCATCGGTGTAAAAGGGCGCTTCATACCCTGCATAAGAAAGTCACATCATCTTCTATATAACTCTAGAAATTACGAACATGAAAGCAAACATTTTCTTATTGTATTCCTATTCACTTTAAATCTGATCTGATAGTTATTCTTATTTCAAACGACTTAGCACTCAATTTGAACCAGCTAATTAGATAAACAACACCAAAAGCCATTTTGAATGAAGCTGAGAAAACCTAATTAGTGGTCAGTTGACTCAGCAATTTCATCATCAATTTTGTGGGTTCTTAAGGATCAAAAATTGATTTCCAGCATAACATGAAAGAAACTGTGTTATGAGAAGTAGAACGGACAAGATGAGAAAACTCAATTCAAATGAAACAAGCCACTCACAGAAGTGAGTCCAATTAGTATAAGAACGAAGTAGCTTACCAAAAGACTGATAAACGTTTCACCGCCCTCCTCTCGAATCTCAAAGCAACCACGCCTTGGCTGTTAAAGCAGATCAAGAACGAAAGAATTAGCATAATAATGCACATATTGCATCAAACATCCTCAAACAATCAAGCATTTATGACAATACATATAAAATCTGCAGTAAAAAAGATTCACTACCTTTTCAGGATTCAGAGTAACAATGATGCCAGGAACAGCTTCCTCCAAACCTTCCTTCACCTCAGTAGCCCTCTCCTTGAATGATTTGCATTGTTTGCTTCAAGAAAACAACAACAAACCTTCACTAAGGTAACGAGACAGAGCATCATTCAAATACATTGGCTAAGAGTTCTTTCCTCAAACATCACCAAGCACAATCAAGATCTCAATTCAATCTAAGCACATTACTAGATCCTCTTCAGAATACAACACCTTTTAGCCTTATAAGCGAATTGGGTGACACATTGTGTACAAACAAGCAATATAAACAAGCAAGAAGACTTAAATTTCTCGGAATGTGTGAAAGATTCAAGTTCGAAACCCTAACAACAAGAAAAGAAAAACCCTAGAACACGAAATTTCCAACGCAGAGAGACAAAATCCCTAAAGATTAGCTTCAATCTCGCAGAACAAAAAGCCCTAAATACTCGCTTCGACATTTACCCCCAAATTTCTCCATACAAAAACCTAAAAGAAGAAGGATGAAGACATTTCGTTTACCAGTGCTCGATCACAATCTTCTTCTTCTCAGAGTCGTCATCTTCTTCTTTTTCTTCCTCTGCAGCAGCATCATCACCATCTTCCTCCTCCGCCGATTCCTCCTCCTCATCTTTCTCAACTTTCACAACGTCCTCCTCTTCTTCTTCCTTCTTTACCTTCTTGCTCGCTCCACCAGCCTTCGGTTTCGTCTTCCTTTTCTTCTCAAGAGACTCGAGGCTCACAAGCTTAGGAGAAGAACCGCTTCGTTGAGTATCGCTTCTCGTCTTCCGATCCATGCTTCGAAGCACTCTCGTCGACGTAGTCGCTACAGCTTTCCCTTTCCCTTTTCCATCTCCGTCAACCTTACTCTTCGGCGGCGCCATTTGTACGGAGGAGAGAGAGAGAGAGAAAGCTCCGTCGCCAAAAAAAACACCACCACACTAAATTGGCTTCTTTACTCTCTCCTCTCTGTAGATATTTATTTTTATTTTTTACGATTAGTTAAAAAGACGTTAGAGAGGGGTTAAAGAGTAAAGACTTAAAAGTTACCCTTGGAAGGACACGTCATCGTAAATTTGAATGGACGGTCAGGATTTAATATGGAGACTGACACTGTTACGATTGTGCGATCATATAAAAGGCGTGTGAGTGTGGTGACAAATGACAGTTGTGGTGGTGTGTTGGACGACATATCATCATTTTTAAAACACCGTGACGTCTCACTTTTAAAGATTAGCACTACGTACTGTTTTTGGTTTATCAATGAAAAAATGATTGCTGGAAATCGCACGCCGTGTCGTTTTTACAATTGGATTTCTCAAGAGTTGATGTAGTAGATGGGTTCTCGGAAATTGTAATTAACTAGATTGTGTACCCGCGCGTTGCGCGGGATTTTAATTTAAAACATCTTCTATCAATATTAATCTTTGACCATAACTATAATCATTAAAATTTTAAAAGATAAAGCTATATAATTAAACACTAAACTAAATTTTTAAGCGATATGCAACATATATATTTTTGGCGATAGTGTTTTCTTGATAAATAAATAATTTAATATTACTATATGGTAGCAAAGATTACTTGAAAAGATTTGCGAGATGAGTAAATGGTATCGACGACCAGCTCATGATCCTAATCGTAGATATTATTTACGATTAGATGTTGATACAAATATAACACCGTTCTATATAACCGAGCCTCATATACATTATTAAGTGTAAAGATACATATATAATATCATGTCGCTAGAGTAGGTTTAGCGAACTTGCTTTATCCATTGGAAAAAGTGCATGTGGTATAAGAGAACACTCGATCAAGTCATGAATGTGTCTATCTTATCTCATTTCTATAACTAACAGTTAAGCCCGATTTTGAATCTAGTAGTATGTCTTGAGTTTTAGAAAAACTCACTTCATTTCACACAATAAATGAGATCTCAAATATTTCAAAATTTAGTCATATACATTATTCTTTTAAGTTATAGTCATTTATATTCAATCGCTTTTAACTACTAATTCTTTTGTGATCTTCTACGATGCACTCGTTACCTATCGACATCTAGTTTATTTCCACTTTCTAATAACTCTTATGTAATATATATTGAAGTGTGAGTACGTTTTAAGACATCATAACAATTTATTCCTTAATAATAACCCATTTTGGTTTAAAAGCATTTGATTCAAATGATGGGATATCAAACTTTTTTTTCTTTTTGATTATGTTAGAAAGTTATAGTTCTAGTTGAGAATAAGTAAACTTTCTTTTTGAGATATGCTACTAAAATTACATATCACTTTACGTCTTACATGTCACTTTCTATATAATTTATTGTAAAACTCATGAATAATGTGAAAATTAATTATTTATTATTTTAGAGTATGTATAATAAAGTTTTTTTTTTTCATTTTTATATTTTTAATAGAATTTCACGGCATAAAGTGCGACCTTTCAAATATTTTCGTCTTAGAGTATTTTAAATTGAGTTTAGTAATCTTTTTTTTTTAGTTAAAGTTTTAAAATAAATAACAATATGTAATATTATTTTTAGAACTTATGTTTCACTTTAAATTTATTTTTCCTTTTTAAAATTCCAAAAGTAAAATTACAAACAAATTTTATTATTCTACCATGCATTTAAAATTTAGTTAAATTTTTAAAACACATTACCACATTTAAAATTCTAAAGTATGACTATTTTAAAGTTTGTTGTTGTTTAGAGTTTGAATCATACTATTATTACTAATAAAATTCTCATAGTATTGGTTTTACTATTTTAAATTTATTTATTTTACATATTTTTATTTTATTTTTAATTACTTATTTATTACCATGAAAAGAAATTCTATGTTAACATTATGTAAAATTCTTTTTTCTTTATCTTTATTTTAATTAATTATAAATAACGTATTATGCACTAAATGAACGTTAGGAAGTGAGGAAGTTGCAGAAAGGATATGCTAAACCTTTTCAGACTGAACTGTAACGCCTATATAATCAAAATAAATGTAAAATCACTGAAACTTAGTTGGGGGATAAGAAGCAATGGAACGGATTTTAGAATTTGTTAATATTTGTTAGAATTAACTTACGCGTGGATTTGAAAAGCAACAATCTCATGAGCGATTATTAAATCATATTGGGACTGAGTTTCTGAATTTTGATAAGCTGAAGTGGAAACGACAGAAATCCGTAGAAGAAAGAACGTAAGTGAGAGACATCATAAACATGTTAACTTATTTGGGCTTATATTATATTGGACTAAATAATTTGTTCCTTTCAATGTCATAGAAAATAAACTCAATTTAGATATAAAAGTGTTGAGGCTTAAATTTACAAACTAAGAGGCCAAAAATAATAAAATGATGAACAAAATATATGGGTTTAGATTATTTGTTGGGCTTGATACAAAATTTTTAAAAAAATGCTGATGTGGACAGCTTTAGAGGGAGAGAGAACTCTCTCATTATATATATAGATTATTTGTTACTTATAAAATATTTCAAAAATAACTAGATAGGGGTACAATTGGGTTTCTCAAAAGTTATATTCATGGAACACAATAAATATTTAAAATTAAAGTATTAGGGTTGGAATAGTCGTAGCGGCTAAGGCGGAAAACACCATAATTGGAATAAAACGTTTTTCATTCACTATTCAACAATTATTGTGAAAAGACCCGACCCGTTTTTTTTTTTTTTTAATTCATTAATTAATATTCTCATACCTAATAATTAACCTAACCGAATTAACCCAACAATAAATCATCATGCACAGCGGAATCATATTAAACCAACATCAATTAATCATAATATTAATTAATCAATCATTCAATAACCACAATTTACACCAGCAACCTAGCATGCCTCTAAACCATGTTCCAACAACAATTAACATATTCATAAACATAACAACTGAGACTCTAGATCATCCTGCTCTCCTCGCCATGATTTCACAGATCACACTTTACCTGCACCACAAACACAATGAGATGCGTGAGTATTATCACAAATACTCAGTGAAGCGATCCTCCCATCCACTGGGCTATACACACAAGCACTTAAGATCTAATCCATACAACAACAATGTCACAAACAGCCAAAACAGGCAATCAAAAGCACAACTATCGCTCACAGAAAACTGGTGTCGGTCGACACCACCACACTGGTGTCGGTCGACACTACCAAAAACAGGTGTCGGTCGACACCAAAATCTGGTGTCGATCGACACCACCAAACTGCACTTCGATCAATCGAATGGTGACGATCGACACCCTCCTGGTGTCGGTCGACACACACCCCCTGAAACGCATCCAACGACGATCTTAGCCACCAAAGAATCCCTATAGCACCCACACATCACCTCCCACGACGACACAACCCAATAACAATCACATAAGGCCGCACAAACACCAGAAAACATCACAAACACAAAGGATTCAATTCACAAGTCACATAAACACAAATCATGTAATCTTAACGCTTAGATAAGCCATAGTCACGCACTCACCTCTTTAAACAAGAAAAACAGCAACGAAAACAAAGAAGAACAAGGAATGATCTGCCTCTTCTAACACCACACAACACGGATTTAGCCTCTACTAGCCTTAAACCACCAAGAACACCACCAAGCACCACCAAAGACTCACAAAAACCCTCAGAAGCTCTAGAACCTTTTTTTTTATCTCTGTAAGTGTTAAAAAGCGACTGGGAAGAGACAACACACGACCTTCCCTCTTTTAAACACGACCTATGGTTAACCAACCCAAACCAAGGCTCAATTGAACCGACAATTTAAAACTTAAAACGTCAAAACCAAAATTACTAGTGTCGATCGACACCCGACCACGATGTCGATCGACACCACCCGGATTTGCAGACACGGGCGTTACATATTGTCCGTAATAATGCGGATAAAAAAAAACTAAAAAAAAACCAAATTATTATAATTGAAAATACTTTTTAGAGAATTAAAATTATTTGTGTATTTTTGTAATAAATTTAGTTAGGGTACTTTTTTTTTTGGTTAAAGATTTAAAGTATATTATAGTCAACACCACCGGTCAGCAACAGAAACAACAATTTTTATATATCAAAAGTAAGAAACTTGTAACACAAATGCATTCGATATAATATTTTTTCATTTTTTAAATTTCGATAGTTAGTATATGATATTTAGTTATAATCATTGTACTAATCGAAATTGTAACCATCACGTAATGATTAAACTTAACACAAGGTGTTTGGTTAGAGGCTGATAATCGAATAATGAAGATGTTCATTAATCAAGATAATCAAAGGTTTTGAAACGACCTTTGAAAGACTCTAAAACCTTTGAAACTGTGTTTATAGAAATTGGAAACACAAACTTTAGCTAAGAAATTTAGGCAAGTCAATACCATTATTGGGGATTGAGGTATATATACGTACGTGTCCATCTCGAAACATTGTTGCTTGCAAATTTGTACAAAGAATTATAAATTTAGGTAAAGACAAAATTTTCTTTATTTTTTTATAATAATTGTACGGTAAAAAATACCAGAATTATATATGAAGTGTGTTACAAGTAGCATACCAAGCATGATTTTCGCATCAATCAAATCCTTTTTTCCATGAATGTGTCATTTTCTGGATTAAGTAGATATGCTTATTTCAACTTGTAATTTACTAATAATATATAATTATATATTACATTTTTTCTCGTCAAATTTACTAGTTTCTTTTATGAAATTGTCAAAAACAGTTTTTAAAAGTTAAAATGGGTATCTTATAATCTTGTATATCGACATGCATGTAATATAACCACGGTCCACAGGTGGAGCTTAGGTTGTGATGATTGGGTCCGTTTGATACAACATCGATGAACGCTCTTTCACACACAGAAGTGGATATGAAACGTTCAGAAACAAATATATATATATATATGTATACATTATCAAATTCAATCACGTCACGTTGTAATAATCATTGTAGGTGTACACCATGCAAATTTTCATAATTACTAAAAGACGATAGAATAGTTTTGTTCTAAAAATAAATAAAAGTTGCTATAGAATGCAAAAATGAATCCAATACAATATTTTTGTGCACTACAATATTATTTATTAAAATTATATATATAATGGAATCTTCAAAATATTTATAATTCGAGCTAGAGTCTCTTTGTATTAACATGCATGGTTCTGAATTTGGGTTTGATTGGTTATAACGGAAGGAATAGACAAATTTGTCGGCGGTTTAGTCCACTCTATTTTTAAACGACGGACAAGGAATTACGGTAAACCAATTCTATTCGTATGTAAAGCGCTCTGTAGTTGGTCCGCGACTGTTTCTTTTTAGTGTTTTTGAAACGTACCATTACAAATTCAATTAGTGAATGATTAATAGAAAGCGGTTCGATCCATAAATAGTTTTGTCCGCTCGAACCGTTGTAATCATTTTAACCCATTTTTAGTATTAGATAATGCAAATTTACTTAAGCTTGTTTAATAAGCTACACTTTCTATAAATCTTATCGTAACAAAACTGTTTGGCCAATAATACACACGCGAAGGATGATGATATGATGATGGATGAGATGAATGTGTCGTAGTTTCTTGTACGAGTGAGTATATCTTAACATTTGAAAATCTTGAACTGTAAACAGATTATAACAATCTTTTTTACTAATTTCTTAATTTTAAAAAATCGTTATATACGTAACATTGATAGCTTCGGAGGAAACATTAAGACTGAAATGTACAAAGAACGGTAGGTTCCTTAATGATCGGGACATTCGTCGTCGTCGTTGATTATATAGACGCATTTCGTTTTCTTTACTTGAAGTGTTTGATAAGTTAAACCCTAGCTTAGCTCATATTTTTTTCTGGAAGACTACGAATATGATGAGGGAATTAAAATACTATAATATATATCTTCTCAAAGTATAATTTTCGTGTCTATTTTTCATCTCATAAAATTATAATATTCTAATGTAATTTCAACGAAAAAGGTCTAAAAATTAGATAGTTTTATAGTTTAAGTGATAATTGCGATAACTATTATACAAATGCTCTATTTTATGAAATATTAGATGTCTTTTACTATATAACCTCTATTGTTCAAGAATTTCTTGTATGTACTTTTGACGACTTAATTGTTTCTAATTATGAGCATATATGTAAATGTTCATAAAGCCTTCCAAGTTATGTTGTTGTTTTTGTTTCAAGTTATATTACTAGTTAGTCAAACCGGAATTAGTATGTACGCTTTTTTTTGGTCGGGAAAAATTATAATACTCTTACGACAACTTGGAAAAGTGTTTAGGGGGAACCAATATTGTGTCCGCAATATTTGGACCGTAAAAAATAATTATGGTTATACATTAAAAGTTTTATACCAAATGGTCTCGAAGTGAGACTACCCTAAAGTACTAGGTTTGATTTCCCAATTAGTATTGGAGCAAATTAATCTACAGGTTGTTGAATGATCAAATGAAATCCTTAAAGATACTATTGAAGGAAACTACAATTACAAAACACTCATCCATGTACTAATATATATCTTAGGTAAACTCATTTTATGTCGCAAGCTGAGATTAGACTAAAAGTAATTAACTACAAAATACACTCAACTTCTGTTACGAATTAAGCTCAGGCTAAGTGATTACAATTAGTTAAAGTCAACTTATGTATCATAAACTAAGGTCGGATTAAGTGTTTATGAGTATGAAGAATTAATTGAACACAAAACTTAGTATCAACATGAGCTTAACTATAGTAGTTCTATATATACTATTACCAAGAGTACACTCAACACTTTTCTCCCACAGACGAGGCCATATTGTAAATGAAGAATCTGACTCTATAATTAGGTAAATAAACACCTCCATATAATTCCACCGTCCACCTCTAGCTTGGAAACATTTTCGTAGTATTATGTACCATTTGAATATTTGTAAAAATTAAATCACAAAGTAGTAATTATAAGATCTAGACTATTTTGACTCTTTAATCATTGACCATTGGTTCATTTGCAAGCCAGTCATATAAAACAATTCGGAACATTTTGAAATGAGGACGAGCCTAGGAACAAAATGAACTGGATTGTGAGAGATACGACACACCAACACGTAATTACCTCGTATATGTATATAGAAGGAGACACACACTTATGGATGTGTATGAATGTATAAGGTAAGATGGATACACACTAAATGGAGAATTTCTTGACCAACTACACAAAATAAACAAAGGATAAAATTTGGACGTGAGGGGTTAAGTTGCATGTACCTTGTACTTGAAGACCCTTATTAGGTGAGAGCTTCATGCACACTCTCTCTTCCACATTTTCCTCTTCTATTATTAATTTCTACATTATCATTTCTACTCAATCTAGCTTTAATTATTTTATAAATAATCACATATTAAACACCGAAATGTAAAATTCTTACAAAGTAGTCTTCATTTCAAAAATATATATGTCTTTCAAACTTGGATGGTAATTAGGTTTCATAAACATGCCAACATAACTTAGAATTGATCATATATGTGTAACTATCTTTTAGAAATTAATCAATATAAAGGCAAAAACCGTGTTAGAATAATTGTACAATAATTGTTTTTTAATCACATGCACGACCAAAGTAATAAGAAAGTAAATAAAATATATAAAACCTACTCTTTGTCTTCTTCCTTCATCTTTTTTTCTCTTCTTCTTCCTTCATATTTTCCTCCATAGAATAGTCGCAAGTCATCCCTGTCTCCTTGATATATAAATACCACCAAAACCCTAATCTCATAAAAGTTTTGGTTGTCTCGTTTTTTCATCTTCCATACAAGTAAGCTCAATATCTCACCCTATACGACTTATCATATTTTTCTTGTTGTTTTTCTTCTATCATATTTATTCTTCCATTATTAGAACGTTAGGATCTATGTCCTCTCGTATACTCAAGGATGGTGAATCTTAAACATGTAACTATATGTGTGTTTCAAGCAGATATAGAAAGGTTCTTGGATCTGGACTAAACATCATATAAAATGGAACAAGGAGATCACCAACAGCAGAAGAAAGAAGAAGAAGCTTTGCCGCCGGGTTTCAGATTTCATCCCACCGACGAGGAGCTAATTTCGTATTACTTGGTTAATAAGATCGCCGATCAAAACTTCACCGGCAAAGCAATCGCCGACGTTGATCTCAACAAGTCAGAACCATGGGAGCTTCCTGGTACGTTGATTACTCTTAATCTTTTCTTCATACACACACATAAAGATCACATATATGTTCATATCTCTATGAGTATATGTGTATCAATATAGTTATACATATTGATATACATCGTTGATTTTTATTCAAAATTGGTATATATGACCTAATTTATTTGGGTTAGAAAATATCCGAAGCCATTTCAACATTAAAACCAAATATTTGTGTTTCTTCTACTTTAAGCATATGGTATACATACATGAGTAACATGTTATAAGTGAATAAATGAATCATGAAGTATTAAGAATATGCCAATTTTTATGTGAATGCGTATTGAGTACATCCTAATTGTATACGTATACACGTAAGTGTGTGTATGTAGTTATACTGGACAAGATATGATCATTCATATGGTAAAATGATCTTTCTATATTGGGAAGCATCTAAAAGTTCATTACACCCACTATATATATAATATTCCTCCTTACGAAAATGCAATAATATCATCATGAGTATATATCCTTGATTACTAATCGTAATTAAGTCGACTAATTAGTGCAAAACAAAACGAATGTACATTGGTTGTAATTCCTTTGTGTATATGTTACATATCCCTAGCTTCCACAATCTACAAAAGTCTTTTTCTTCTATCTACCATAAAATAGTGAATGCTAGATATATAGATGTAATCATGTACGTAATACATATATAATTTTCTTGTCAAGGTATTTTACTATAAATCTATGGAATAGTTTTAAGTTTCCTTAAAAAAAGATCCGTATATAAAGAGAGAAAAGAGTAACGTTAAGTGTTTAAAATAGAAAGTCACACGATGAAGTTTTCCTAACAAACATTAGTTACATTACATGAACCCAAGTCATGCATTCACTACCGTACGTACGTTAATTTCTCATCTACTTTGTTTTGTCTTTAGTTCCATCTATAATCCTGATTGATAAACTAACATTATCTTTTGTTTCAAATGTCTTTGGTTCCAAACTGAACCGAGACTAAGATAACAAAAATATTCAATAATCCACAAAATTTCGTATATATAGTATACTTATTTACGTTTTCATTTATATAGAAAAACAACTGTATTATTTTCTTACCGTTCATTATATTTATGAAATTTTCGTTCACGTTTTAAAAAATAACTTAACAACGTAACAAAATATTCAACTAAAACGTTTCCACTATATTATAATTTATTTCGTTATATTTACTATCGATCTAGCTATCATCAGAACCAGTGGCGGAGCTAGAAAATCGGATCATGAGGGTCAAAAACAAATTATAATAATTAATTATGTTATTAAAAAAATTTATAGGGGTCAATTGTGTTATATTACAAGGGTCAATTTGATATTTTTCCTAAAAATACATAAAATTTAAAAAATTCACCAGGGTCAATTGACCCTCGTACCACTACCCTACCTCCGCCCCTGATCAGAACAACAATACAAATCCTTTTAAAGAGTTACTTAGATCAATCGTCACATAAATAATACATTATCCTAGATTACAGAAGCAAAAACATTTTGATACGAAATATTTTGCGAAATATTTTGTTTTTTTTTTTACGATATTTATTAGTCAAATTTTATATATTAGTTAATGTTGCGAGTTATTCACAAAAGTTTCTGTTTGAGTGAATTGTTGATAGAGAAGGCCAAAATGGGAGGAAAAGAATGGTACTTCTTCAGCCTCCGGGACCGTAAGTACCCGACGGGAGTGAGGACGAATAGGGCGACGAATACAGGATATTGGAAAACCACAGGTAAAGACAAAGAGATATTCAACAGCACAACCTCGGAGTTGGTCGGGATGAAGAAGACTTTGGTCTTCTACAGAGGAAGAGCTCCTCGTGGGGAGAAGACTAGTTGGGTCATGCATGAGTATCGACTTCACTCCAAGTCCTCATATAGAACCTCCAAGGTATTATAATTCTTATTTTATCATGGTTATGATTTAATGTTTATAATATTTACACTAGGGTTAAGTGTTTTCACTAATCACAAATTGAACCAACTTGTTTCACAAGATGAACATATATATAAACTTAATAATTCTTATTTCGTTGTCCATGATGTAACATGTATATGCAGCAAGACGAGTGGGTAGTGTGTAGAGTATTCAAGAAAACAGAAGCAACCAAGAAATACATAAGCAGCAGTAGCAGCAGCACAAGTCACAACCACAACCAAAACCACGCAAGAGCCTCAATACTATTAACCAACAACAATAATCCTAGTTACTCATCAGACCTCCTTCAACTCCCACCACATCTGCAACCACACCCGAGCCTCAATATCAACCAATCTCTCATGGCTAACGCGGTTCACTTAGCCGAGCTTTCAAGAGTCTTCCGTGCCTCCACAAGCACCACCATGGACTCTGCTCATCATCAGCAGCTGATGAACTATAACCACATGCCAATCTCAGGGCTCAATCTCAACCTTGGCGGTGCACTGGTCCAGCCGCCTCCTGTTGTGTCGCTCGAGGATGTTGCAGCGGTTAGCGGTTCGTTCAATGGCGAAAACGGGTTTGGAAATGTGGAGATGAGCCAGTGCATGGACTTGGATGGATACTGGCCATCTTATTGATCGGTAATTGTCAGTTTTAAGTTATGGTTCTTACATTGTTTGCATTCGGAAGAAAATTCCCATTCACTTGTTGGTAAAACTTTTTTGTTTGTTTTTATTATTGCATTTGTTTACCTATTCTAGGAAGATATCAAGAATCTAAGACTAGTCAAGCCAATTATGGTGTGACTCTTATGATTTTTAGTTCCAAATAAAATAAAAAGCTGTAACAATTCCACCAAATTTGATTTTGATATTTGAGTAATAAGTTTCAAAAAGATAGCTTTTGAAAGAGTAATGGAGCAAGTCCCAAATCTATTATCCACATAAATCACAAAATACACAAACCAAGCCTTTACTAGATTTCCTCTAGATGTCTAATCTTCTCTGTATAAAAAGACTGAAAATTTTATATCCAAAAGGCATCTCAAAAACAGAGAGAGAGAGAGATAGATAGAGAGTGAAGAAACACCTTTGCACAGCGAGCTTAAACCATAAGATACCTCTAACATAAGCTGTTTCTTTCCATACATAACGAAGAAAACATATAGACTGTTGCTGAGGCTCAAAGAGAACGCATCAAAATCCGTCTTTACCTGCAAGAGCATAGAGAAAAGGTCAAGACAGCTTGACACAAATCATTCCAACGTTTAAACCTCAGTCACTAGTCATGAATAGCTTTTAACACTATATGACAGCGTTTTGGATTTAACATAAGGACTAGGATTCAGAAACGGGACACACTATCCATACATCAAACATCAAACATCAAACAGACTCAAGTCTATAGATAGTAAGTTCTGACCTGGCCTATGACTTAATCGACCTATCCAGCGACTACATATTCTTTGTTTATGATCCATTCTGCGACTGCGTATTTAAGCAGAATGTGAGATGTACCTCTAATATTTATAGTACGAGGAAGCGACAACTGAGGCCTGCATGCGACTTCACTTATCAGAATGACCCCTTTTGGCCTTACGGCGAGTATTGTGATGAGGCTGCCGGGAAGGTTTCTTTGTCTTTGTGCTACAATAAACATATAACATACCAACTAAAGGTCATTTGGTGGTATCAAAGTATCTATGAAAATTAGAGAACAATATAATGAAAGTAAGTAATATCTTATATATAATGATTTGGTTTTAAGTAACTTGCCAGACGAGCGAACACAGAAATCTGTATACTATGAAGATGGGTAATGCCAACAAAGCAGAGGCCTGCAGTGAACAGTTTTCAAATTTTTGGTTGAGAGGCAAAACAACAAAAAAGCATTGTGTCTTAGAGTGCAAGACCAGAAAACATACCGTAAACCAAATGAACTCTTTGGTGGCAAAAGGTTCCAACAGCTCATGGCTCTTCAATTTGCTTTCGACATTGGCTTGAAGCTTCACAGATAGACACACTTATCAGCTTAAACACACAACATATTCCTTTAGAAATGGTAGTATTCATAACTAGAATATCCATCTAATATACACCGTGCTTCCCATTCTGACCTGATGGTGATACGTTGAGGCAGATTTTAGGAACTCTTTGTAGAAGTGAATAGCCTTCTTTGTGTAAGGCTTCATGGTAGCTCTCACCTTATCAACATGTGGTTTTGTGGCCGTGGCTACTTGATCAACATATGGCTTGCTAAACTTTTTAGCCTCCTGGAAAGCAAAAACAAAACGCATTAAGTAGATATTGTCATCAACGTTGATGCTGAAAGATTAATATACAAGAAAATTAATAGATGGAAAAAGAAACAAAAACTTCACCTGGTAATAGGGATCTACATGTCCTTGAAATTTAACAATATGTGGGGTAACTGCAGTCTTGGAAGCATGGTAAGCCTCTTTCGCTTTGGTAGATAGTGTTTGCACGTGTGGCTCAACATGTGTTTTAACAGTCTCTTTTATGGCTGGAATATATTTCTGGAAATAAAATTGCATAAGTATAACCATAAGAGCCACATGAGTTAATACACATTGGCTGTAAGCTGCTTACATTTTTAATATTAGCTATGTGTGGTTTAGCCCATTTGTCAGCTTGATTTTTCGCATGTGTCACCTAATAAAAAATCAAACTTAATTAGAAAAAAATTTCCTTCAATAGACATGTATCACCATTCAGATGGATAAACAGTACCTTATGAGTTACTTTCTCCATAACTGGTTTTCCGTGGGCGTCCCAATGTATCCCAGCAACAGTCTGAGTCCAGAAAGTGTCGATATTAGTTGAGAAAATATATTGTGCCAGAAGTTGTAAGAGATAGACTCTAATTACCTGAAATTTAGTCCAGTGTACAACAAGCCAAGGAGGAAGCCATGCACCATGAACGTCCATCAGTTCCCTAGCCTTTGTGGTTGCTTCATGCTTTGTCCGCAGCATTTCTTCCTATAAGTTAAGTTTGATAAGATTAAAAATTGATGACAGAAACCAAAGTCGAGGATAACTAAACTTAATCCATGAGCATCATCATACCTCTGAAATTTTAAGAGCTCGCTCAAGTTTTCGAATTTTGCTCTTCTGCTCTTCTTTTGTCTTGTGAAGCTGCAGGACTATCTTGTTAAATTTGACAAAAACAAAAAGCACACATGCATACAATTCCAGTTTCTAAATTGAAACCAAACATTGACAATAAAAAGGAGTTGTCCTGCAGAACAATAATATAACTAGGACACAAAAACTCCAAAGGAAAGACCAAACCACGAGACTCAGTGCTGGTAACATTCAATTTACTTAAAATCTTAACCAAGTCCAGCAAAAGATAAAACAAGGTAGATAAAATAAGAAGAATCGATTACTTTGCCCTACAATGAAGCTATATAAATGATAATAAAGTGTGTCACGAGAAAAGGAACCAAGGGATGTAAAGAACATACTTTCTCCACTCTCGAGTTCAATTCATTCAGCTTTTTCTCGGCTGCAATACTCCGCGCTTCTGTCGATTCTTTCTCCTTGTCCTTTTGCTCCAGAAAGTTCTTGAGTACCTCAACCTGAATTCAGAAGTATAATGTTGGAACTTGAAAGTAAGAACTTAGCAAGTAACATACACATACAAGTTGAGTTCTCAAAATAAAGATCTAACCTGCTTCTCTAATTCATCAGCTCGTGCTTGAGCTTTACTCAACAGTTCCACAGAATCTGATGAACCTTTTTTCTAATGAAGAAAAAAAAAACAATCAATGACTCCAAAAATGAAAGCAAGATTACAAATCTACACAAAGATGACTGAACAAGGAAAAAATTGAAGTGAGACAATACTATAATAAGATGCATGCATATTGCATACCCTTAGAGATGAAACCTCAGTCTCCAAAGAAGCAACTTTGTCTTGCTTCTCTTGAAGAAGCTTCTCCTTCTCTGCTACTAACTCCTCTCTCCCTTTAAGTTCTTTGGTTTTCTCATCAATTTGAGATTCTTCACCAAACCAAAAAAAACGACAAAAATCAAATTGAGAATTCGCAAGTTTTCACCAAAATCGAAGTAACTGTAAGATTCCGAGTGTAACCTAGGGCACGGATTTTAGCATTAAGCTGATCCAATTCGATTTCACCACCGTCGGATCGGGGTTTCGTTACTTCGCCGCCGTCGATTCCAGCGTCGGCAAAGACACAAACGGTGAAATTGAAAACCAAGGCGAGAAATAGTAACAAAGCCACGAGTTTCGCGGCAGCCATGTCGGAAAAACACTGTACTAATAAAAACAAAGAAGATGATCTCGCCGGAGATTTGCCAACAACACAGAGATTTTTCGTTGTTTGATCAAAATTGAACACACACCGATTTGTTTTTTTTTTTTTTGGTTTTCTTTCTTTTTTGATGATTGGAGAAAGACGACAAGTTTTTTTTGGTCTGTGTGTGATGAGAATGTGGTTTCGTGACTGACACGTGGCGATATTCTCAGGATATGGAAAAGAAAACTTACTCCTGAAGGTAAAGTAAAAAGTATAAAGACACTTTGTAGCCCTGTGCAAAATATTCGTTAGATTCGTTTCGATTCGATTCGAAAAATTCAAAATCTATAAGATATTGAACCGAATCAAATATGAAAATATAGTATTCGTAAAAACCGAAGCAAATAACAAATATTGATTTTCTTAGTGTCGAATATCCGCTTCGCTTCGTATATTTATATATATATGTATTAATATAAATCATTTTATAATATATATATATATAATATGTGTATTTATAGATTTGGGTATATATCTTATAGGCTTATTATTCAAATTATTATATTTTGGTCCGTTGGTTTTTTTGCTAAATGTTGTTCTTAAGCAAATAAAACTTTATTAGAAAATCAATATTAAAAATAAAATGTGAGAATTCTATGGATGGTGGTTACATTTTCTTCTTATTTTGAAAACATGTCAAACAAGAACCTCTAATATCTCATATTTTGTACTTTATATTTGTGTACTATATGTTTTTAGTTTTTAAAAAAATTAGATGGGTCGAAGCGAAGTGAAGCAAGTAATTCGCAAATATTACGAAAAATATTTGAATATTCGAAGTTCCGAATACTCGAAAATTTACGAAGCGAAGCAAATAGCAAAATCAACTATTCGGTCAAAGCGAAGCAAATCACAAATATCACAAATTTTCCGAATATTCGCTTCGTGCCCAGGGCTAGTATTTTGTATTAATATGTCTTACTATTTTTGATGAAAATAATAATTATGTGATAATTATATGACGGTTAATTAGAAACATGAAATGTTATTGTTAATTTTTTTTCTTGTCATCGTTACAAATTATAAGTTTCTCTAAAAGAGACCGGATTCGAACCTAAATCTGGTGAGAAGGTTACCTCTAGCCCACTTGCTAATGTTTTTGTTAATTAAAGGTTAAATATTATTTTTTATACAAAATCTTAATAATTTCCCTCATTTTTTTTTCTTGATAATTTCCCTCATTTACATTATTGAAATTAATTGTATTAAAACTAATCGTAGAAATAAATTAAGTTAAAAACATTATGTAATGTAATTGTTTTTGAGTTTCACTTGCACATGTGCGTGCACAAGGCTCAATGGCTAAGGGTAGGTAGTACAGTCGTACGATGACTTCATTGCGGGGGAAAAGAAACAATAGTTGGGCCGTGTGGAGATTATTAATGGGCTTTATTTGTTGTATAATCAAGCCCAATCGCTAGATCCTTATAGGACCAATCGAGTCAACCCGAAACCAGACCCAACCTAACTTTTCAAATCCGGTTCCAAGACCTTGGGATGATGATATTTTCCTACTGTGTGTCCATTACTTTCTTAGGACACAAGATTTGTTAACCGACGACCCTTGCCGCCATGTCGAACCATTCCCACCACCGGGCAGCTGAAGAGGCTTAGGCAGATAAGAAATAAGGAAGAACCATGTTTCGAGCTGAAGAAACCAACAGATACAAAGGTGTCACACTTCTCTTTAATGAGCCACACCAGAGGCTAGAACACCCCAAAGACAGATGGAGACTTTAACCATTCAATGAGCCACTTTGCATCCATCACCAAAGCTGCTATTGGGACTTTACGTTAAGTTATTTAATTTTGTTTGTTAGCTGCTATTGGTTTAGAATCATTAAAATAACCCCAAAGCATATGATTAGCTCAATATTTTTAATCATAAAAAACAATTAACCTCTAACTCTGCTATTAATTAAATTAGACGGTCCACTAACTCTATATATCTCCAACTCTCATAATCCATCACGTCCTCATCACTACACATTGAAAGAGACAAACGCTAAACCATCACATAAACATAACATAGTACCAAACCCCATTTCTTGTCTTGTGTCTTCTATCTCCCCCATGGAAGCCAAGAAGTCCAACAAGATCAGAGAGATCGTTAAGCTTCAACAGATCCTCAAGAAATGGCGAAAACAAGCTATTGCATCAAAAGCAGCCAACAACAATACCACTGAAGAGAACAATAACAATGGTGGAGGTAGCAAGAGCATCAAGTTTCTGAAGAGGACATTGTCATTTACAGATGCAACAGCTGTTCCTAAAGGATATCTAGCTGTCACGGTCGGGTTAGAGAATAAGAGGTACACTATACCAACAGAGTACCTTCGCCACCAAGCTTTTTATGTTCTTTTACGTGAGGCAGAAGAAGAGTTTGGGTTTCAACAAGCCGGTGTCTTGAGGATTCCGTGTGAAGTTTCGGTTTTCGAGAGTATATTGAAGATAATGGAGGAGAAGAACGAAGGGTACCTGGTGACGACAACAACAGCTAAGCAGGAGTGTAAGTTCAATGCAGCAGCAGATGATAAGACGAGCTACCGGCATCCATCTGATTGTCCTCGGACTCCTGCACACCAACCTCACAACATCCCAATGTGCAGATAGTTTTGTTCATTTCTTGCTTCTGCATTTTCTTCTTCCTCCTCTTGTATTGACTTGAGCCATTCTGCTTATTCCCACTTTTTCTCTAGGAATATGGATTTGTGTGCTTCAAAACTTCTTAGTAAGAGAAGATATTTCTGAATAATGGAATGTACAAACGGATCATTGAAACTATTATGATGACCTCTATTCCTTAAGACTATTTATTTTTTCTCTGCTCTGTTTTTGACTTATGTTGTGGTAACCTCTGACTGATGAAAACTTATAATGACTCTTTCTTCTTTCTCTGCTCTGGTGGAATTTCTCACAAGAACCCACGACGCCATTGATCTAATATCTATTACTGATGAAAAATGCAGTAGCATCATGGTACAAGAACAGATCACATACTGTATAAGTGAATCAGGCAAAAACGATATTTGAACTTTAACACACAACTTTTTTTAAATCCTTTGTAATCTATTCATCTGCACTTACAACACAAGTCCGTAGAACCATTTCACATCAGCAAGATAATTCATGGTAACCGAAGATGTTGTTAGTTTGGAAACTGTACAGGTTGATTTTTATCTCAGTATATAGAACCTAATGAAACAAGAGGAGAAACGAGTCACACGCATTATAGCAGAAATCAAACTCACGAGAATCCAAAATGCTATATGCCTATGAAGAAAGAGAGAATGGTTCATGTTTGAATTTTTGCAGTTTGCGTTGTTTCCGGAACAACCATGTGAATGGTAGTTGTAGTTATGTTAAAGTAATCAGAGATTTAGAATAATAGGATAATGTAATCATAACAATAATTGCGGAATTGTACTTTTAATCACCAAGTGGAATGTGGTTTATTAAACTATTCCAAGGCTAAGGTACGGTATCCTAAGCTTCTCTTACGGAAGCTAAAGCTATAATAAGAATACTTAGTAATATAATAAGCTAATAGCAGAGTCACAGGAATATTCTCATGTAAAATTAAGTAGCTCCATTATTGTGATCACATGCAAATCAAAAGGGTACGGCAAATCAAAAGGACTGATTTAACAATCCCCTAAACCAAAGAAAATGCAAGAAGGAGAGGGAACGATGTTCATGATACCACATGTTGGTTCTCTGCCAAATGATTAATGAGGGTCAAAGTCAAAACATAAACATAGAGATCTGATAAACCGGAAAACGCCACATGACATCTGTACCTAAGGTTTAATACCATCTAATCAAAACTAACTCCTAATACATGTGCATTTATCTCCTGAAGCTGATATCGAGGATAATGAATAAGTAACTTGGAGAATGAGAGTTGCAGGTTCTAAAAAAGACAGCAAGATCCAGCAGCAAATTAACAAGAACAAACCATATGCCTTGGAATCATAAAAACCGTTGGAGTGTACGTCCATGACTCATAGTTTTCTGCTTTAAAGATGAGTGTTGAGGTTATAACGACAACGTAGTCCTATTTTAATGGCACTAATCAAAGAAAGAATATAAATATCTAAATGAGACACATTCCAGACAAAAATCAACCAGGAAAGGTTCGAAAGTCAGATTCACATGAAAATAGATACAATAGAGAAGCCAAAGGCAATCACTAATCTGCTTTAAAAATGGGTGTTGGAGTGTACATCCGTGACTCATAAACTCAATAGTGTTCTGCAATTAATCAAGGATTCCAATTCTTTAATCAATCAAACAGTACAAAAATCGACAAAGACACATTGCAGACAAAAATCAACAAGGAAAGGTTTGAAATTCAGCTTCACACATGAACATAGACATCAACAAAGAAGCCAATATAATCACGATTCACTAGTCAATTTAATGTTACAATGTGCTTATACATACGGCTATATTTGATATTCAATCTTGACAGACTAAAAACAATTTATATATATAACAATTGGAACAAAGAAAGGAACCTGAAACTTAATTGAGTACTTTGAAGAAGAGTGTCTGACACCACAAGGAGAGCTTAGAACATAAGCTCATCGCCATCTTCTGAATTAGGAAATGTGACACACTTGAACACTTTACACTTTCCACACAACACAAATCCCACCTGTAATAAACATATATTCAAGTTCTCACAAATAAGATAACCATTCCATAGCTTTACGCTCATACATAGCAATTTGTGCAAATTGTTTAACCTAATCAAAGTTAGGAAAGCTTACAGCTTTACAAGTTGGGCATCGTCGATAGATTCGATTGTTTTCAGATTTCACATTTGTTTTCTGACCTTTACAGAAATCACAAAGCAACCATCCTTTCCCATTACAGTCCTCACACAAAATCACAGCTCCATCGAAATCACCCTTCACGGGAAAAGTCGTCAATTCAAAAAATTTCAAAATTCCAGAAAAATCCGATTTCAATTGTCATCGACATTTCGTTTTTGGTACCTGCTGCGACTGTCCGAGCTGGGGATCTTGCTGCTGAAGTGGAACGCATCGAAATGGCTTAAAACGACAACGGTGACTTCGACGCGACGGCGACGGTGATGATGATGATGGCAGTAGCCGTAAATAAGATGAATTTGGAGGATGTAACGTTATCCAAGTCGCCATATTTTTTTGCTTTCTTTTCCAATCCAAGTTCCGTGGCGGTTGATTCTCACTCAACTCAACACAAAGTCCGGTAGTACAGTAATTAGTGGGCTGATAATGGGTCGTGTGAAGGCCCATTAATTTGGATTAATGTTTAAACCCATAAGGTCATAACAGAATCTTTTGAGTTTTTGACCAAACAATAGGGTTAGGGACAGCTCAACAAGGAAATGGCGGACTCGAAAATTTTATACACACAAATGGCAAATCTGTGGAATTAAAAATTGTGATAGTGCGTCATAGTGGTGTTAATGAAATAAGAAACGAAACGTTGACGAAGATGTTAATTTTTCCCAAACTCATTACCCCAAATTTTCGAATTCGTCTCTGTAAACAAATTGCATGGAGAAATATTCGTCCATGGAGATGGAGGCTTACCAAGAAACCCAGATAAAGCCTCCAAAAGTGTTCCTCAATTTCCGAGGAGTCGAGCTGCGACAGAGCTTTATCGCTCACCTCGAGGTGGCTTTGACAAGGGGAGGAGTCAACGTACATGTAGACCAGCGGCTGCAACTTGGAGACCAGCTCGATGTTTTCAAGGGGATCGAAGAGTCAAGGATAGCTCTTGTCATCTTATCGGAAAGGTATACTGAGTCTAAATGGTGCTTAGACGAGCTTGTGAAGATCCAAGAACTTGTTGAGCAAGGCAAACTTATGGCGATTCCCATTTTCTACAATCTGCATCCATCCGTAGTGGAAAGTCTTGACGGAGAATTTGGAGATAACTTGTGGAAACTCGGGAAGCATCTTCCTGACTTTGACAAGCTCAAGCAATGGAAAGAAGCTTTGAGATTCGTTTCTAGATTGGCGGGTTTGGTACTAAATGAGAAAATGTATGGATTTCTACTCTCCTCAAGTTTTGTCAGTTAAACAGGAAAAAAAAGAACTCACACGTTCATGTACCTACTTAGTTACCAACAGCTTAAACTTTAAAAGTGTGGTTGCGGCTACCATTGCTTAGGCCTTACTCGATCAGGGAGTCTCAATTTTTTTTTCTCTTGCATTGTTTTTTGCAGTATAGAATCCAAGTTTATCGATAATATCGTCAAGCATGTACTTATGGCTCTGAGCCGTCTTCCGAGGGAAGCTGATAGCGCTACTAAAGCTAAATTTCCCGGAATATCAAGAAAGGAAGGTGGTCTGAATTTGAGAAAGGATGATGATTTCCTCAGCGAACCAAACTCTGGTGCACTCCCTGAGCTACAGGATAGAGAAGAAAAGAAGCAAGAAAATGTAAGTGAAAGCTCTGCCATGGTAACTTACGACCAAAGGGATAAAGTGTTCATCAGTTTTAGGGGAGTTGACGTCCGCCGTACTTTTAATTACTACTTAACAAAGGACTTGGAAAGGAACGGAGTCAGCGTCTTCAAAGACGTAGAGTTGAAGGGTAGCCTTCGTGAAATCATTTTCAAGGGGATGGAGGAGTCAAAGATCGCACTTGTAATCTTCTCGAGCGGGTATGCAGCATCCGCTTGGTGCTTAGACAACCTAGTGAAGATCAAAGAGCTCATGGACGAAGGCATACTCGTAGCCATTCCAATCTTCTACAATGTGGAGCCATCACATGTTCAAAACCTGAAGGGAGTATTTGGTGATAACTTCAGGAGTTTATGCAGTATGAAACAGAATATCCATATCCGTATTATATGGATTGAAGCTTTGAAGGCTATAGCGTCCAGGATGGGCTTCTGCGTGAATGAGCACAGGTAATTGAATTAATAAATTTATTACTGGCTTGAACGGATTGTTGCTGAACTTACTTGATTTTTTGGGATCATATCTTCGTTATCTCTTATCCATTTTTCCTTAATGGTTATGGCAGTGATGAGTATGAGATCATCATTCGCATCGTCAAAGACGTCCTAGAGACTATTAGGCAGCAGAAAGGAGAAAAACCGGCTTTCTTTGGGATGCAGCAACGTATGGAGCAATTGGAGCAGAAGTTAGAGTTTGATTTATATAAAACTCAAATTATTGGAGTTGTTGGAATGCCTGGTATTGGTAAAACCACTCTCGCAATGATGCTGCACGAAAAGTGGAAACGAAAGTTTGTACATTGCGTCACTTTTCTAGATATCAGTAAAAAATCAGAGGAAGTTAGTCTAGTGCAGCTGCGAAGGAAACTCCTGGAAGCTTTACTTAATGGAAAAGTACGAGAAATAAGTGACGAGACAACACATGGATCTGTAAAAGTTGAACTACTCGAGACCAAGATTTTTGTTCTTCTCGATGATGTGAGTGACAAGAAACAGTTGGAGTTTCTCCTCGGTGAACTTGACTGGGTTAAGAAGGGAAGCAAGATTATTATAACGACCTGTGACAAGTCATTGCTTGAGGGATTGGCTGATGATACTTATGTGGTCCCGAAATTGAACGACAGAGAGGGCTTTCAGCTCTTTAGTTATCATGCCTTCCATGGTCAAAATTTTTATCCCACCAGTAGCTTACTGACGCTCTCTAGAATGTTTGTGGATTACGCTCGAGGACACCCGTTGACTCTCAAATTACTAGGTGAAAAACTTAATGGGAGGGAAGAGGTTTACTGGGCATCTATATTGGAAATGATGAACAAAAACTCCGATAGGATGTTCCAAGATGTCTCGAGATTCTCTACTGATCAAAATAGACTTAGTGGGAGGCAGGAAGATGTTTTTCTCGACATAGTGTGCTTTTTTAAATCAGAGGATGAGTACTTTGTTAGGAGTTTGCTAGATTCAGGAGATCCTGACTCTGCTGATACTGTGAGTGAAGTAAAAGATCTCGTCAACAAGTTCCTGATTACAGTTGCTGACGGCCGAGTAGAAATAAATGTTCCACTATATATGTTCTTTAAAGACCTTCGTCCTCCTCGGTGGCTTAGGCTATGGAACGACGAAGATATCATCAACAAGCTAATGAAAATGGAAAAATCAGTAAGTTTTTTTTCTCTCTCTCTCTTTTCCAGTCATATTTCCCAAACTGTTTCTCTGAAGTCTGAACAGTGAGATAAATCATCATTTGTAGATTTTTAGATGGACCTTGAATTCTTTTTACACTATGTATTTTAGAAACGGGAATAACAATAATATATGGTAACTTGGAAAACAGATTTTTTTATATATAGACAAGGTTTTTTGTTAAACTATAAATTTTCGGTTACATTAAGACGTCGTGTATACTTTTTCCTAACATGTTCTCTTTTGACTTGTGAACAGTCTATAAGAGGTATTTTCATAGACACGTCAAAGTTCTTGAAGAGCATCGGCTTGGACCATTCAACCTTCGATTATATGTGGAACCTTCGATACATTAAAATATATGATTCCTCTTGTCATCGGGAATGTAAAACTGCAAGCAAATTAGACCTCCCCGATGGGATTGGATTGCGGTCAACAGAGGTTCGATATTTTCATTGGGTGAAATTCCCATTGAAGGAGCTTCCACATGACTTCAGACCGATGAATCTTGTTGACCTTAGACTGCCATACAGTGATATTACACGTCTTTGGGAAGGCGATAAGGTGTGTCTTTTTGTGCCATGTTTTTGCATATATGTTTTTATAACATGGCTGAAGTATGTTCTGATCGGTGGCTAAATTTTGATAGGATACACCGCGGTTGAAGTGGGTGGATCTTAGCTACTCAAGTGAGTTGCTCGACTTGTCAGCATTGTCAAAGGCTGAAAATCTTCAAAGACTAAATCTGGAAGGTTGCATGAGTTTGGACGAGTTGCCAGTGGAGTTTGAAAATATGAAGTCTCTTGTATTCCTGAATCTAAGAGGATGTACAAGTCTTTGGTCTCTTCCGGAGATGAATTTAATCTCTCTAAAAACACTCATCCTCAGTAATTGCTCAAACCTAGAGGAATTTCAGCTAATTTCAGAAAGTGTAGAATTTCTACATTTGGATGGCACAGCAATCAAAGGACTTCCTCAGGCTATACAGAAACTCCAGAGGCTTGTTGTGTTGAATTTGAAAAACTGCAAAAGGTTGGCGAGTCTTCCCAATTGTCTGAGCAACCTGGAAGTTCTTGACAAGCTAATACTCTCTGGTTGTTCAAGGCTTAAGGATCTTCCGGATGTCATGAATAGTTTAAAACATCTTAAGACTTTACTTTTTGATGGGACAGGAGCAAAAGAGATGCCAAGCATCTCATGCTTCACTGAATCCGAAGGCCCAGCTTCTGCAGATATGTTCTTACAACCTCTAGGATCCATGAGAGAATGGCCATTTGCTGTTAACGGAGTATCCTCACTGCGACGTCTATGTTTGAGTGGAAATGATTTTGTCAGCCTGCAACCTGATATTGGGAAACTTTATCATCTGAAATGGCTCAACGTGAAACATTGCAAGAAGCTGAGATCTGTTCCGATGCTTCCACCAAGACTTCAGTACTTTGATGCACATGGCTGTGATTCACTGGAAAGAGTTGCAAATCCTGTAGCCATTTCGGTGTTGTCTGATCAGATGATCCATGCCACATTCAGTTTTTCCAACTGCAACAAGTTGGATCAAGACGCAAAGGATAGTATCATATCCTATACTCGGTGGAGAAGCCAGTTAGTGCAAGATGAGCTCACTCAATACAATGGGGTATGTCTATTTCTCTCTATCAATTTCTAGTTTTCCTTGCTGCATCTGTGGTATCTGATCTTGTTTTGGTAATCTCTTTTGTAGGATTTAGTTTCGGAAGCTTTAATTGGAACTTGTTTTCCTGGATGGGAAGTACCCGCATGGTTCAGTTACCAAGCCTCTGGATCGGTGTTAAAGGCCAAGCTGCCTGCACGCTGGTATGGCAACAAGTTTAGTGGGATTGGTCTATGCGGTGTTATCTTATTTGATGGCTACCACAGCCAGAGGAAACGTGTCTTATTGAAATGTAATTGTGTGTTCAAGAATGAAGACGGGTCTAGTAACCGCTTTAGCTTCACTGTTGGAGGTTGGAGCGAACCAAGTGACACACCACGGAAGCTTGTGTCGTCTCATGTCTTTATTGGCTTTACGAGTACGATGGATATCAACAATATAAGTGAAGATGAGGATGAAGAGAAATGTGTTTGTACTGAAGCCTTGATTGAGTTTGAAGTGACAGATGGTATGGAAGAGATCAAAGGTTGCGAGGTGGTGAAGTGTGGCTTCAGTTTGGTAAATGCACCCGAAGTAAGGGGGAATCTATGATCAGATTTAAAAAAATTTGTAATTGTGAACATACAAGGTGAAGCAAAACACAAAGCTACCTTTCAAACTTTTTCGAAAAGCTAACCACATGGTGGTGGGCTAGTGGCTCTCATGAAGAGTTGCCATGTTGGTTTAGGTCGGGATCAATTCTATCCAGATGCGAATTGCTTCTCATTTATCATGTGGCCACATGGATATGGGTCCTTGCTTTCGGCCCATTTGAATATCCGGAGAGAGGGTCTATACTTCTCATTTATCATGTGGCCACATGGATATGGGCATTTGCTTTCGGCCCATTTGAATACCCGGAGAGAGGGTCTATATGTGGGCTGCTCCACCCCCCCTCCCCCCCCCCCCTCTAGATTAGTCTCGGACCTTTCCATAGGTCTGGAGATTTACTAAAGAACTTTTCGAAAAGCTCTATTCGGTTGACCTAAAAATTCTTGAAGTCGGAGTTGCACCAAATATTCATATTCAGTTCTATATATATATTCAGTTATATATATATATAGAAAAATTCAATTGCTTGTAGTTCAGTTAATTGCAAATATATTTCACCGAGTTTGGTTCGGTTCTGAAGTTCATATTAGGCCAAAAAAAAACAATAGAAAATGCTTGTTTTAGTGTGGTAATATGCTATGATTAGATTAAAAATGTTTAGGAAATTAGAATTTCTTTTAAAGTTTCCAAAACTCAAAAGTGTCTAAACTATTTGAAAATTCTAGACTATCGCAAAACTTCAAGTATTTTTTAACCTGCGGGACGATTTTTTAAAATAAAAAATTTATATTCTAAATTATATTTGTTAATTTTGTTTCTTTCATTTAGTGCTTAAGATTGTGTAACTATATTTTGATTGATTTAACTCGCGGTATACCACGAGACAATTTTTAAAAAAAAATTAAGTTGTACAATTGTATTTTGATTGTTAATTTTATGATTTAACCAGTGAAATGCTACATGATAAATTTTTCCTTTTATATACTTGTAATTCAAATAACTTAATTAAATGTATCTAATAATTCAAATAACAAACTGATGATGGCATAACATCTTTCATTTAACTCATTTAATTTAGACTAAAATATTTGTGTGTGGATAACCCGTAAGAAAAATATAATCATACTTATGTAAACTCAAATCCGATCAATCATATTTATGTAAAATATAATAATATTTAAAAAATTTGTAGAGTTCAAATATTAATAAAACTTTAGTCTTTTATAAAGAATAAATATTTAAAATATTTGAACCTTTTAAAAAGTATCAATATATATAATATCAAACTTTTTAAAGTTTATAAACCTTTTAAAGTTTAAAACTATAATATTTTGAAACTTTTAAAAAGTTTTCATTTTCTCAAATAAAGAAGTATTAAACCAAAAAAATCTTTTAATTTGGACGTCTGAGAAATCAAATTTTCTGCTCATTTGTAGTTGGAAACATAATAGTCCTATTTATAATTGTTCTGAACCATTGTCTAAAATTTTCTACTAGATGCGAGACGTTGTATATACACTTTTTATCGATTGAGTAATATACGTCCGTTTTGAAAATTCAAATTGCAACATATGTGGGGAGGGGGAAATTTTTTTTTTTTTTTGTTAACAAAACTCGATTAGATTGGCTTAAATAAGCCAATTTGTGGGACAATTGTTTACAAACTTGACAATATGCGGGAGGGCACGCACATTACGTGTCGAACTGTCCGTTTTTACATTTGCATTTCTTGGAATAAAAGATAAAGAAAAGGTTGAAAATTATTCCCTATCAATTTTGATGTCATCCAGATATACAGAGATGGCCGGCCACTCAGAAAGCGAAGACACTATCTTCACCAAGTATGAACAGTCGGTAAGGAAAACAACATCTCTGAAGTCATGTCCTATCATGCATCTCATCGCCCACTGCAGTGCTTCTACCTCTGTATGGAGTGGAGGAGAAAGACTTCTACGGAGATTTGAAGCCCCCATAGATGTGGAGCTATCCTGAGAGTGCTAACAGAACCATCCTAACCCGAATTTTTTATATGTGTCCTTCCATGATTCATTTATAAAACACTTGTATCCTGTAAATAACGAAGGTAATATAACCGAATGCCTACGTTCCGAGGAGTGCAGAACCGAAACCGCAGGAGAAGTCCCAAGCTCCTCGAGCTGAGCCGTCTGCCAAGCATCCGCTTCTGTCTTTGCGACCCTAGTAACCTCCTGGGAACATTGATCCTCATTTTCAAAAACTTTAGCATTTCTCGCCTTCCAGAAATACCATAATAACCAGGAAAATAACTCAACTTGCCCATCCACTAACGATAGCCGAAGAAGATAATTCATATTAGCATAAATAGAGTGTGGAGAACTGAATATAGCCCAGAGGGACATGGGCCAAGGCCCAGGATTTCCTTGTAGGTGGACAGTCAAAAATAGCATGATAAATTGTTTCCACCTGAGAACCACATCTAGTACAAACTTGATTACAATTTATATGCCTACTTTTCAAATTAGGAAAAACCGATATACATCATGTTAATAGTTTCCACATAAAATGTTGAATCTTGGATGAACATCGTATCTTCCAAATACTTGCAATCAAAGAGAGAAAATCAGGTCCATACACCGGGAGAATAGGAATTCCAAGATCCTTTAACCGAGTTGTATGATAACCAGATTTTACTGTATATCTTTCATTCTTCGTGAAATAAATTAGATCATATAAAAATATTGGAAAGATATTTGATTTATTAGGAAGATATTTTAGAAAATTTTGCTAAATGTAATAATTATTGGTTTCCAATTTTGCAATTTTATTATGATTTATTTGAAAAGTTTACCTTAAATTTTTGTTATTTATTGAAATGACAAGATTTTAATTGTGTAAATATTATAAAATAAAATGTTATAACCCAAAATGTAGTTAAAAAAAAGTTAATACAAATAAGAATAACACCTGTTAAATTATCAACACCCGTTAAAACATAGGAAATATTTGTTCATAAGTGGGTATTTTTTGGTTTAATTTCCACTACCAATTTTAAGGTTTGTAATTTATGTCTTAGTGTAATTGTAATTACTTATTTTTTTATCCACACTCTTATTATGTAATGTACTAGATTCCGTGGTACACCGCGGCATAAACATTTTCTTTATAATTCATGTTTTTAAAAATTGATAGATTTTGTTGGAGTTTATTTAATAATTATGAAGATGGCATAATATCAAACTATACTAAATCAGTTTAATTATACATGTTTTATATCGGTCTTGTTAAAAAATAGTAAAATGACTCGTATTGAACTGTGAAATTAATAATATTATAATTTTTTAGTAATATCAACTCAAACTCGTTCCGTCTTACAATATGTCCCGTCATATAATCTGTCGAAAACATATTACAATCTTTCCGTGTTATACCATGTCATGTCATATAGTCGCCAAAAACTAAATCCATGTGTAAAAAAATGGCAAAGTCAATAATTTTAGTATAAACTTGGTGTATAGCTAAAATATTAATAACATTGAAACTTTTAAAAAGTTTCAGAATATATTAAATATTTTAAACTTTATATGTAGTTTACGATCATTCCCGTCCTACAACCCAACCCGTCATATATTCTACAAAAAATTAAAACCATGTTTATAGTCTCGTCATTCATAGTTGCAAGGTTATAATCTTATTTATAAAGGTTATGAACCATTATTAAAAAAATTCTACTCGATATGGGATGTTGTACATATGCTGAAGAAAAATATTATATACGTCCGTTTTAAAAAATTCATATTGCAATAAATGCGAAAAAATATATTTTTATTATACGTATGTTTTATGTAATAAAATAAAATAAAAAAGATCATATAAAGATTTTGGTGAAATATTTGAGAAAATGAGGAAAATAAGAAATGATATTATATTTATTACGGAGAGATTTTGGGTATTTTGATAAAAAATAATTATTATTAGTTTTTTAAATTTTAACTAAATAGTTAATGCCAATGGCATAGCCTAGTGAATGATTTCCAACTATAAGGTTTTTTTCAAAAAATGTTGCAAAAATGTTAATATAGATAGAAGGCAAATAATCTTATTCTGCAAAACCAAATTGGGTAACACAATACCGCGGTCAACAACTTAGGAAAGTTTAATCAACAACAAACCACAACAATAAATTATCTAAATTAATAACCAAAAATCCGGCAATGTTTTTCTTCGTTGAGCTCTCATCTCTTTAGTTCATCTTCTACACAAAGACGATTCAATATCACTTCAAAATTTATGTTACATTCAGATTTTTGGCTTTTTCCAACTTAATCTCTGAAATTTTCTTAAGAATCTTGTCTAATACTTACTTACAGATCTGATTTTTCCTTTATTTTCATGGTTATCGCTCGGTATAATAGCTGAGGTCCAATTTAGAAATGTTTAGATAAAAGTTTTGGAATCACAATCCATCTTTGCAAACACCATTGGAGGTGTGAAATGATGGTGACCCAAGTGTTTAATCAAATTTGGGGTTTTCAGGTTATTTAGACCATCTCTAATGTATTTTGCTATTTTTGCCTTTAAAATAGAGGACTCTATAATAGAAGTAACTTTTATTCCAATGTATTCCTCTATAATAGAATATTTCAAATATATTCTTTTAAAATTTTAATATTAACATCATCTATTTATAAAATTTGCAAATTAACTCATTTACTTTAACTTTTATAATATTTTAAGAAAGTAATTACTTTTATTTAAATTAAATATTTTTTTTTATAAAAGCAGTATATCATATAATTTTGTTTTTTTTAAAAGTACATCACATTATATAAAAAAAAATTAAGTACCGATTCCAAGTATATCCTCACTTAAACGACACAGCTCAAAACCAGATTTGTTCGAATTTAGAGTTTCTTTTCAAAAATCGGTAGAATCCATTGTAAAACTACTACATCTTCCAAATTTGGCTTGTTTATTAAGTGAACTTCATATATGAACGCACATGTTCTTGTTCTCAGTGATTAATTCTTCTTCTACATATTTTCTTTTGTTTCTTTGAATCAGTAATTGTTTTTTTTTCTTTCTTAATTTTGTGTTCTATATATTAGATTGTGGGTTTCCAACTTAAAACCAATTGGCAATGAGTGGAGAGGCTCATATATCTTATATACTACTCATGATCCTACTCAACTTCCATGTGAGATATTGTATCCCTAATACGCCACCTCGAGATGGTGACTCTTATGGCCATAGATCTCGGTATGTTCAGGCATGAATCGGTGGATCAACTATGGGTCAGACCGATTGTGGATTGGGTTGAGTATGTGCGGACCGGGCTCTGATAGATTGATATCATATTAGAATGTATGCTTCCAACTTAACAACTTAAAACCATATTAGTATGTCCAGTTTGATAATTTCGGCTTGGAACATTTCCCAGACCTAATATTTTTTTTTCCTCAATCTTTTAACAATAAACTACATTCAGATTTCCCCCAAAAAAAAAATAAAAAAAAATCATTGATAAGGAAAAGAATTAGAAAAAATTATTGTCAATACACTTGGTCAACCATACCGGACAGACATGGACACTTAATATAGTTAATAATCTTAGGCCAGTTGGGATTATTTATAGATGAAAAATATATAAGCATTTGGCATAAGCAAGTCTACCCTCACCATAGTTGAATACTTGAACATACCTTACCATGTTCTGATTTTAATTAGTTCGTGATTGGTGAGTAGTAAGCATTTGGCATAAGCTTCTTAACGTTGACCGATCAAAAGATCTCAGATGACGAACACCACCATCCCCGATGCTTCCACGACAGAACTACGCTCAGCTGAGTGGCGGCCTCAAGTGTTCATCAGTTTCCGGGGGGCTGATCTTCGCCTCAACTTTATAAGCTATTTGATCCCGGCCTTACAAAAAAATAATATCAACTACTATTACGACGAGGACGAACTCCGGGGAAAACGTCTCGGGATCCTTTTCAACAGGATCAGGGAGTCGCAAATCGCACTGGTGTTCTTCTCGATTCAGTACCCTGAGTCAGATTGGTGCTTGGACGAGCTGGTGGAAATTATGAAGAACATGGATAAAGATAAACTCGTAGTCATACCCATCTTCTTCAAAGTGAAGCCAGATGACGTGAAATGGCAAAAGAAAGAGTTCGGCCTTGCGTTATATGGAGAAGGTCGCCGTAGGAGACCCAGAATGTCGCAATGGGAAGACGCCTTAGAGGCTATTCCCACCAGCATGGGGTTGGTATATGAGGGACTAAGGTCACGTCTGAGGACTCAGTTTTTGTTTGACCATCTCACTTTTTCCTAAGCCAATGGTTCCATTGATTTAATTTTTTTTATATCCCTCATTGTATTTCAGTCCTGAAGTCAATTTCCTCGACAAGCTCATCGAGAATGTCAAGAAAGTGGAAGCCGAAGTTATATCAAAAAACAGAGGAAGAGAACGTTCCTCTTGCTCTGTATCTGTGAGACACGTTAGAGCTACGGCATGTCTTCCCCCTGACGACCAACGACTTGAGCAGCTGGAATAAAGGTTTTGTTTTGATCCTGCAGTTACTCAAATTTTTGGAATCGTTGGTATGGCCGGGATTGGTAAAACCAAACTAGCTCAAAACCATTTCAATAAGTGGAAAAAGCAGTTAGCAGTTAATAAGATACTTCTCAATATTCATGAGAAGTCAAATAATGAGGAAGGGTCAGATTGGCTGATTAAAGAGGATGCTGAAATCTTCAGAAGCAAAAGTATCATCCTGCTGGATGATGTGAGTGAAAAGGCACAAATACAGTCTCTACTCAATAATCTCCACCGGATTGAGAAGGGAAGCAAGATTGTGATTACAACACGCGACAAGTCATGGATCAAAGAAGTGGTACACGATACTTATGTAGTCCCCGGACTGAACGAGAAAGAAGCATTACAACTCTTTCACTATCATGCCTTCCATAACCAAGACTATACTCCCAACCAGAACATCACTAAGCTGTCCAGAAAGTTTGTTGATTATGCTGGAGGCAATCCACTGGCCCTGGAGGAATTAGGGAAGGAGCTTTGTGGTAAAAACGAGACTGAGTGGGAAAAAATAATAGATACACTGCCAAATTATTGCAACGAGAATATAAAAAGAGAGTTGAAAATCAGTTATGACAAACTGACCAAACAACAAAAAGAAGTGTTTCTTGACATAGCTTGTTTCTTCAGATCAGAAGGTGAGGATTGTGTAAACAGTTTACTGGATCCCAAAGACTCTCATGAGTCTGGTGAAGCCGCAAGGGTTATTGAAGATCTCGCCCACAAGTTCATGATAAGTGTCTCTGCTGGACATATTGAGATGCCTGATATACAGTGTTCCTTGGGCAAACAACTTGGTTTATTTGCATCTCTAAAAGACAATTTGGGAGAGAGCAGGCTGTGGGATCATGATGCAGTAGTTAAAGCTTTGGTCGATAAAGAGGTAAGAATCATCCATTTATGTTTTCATGACATCATTGTAGAAAAGATCAAAGGCTTATTAGATGGGAAGTAAAAGAAACTCACCGACATCAATTAACATTCTTGAAGTTGATGTTGATATAGACTAGTTTTTGCTACGTACTTTCCTAACTTATTGTGTTTTTTTAACATGTTAACAGGAAAAGACAGATATTACCGTGAGAGGTATCCTACTAGACGTATCAAAATTAAAAGAAGAAATTGCCATAGCTAAAAACAAGTTGACCTTGATGCCGAACCTGCGATATCTCAAAATATTTGACTCTACCTGTCCTCAGCAATGTAAAGTTGTTGACGCTGTAGACTGCAAAGTACACTTGCCCGATGAACTGGAGTTGAGGATTAATAATATTCGATATCTCCACTGGCTGAAATTTCCATTGAAGAAACTTCCAGGAGACTTCAACCCAGAGAATCTTGTTGACCTCAGGCTGCCGTACAGTAAGATTGAACGTGTTTGGAATGATGTGAAGGTGTGTCTTCTTCTTCACTACTTGATTTGATTATATGGCTACAGTAACCTATGAAGTTTAGCTGATTGGTGGTTGTTTTCTGAGTGATTGTCATCACAGGATACACCAAATTTGAAGTGGGTTGATTTAAGTCACTCGACAGAGCTGATCGACTTGTCAGCTTTAGGGAAAGCTGAATCTCTTGAAAGATTAACTCTTGAAGGTTGCATTAGTCTTGTTGATTTTCCCAAAGATGTGGAAAATATGGACAGACTTGCTTTCTTGAATCTCAGAGGATGCACAAGTCTCTCGTCTCTTCCAGAGATGGAGAACTTAAACTGTCTTAAGACTCTCATTCTCAGTGGCTGCACAAGCTTTGAAGAGTTCCAGGTGAAATCGAAAAATCTTGAATATCTACATTTAGATGGCACAGACATCACAGAGCTTCCCCAGACGATCAAGGAGCTCGAAAGACTTATCGTATTGAATCTGAAAGGCTGCCAAATGCTGAAGACTCTTCCGGACTGTATCCACAAGCTGAAGGCTCTTGAAGAACTAATACTCTCTGGTTGTTCAAAGCTTAGGAGTTTCCCTGAAATTAAGGAGAACATGGACAATCTTCAGATATTACTGCTTGATGGGACGGAAATTGGAAACAAGCCAAAGATCCAACGATCACCTTGTATGAGTGGCCTATCCTTGTTGCGACGGCTATGCTTAAGCAGAAATAAAAAGATCATCAGCCTGCAATCTGGTATTAGTGATCTTTATCATTTGAAATGGATCGACTTGAAGTGTTGCACTAAACTCCAATCTATTTCGATGTTGCCACCAAATCTTCAATGCTTAGATGCACATAATTGTACCTCACTTAAAACAGTAGCGAGTCCGCTAGCACGTCCTTTGGCAACAGAGCAAGTGGCCTCCTCATTCATTTTCACTAACTGTGAAAAACTGGAGCACGCCGCAAAGAATGAAATAACATGCTATGGTCACAATAAAGGCCGGCTCCTGTCAAAAACATTGAATCGCCACAATAAGGTATACCTTTTTGCTAGAGTTTTACTCTTTATTTTTTATAACCAAAACTTTCAGAGACTTGTCCATCCATAGTTTCTTAAGGTTTGGGTGGTCCAGTCTATGTTACAAGTCCAAAGTTCAAACAAGTCTATTTTATATTCTTTGCAGGGTCTTCGTTTTGAAGCTTTGGTTGCCACTTGCTTTCCTGGAAGTGAAGTTCCTGTTTGGTTTGGTCACAAAGCTTCTGGAGCAGAGTTGGAGCCTGAGCTGCCTCAACATTGGAGTGAAAATGGTCTTGTTGGGATAGCTCTATGCACTATTGTCTCGTTTGAAGATCAAAAAATCCGAAACAACAACCTCCAAGTGAAATGCATATGTGACTTTAACAATGTTAAGACATCCTCTAGCTACTTTAATTCTCCTGTTGGAGGTTTATCGGAGACAGGCGATAAGCAACGCACGATCAAATCTACTCATGTGTTCATTGGCTTCACCAATTGGTTGAATATAAAGAAATGTCAAGAAGAAGATGGTAACAGGTGTGTTCCTACTAAGGCGTCTATTAAATTTCAAGTGACAGATGATATTGGTGAGGTCAAGAATTGTGAGGTACTGAAGTGCGGTTTTAGTTTAGTTTATGAAACTGGTTCATGGGAGGCAAGCTCAAGGAGAGATGTCGAACAAGGTGAAGTTGAGTGTCTTGAGAAGAACATGAAGTCTCTGAAATTAGAAAGCAAATTCAATGGTGAAACAAGCTGTAGCTCCACAAAGAGCTAGATAGATTATTTTAGTCTACTATTTGTGTGTTGTACAACTCATAATAATAATAATAATAATATGACCATTGATTCTTTGTGTTTCTTTCTTTTAATGCACAGATTACTTTGGAATTCTTTTGGTTTCTAAAATGCACTTAAACTGGAGTTCGTACTATCTTAAACAAAACTAAAGCTTCAACATCATTCCTTGCTTGGTTCTTGTACGATTTTGTTCCCCTTTCACCTTTCTCTTTTTCCTTTAGAATTTATGAAAAATTGTTTTTTTATGTCCACAAAAGAATATAAAGTTCTATACCTACTCTGTTTTTGATGCATTTTGTTTCCCACAAAACTGTTCTTGTTTGTTTTCAGGTAGTCATCGATTAAACTCTCTCGTAGTCTTTTTGGCTCACCTGGCTAAAGTGTTGCGTTTGTTACTTTTTTATAGCTGATATTACTTATTATAGTAAGCTCATATCTAACTAGGCACTATTGGGTTTCTATATTTGTGAAATTAGTATGCATATATGTTTTAGGACAGTTTTGATCTTTCTTGCGGCTCTTTACCGATTAAAAGAGTTCATGTTATTGTTATGAGTAGTTAAATACTCATTTAAATAAGAACACATGATGTATATATCTTGATTCTTGCATATCTCTGTTATAGCTTTGTAGGGCTTAAGGTTTTAGACGCTAACTTATTGGTTGGAGGTGACTTTAGCGATGGCAGAGAGGAGAAGTAGCAATAGAGGAGAAGTTGTTATCAATGTTCCAGAGAAAGAGGATGCAGCAGCATTTCCTTCTACCAAGGTAGCGGCTACAACAGATTCAGATTCAAGGACTAGGAGACCAGAGCCATTGACCTTTTCTAACAAAGATGGTCTAGCTCCGCGGAGATCTCTTTCGAGGTCAGTTTACTCCAAGTCTAATTCAAGGTTTGATAAACAGCTGTCTCATCGATTCGATGAGACTATACTAGAGGAAAATGTTGGAACCGCTAGGGAACATTCAAATACGAGTGTGGGCATAGCAGCACTAAGTAAAGTTGCCGATGAGGAAGTTGATGAAAACGATGAAATCTACGAAAAGGTTATGCTACACCGAGTGAAGCGTAGCGGAATTAAACCTTTGGCTCTGTTTGAATTGGCACTGTTTGTGGCCATATTATGCACTTTGATTGTGAGTTTAACCGTTGATAAGGTGAAAAAGCATTGTGTTTTGGGTTTACAAGTCTGGAAGTGGTGTGTATTTGTGATGGTGACGCTTAGCGGCATGTTCTTGACGAACTGGTTCATGCATTTAGCGGTATTCATCATCGAAAGGAACTATCTCCTAAGGAAAAAAGTGTTGTACTTTGTGCATGGTTTGAAGAAGAATGTTCAAGTCTTTATTTGGTTCACCTTGGTTCTTGTTGCTTGGATTATTTTGTTTGAAGAAGACCATAAACACTCACGCAAGACCAAGAAATTTCTTGACCTTATTACTTGGACTATTGCTTCCCTTCTTATAGGGTCAATCCTTTTCTTGTTGAAGACGTTAGCTTTGAAAGTCCTTGCTTCAAAGTTCAACGTCAGAAACTTCTTTGAGAGAATTCAAGAATCTGTATTCCACCAATACGTTCTCCAGACCCTCTCGGGACCTCCTCTTATAGAAGAGGCAGAGAGAGTTGGGCGCGAGCCAAGCACGGGCCACCTTAGCTTCACGAGCACCAAAGATGGAACGGTGAAAGGGAAGAAAGTGCTTGATATGGGGAAGGTTCACAGGATGAAACAAGAGAAGGTCTCTGCTTTGACAATGCGAGTTTTGATCGAAGCTGTGGGATCTTCAGGTCTCACAACCATATCTAACACTTTAGATGAGTGTAAAAGTAAGAGAAAGAAAAATGATAAAGAGATAACTAGTGAGATGGAGGCTGTGGCTGTTGCTTATGATATCTTCAACAATGTTGCTCGGCCGAACCACAAGTAAGTAGTACACATCACAAAATACTCTGCTTTCTTCTAGTTTGCATCTTAATTATTATTTACAAACTTGATATTTGCTTCATTTCAGTTACATAGAGGAAGATGACATGTTGAGGTTCATGATAAAGGAAGAGGCAGAGCTTGTACTTCCTTTGATAGAAGGTGCCGAGACAGGAAAAATCACACGCAAAGCTTTTACAGAATGGGTGGTAAGCTTTCTTGTCCATGCCTTATTTTGGAGAAGCTATATGTGTAAGCATTTTGTTGCCCTTTTTTGTGACAGATTAAAGTTTACACAAGTCGGAAAGCTCTAGGACATTCACTGGGCGACACAAAAACAGCGGTTAAGCAGGTGGACAAGCTTATAATTGGAATCTTGACTGTTGCCACCTTCATCATTTGGTTGATACTTCTTGATATAGCATCGACCAAGTTGTTGTTAGTCTTCTCCACACAACTCGTGGGGCTTGCTTTCATGATTGGAAGCACTTGCAAGAATATCTTTGAATCCTTTGTGTTTGTGTTTGTGATGCACCCTTATGATGTTGGTGACCGTTGCGTTATTGACGGTGTAATGGTAAGTTTTTTTTGCTCATATATTAACTACTCATCTATAAGTTCTAACATCTAAGCCATTGCTTTTTTCTTTGCAAGTTGCTGGTTGAAGAAATACATCTTTTAACGACAGTGTTCCTCAAGATTGACAACGAGAAAGTGTTCTATCCAAATGCGGTTTTAATATCGAAACCAATAAGCAATTTCTACAGAAGTCCAGATATGGGAGATTATATAGAATTATCCATCTCATTCTCAACACCGGTAGCGAAAATCGCCACTCTCAAGGAAAGAATCACAGAGTAAGTATCAGGCAAAACAGAAACCCTCTGGCAATCACTCACTCAATTACTCACTCACTGTGTATACCCTTTTTTATTTGTCAGATACTTGGTAAAGAACCCACATCATTGGTATCCAGAAACCATGTTGATGGTGAAAGCGATTGAGAATGTGAACAAACTGAAACTGAATCTGCTCTTCCAGCACACGATCAACTTCCAAAAGTTCGTAGTGAAGAGTCTCAGGAGAACTGAGCTGATCATTGCGGTCAAGCAAATACTCGAAGATCTAGAGATCGATTACTCCCTCCTTCCTCAAGATGTTCATCTCACCGGGCACAAGTGATAGTTTCCTTCTTCCTTTTTGGATTTTATTTCACTACTACTATTACCTTCATTTGCTTCTGTTTAATAATCTATCTTCTATATATCAAAATAGAAGCATTAGAGACCATTTCTTAAACCACACACAATAAAAATTCACATTACTCATAAACGTTGATTTTATCTACTAAAACATGTCTACATATATGTCTACTGAATAATAACTTATACACCCCAAGAATCTGTAGCTGTTTTCTTATTCCTTGTTTAGTTGAAGTCACATCACAACCCCCAAGTTCTAATAATGTAATGTATTCATGAAGAATCTAAACCCTTCCTAGAGGATTCTTCCAGAACACCAACAACAATATAGTAACCAATCTAGTGTCTTCCATTGAAGAAACTTAACTTGAATATGGTGGCCAAGCCAGTCATGCCTCAAGATTCCGGTAAATTCAACTCTTGTGCAAATTCTTTAGTCATCTTCAAGAAACCTTCCATATGAAGTTGTTTCCATTCCTTCCATATACACAAGTACACCAATTGAAACAAGCCATGAACCAGAGAGAGACATATATAACAAAGACCAAGTAGAGAATAAGAGCTCACCTCGAAATCCCATGTACCAAAGAGGTCAGGATCATCTTTATTGGCCCATATGTAAGTTTTTGTTAGCAGTTTCTCTGAACTATCCTGTGGATTGAAAGAAGATAAGAGAAACATAAAAATCTCAACTTTTCAACATCTATACACTAAAAACAAAACTTAGCAAAGGACTCACAGTTAACAAAACTTGAACGTTCTGTCTTTCATACTCAGTATCCTCAAACTCATCTAACACATAAAGTTCATGATCTGTGATTCCAAATAACACCTACACACACACACACAAAGATCAAAATTTCACAAATCCCTAAAAGGTATGAGAAAGGAATCTGATTCGGAGACTGACCCTGCCAGACACTGTATCGTCCTTAGCTGGTAGAATCGCGGGATAAACACGTCCTTTGATACTGAATCTATGGCTGCAAAAACCCAAAATCGACAATCAAAATTTTCAATTTCAATTTCACAAACCCGAATCGATGAGAGAGAGAGAGAGGGAAGGAATCGTACAAATCAGGGAGGGTTGCGGAGGATGTTTGAGGGATACGGTTGAGGAGGAGACGAACTACGTCGTCGGCCATGAGACTACCGTAGACGAAGACACTGTGCATTGCCACTGTACTACCACTCATCTTCTTCTTCTTCTTCTTCCTCTTCACTTGTGCGAGCCTTTCGATATGAAATACGTCTTAAGCTTCGTTAAACTCATTTCAAAAGGAAAAATAAAATAAAAAAAATAAAAAGAGAAGTCGACTCTGCTGGGGATCGAACCCAGAATCTCTGGTTTCGTAGACCAGCGCCTTATCCATTGGGCCACAGAGTCTTTGATGCCTACTGTCACTTTATGAGATATTTATACTATGGTTTAATAATGAGAATCATAGGTAAGACAATTTCTCAAAGCTTTTTTTAATAACAATTCTAGCTAATTTTTAGTAAGAAGAGGACTCTGATGTCAATATTTTTAAATTTTTTTTCCTCATCCTAAAAATTATTTCTCATTTATAGATAAGTTATTAAAATTATTTTTATATATATATCTTCAAGATTACTTGCGTGGAAATTAATACTTTTCCACTAAAAAATCTCTACACAAATTGGTAAATTAATTGTAAATGGTCAAAAAAAAATTCAGTAATTAGGAAAAGAGAAGTCAAGAGGTCAAAAGAAGGAGAGGAGAAGAAGAAGGAGAAACGTTCATAGAAAGAGAGACAAGAAGAAGAAGATACATACAAATGTGTTTTTTTATAGAAACTCTTCTTTCTCTTTTATCCTCTTATTTCGCCTTATTACAAAATGAAAAATAGAGAAACCATCTTTAAACCTCGAAACACATCTTTCTCTCTCTCAATTTCTTTCTTTATTGGTGCTGAATCTTGAATCTTGAAAGCGAAAGAGAGACAAAAAAAAAAAAAAGAGAATGTGGTTGGCAAAGAACAATAACGTGGGAGTCAAGGAAGGAGGAACGACCGGAGTTGTAGCTGTTGCAATAGACAAAGACAAAAGCAGCCAACTTGCTCTTAAATGGGCTGTTGATAATTTGTTGCAGAGAGGCCAATCTGTAATTCTTGTCCATGTCAAACTCCGACCTTCTCCTTTGACTAATAGCCCTTCTCTTCATGCTTCCTCTGCAAGTAAAAACAAACCCTATCTTTCTCTTGTCTTCATCGTTTTTATTTTGAAAATATTCATTGGTTGTTAATTGTTTGTTTCTTCTTCCAGAGCTGAGCCAAGAATCTTCCTTGGTATGTAGAGATCCAGAAGGACTTTCTAAGGAGTTGTTCCTTCCTTTTCGTTGCTTCTGCACACGCAAAGATGTTAGTTTCTTTGTTTTAGATTCTTGTTTTGTTTTCCTCTGTTTGCTTCCTTATGGTATTGTGTAATGAAAACTCTCTAGATTCAATGCCAAGATGTGTTGCTTGAAGAGACTGATGTAGCCAAAGCATTGGTCGAATATGCAAACCAAGCCGCCATTGAGGTTTTAGTGGTTGGTTCATCCAACAAAGGTGGCTTTCTCAGGTAAGAAAACAAAATCTTTTATCATTAGCTGAATCTTGATTCTCCATTGATGGTGAATGATTGAATTTGTGCAGGTTTAATAAGCCTACAGATATTCCAGGCACCATAACAAAAAGTGCACCTGACTTTTGCACAGTTTATGTAATCTCCAAAGGAAAGATTCAAACAATGAGATCAGCTTCTCGTTCTGCTCCCATGACTGCTCCTTTACGCAATCCAGTTCAACCACCTAGCTTAAAACCACCTCAACCTATGCCTTCTACTTCCACTAACACTATGCGAGGTTCTCAAAAACACACAAAAACTCTTCTCTTAACTTTGTCCTCTTCATTCATTTGTCAATTTTAGCTTAGAACTTATCTTCCCATGCAGCTGAAAGACGTTCTTTCGAGTCTCAACAACGAAGATCTGTTGAAGATCCACAACGTCGGTCCATGGAAGATCTACAACGAAGATCCGTGGAGGATCTTCAACGTAGGTCAATGGAGGATCTCCAACGTAGGTCCATGGATGATCAATCAGAATCCTTCAGGTAAAAAAAACCACACTCGTGTTTTAATTTAGATATAATTACGAAACCTAAACTCGTTTGTGTATAAAACACGTAACAGGTCTCCTTTTACAAGAAGAGGCAATGGAAGATCATATGGAGATCTCTCTGTTCCAGAATCAGATATATCATTTATCAGTTCTGGAAGACCAAGCATTGACCGTATCTTCCCTTCTCTATATGACAATAACAATGATCCAAACAGAACACCTCCTAGGCTGTCTAATTTCTCAGACATGGACTATGGTTCAAACTTTGATCAGTCATCAAACTATGGAAGGAGATCAGTGGATATGAGCTCACCTACTAATATGTCAACAGGCTCGTTCGAGAACGAAAGATTTTCATCTGCCTCTCAATCAATTGTAAGACTAATAATACATTGTTCTTCATGTTTTTTGTTACACAACTAAACATATTGACATTAAATTTTGAGTTAAAGCAGGATGATGTTGAAGCTGAAATGAGGAGGCTTAAACTTGAGTTGAAGCAGACAATGGAAATGTACAGTACAGCTTGCAAAGAAGCACTCACAGCAAAACAGAAGGTATGTATATATATAGTTTCTGGTTGCGAAGATCTTGAAATTCAAAATCTGATAATGTTTTGGTGTATAATACAGGCCACTGAGCTTCAACGTTGGAAGTTAGAAGAAGAGAGGAAGCTAGAAGAGGCAAGACTTGCTGAGGAAGCAGCTTTGGCCATTGCAGAGAAAGAGAAAGCAAAGTCAAAAGCAGCTATAGAGGCAGCTGAAGCAGCTCAAAGGATTGCTGAATTAGAGTCAAAGAAGAGAGTTAACGCGGAAATGAAAGCTCTCCAGGAGTCTGAGGAGAAAACAAAGGCCCTTACCGCTTTAGCAAACTCAGATGTTAGGTACAGGAAGTACTCCATTGAAGAGATTGAGAGCGCGACAGAGTATTTCGCTGAGAAGTACAAGATTGGTGAAGGTGGTTATGGACCTGTCTACAAATGTTATCTTGATCATACACCAGTAGCTGTTAAAGTTCTTCGTCCCGATGCAGCTCAAGGAAGATCTCAATTTCAACAAGAGGTTGAGGTATTGAGTTGCATTAGGCATCCTAACATGGTGTTACTTCTTGGTGCTTGCCCGGAATGCGGATGTTTAGTCTACGAGTTCATGGCGAACGGGAGCTTAGAAGACCGTCTGTTCAGATTAGGAAATAGCCCACCTCTTTCTTGGCAGATGAGATTTAGAATCGCTGCAGAGATAGGTACAGGACTATTGTTCTTGCACCAGGCTAAACCAGAGCCTTTAGTTCACCGTGACCTCAAACCTGGAAACATCTTACTAGACCGTAACTTTGTCTGCAAGATATCTGATGTTGGTTTAGCAAGATTAGTTCCTCCATCTGTTGCAGACACGGTGACACAATACCGCATGACTTCAACTGCTGGCACGTTCTGTTACATCGACCCGGAGTATCAACAAACAGGAATGTTGGGTGTGAAGTCTGATATTTACTCGCTAGGGATTATGTTCTTACAACTGATAACAGCAAAACCACCAATGGGTTTAACTCATTACGTTGAGAGAGCACTTGAGAAAGGAACTTTGGCTGACTTACTTGATCCAGCTGTTCCAGATTGGCCAGTAGAAGACACTGCAAAGTTTGCAAAGTTAGCTCTTAAATGTTCAGAGCTAAGGAGAAAAGATAGACCTGATCTTGCTAAAGTTATATTACCTGAGCTAAACAGATTAAGAACACTTGCTGATGAAACAACAGATTCTGTTGTATTCAACAATAGCCCTGAACCATCTACAACTGATATGAAACTGGTGAGAATCGATGGTAGCTTAAAAACCAAAACTTTGGAATCTATTACTTAAAACTCAGTTTTATGATATCTTTCTTCACAACAACATTTTTCAGGAACAAATGAGTGGTGCTTCTATCTCGGTACCTCAATAAGTTTACACACAAGGATCTTGAATCATCAACTAGCATGCTCGTAGTATAAGGAGATGCATTATATATAGTGTCTTTTTTCCCTTGTAGATAAAAGTGTTTGTACAAATTTTCCTTACAATGTAACTTGATAATATCTACTAGTTAATTGGGAAAATTAGCATTATAGTACATTTTCAAAACTTAATTTGTGATATAGTACATTTACTATTCAAAATTGGATAAATACACAATGGGTCCACTATGTGAGATGGAGAATGTGTGAGATATATGAGAAAGTGGGGTATAGTGTAGTGGTGGTAAATTACAAAAGGGTAGATGTACAAAAGGCATCCGTACAATTCATTTGTACATATAATATGTGTATAGTTTGATCTGTACAATTGTATTTGTACATATATATCATATTGTACAAATACATGTATAATAC